GACTGTTGGTGTAGATTAGGTAAGGGCCTGAGCAAAGCGACTAGTTCCTTAAGAAAAACAATTGGACAGGATTAGTATGTAAAATCGTCTGGAAGTTAGCAACATTATATCATAAAATCAGAATTGTAATGATCATGACTACCAAGCTTTAAGTGGCAGCTGAATGGAATTTGGTAAACTCACACCCCCCTTTAGAGATTATTTTGTTTACAAATTCATCTCCAACGAAAGCCTTTGCAAGTACGGTTGTATCAGTAGTGTCTAAGCCATCTCTTAGAATCAAAGGACGCCCGTAAGAGTAAGTATGGGAAAGTCGCTACAACACAATGTGAGACTTTCACTTGGGATAACTTTAATATACACTCTTACTTGCCGACAATTTGGGCCATTTAGTACAATTTTTTATCAAACAAAGAGAGAAAATCTGGATTTTAACGACGAAACATTTTGAGCGAGCGATCAGTAGTGGGATTCTCCGTCTTCCGTTTTTCAGAATACCACTGATGAAGGGTACAGTAGAGCACAGAAGGACGCAAAAGGGTACAGTAGAATTGAATTTAGAGTGGGTGCCATTATTTGGCCAGTTCAAAGTTTAATTTGTTCAATTACGCTTTTATAACAAATTTATGTGACATAAATTTAAAGAAAACAAAAGGGTCAGAATAAATTCATAGTTTGAGGATGGGGGGGGGGGGAGGGGGTGAAGAAGAGAAAAATAGCGGACAAAGTGTTAACAGAAATGTAGAAACTACAAACGATAAGGTGAAATGTTTATTGGAAACAGTAAACAGGGAGAGCATTTGTCTCCATAACTCCCATAAACAGGGCAGTTATAATCAACCGTTACATGTGAGCAAGAAAGCCCTATTTCATGTCCAGGTTCAAAGCCATTCACTTATTCGATGAAACCTGAATCAATAAAAACCAGGACTCTCTCGATTTTCATTATAAGTATAGTGCAAATGCCTCATTTCTCACAAATTATGCAAACGTTTTCCTTTTTACGAACAGAAAATACGATCATATCACGTCATGGATTTTGATATGTTATCTAGCCTTGATCAGCAACCCGGCATTTCCTGGTCAAAGGAAATAAATGTCTGCTAGGTTTCGTAGCTTCGAATGAATGCTCTATTATGACGTTTTTAAAAGGCCAGACCATAGCCACAGTTTTTAATTACTGCCTGTTGAATTATCCATAAAAGCGCGGGAAATGTCGCCCACCAAAAAGATATTATTTTAAAACATAAAAACATAGCCCTAAGTACACAAAGTATAGGCTTCAATCAACATGACAGTCAATTCTTTCCGTGTCAATAGCCATCTGAACAAAATCAATTTTTATCACTGAGCCAACCAAGATTAGGCTATCGTACACCAATTGTACTGTCAGGGATATTCCACTATGCGGACAGCCAAAAAGATCAATCTTCACGCAAAGTTAATTCCACTTCAAGTCTACGTACATTTACCAAACAGCTCATATTTTTCTTTGCTTAATAACAATCCATCATAATAACAGCCACAGCACCGACAATGACAATAATCAATGTTTTACAACTTTAGAACTCGTAAAGAAACAAACTTTGAAACTGTGAACATGTATAAAATAGCACATTAGTTAATTGTTGCATTAAAATATGTTTTGTGTTCCTGCTAGAATTACCAATGATCCATTAAAAAAGACTTGGTCGAGTTCTCTTTGTTAGCTAATTTCAAACTTTAGTGTTTAATGACAATAAGACCCTGTTTACAGGGGGGAAATGAGATCGATCCAGTCATCTGAAACAACAGCAACAGTAAGCACAAAAGTAAGACAGCAACAACAACAGCAACAACAACAACGAAGAATCTGATCACAAAATCATCAATTCTGATCACAACGTGATTCCGTAATGGTTACATGCGACATTTAATCAGCTCGCCATTTGATCTTCCTACAGATTTGGATGGGTTGCTGATTATTTTAGATGGATACAGCTCCGCAAAATGAGGTTCCGCATGTTTCATCACACACTCGGACTTGAAGCTTTTTGCTAGATACCTATACCTTGTAACAAGTATCACATAACAAAACATTTGTCAATAGAAATGCGCTACAATGACCGAACAGTTTAGTGACTGCGCTTTCATCAACTGGTACCTAACTTCATACAGGCTCAATAATTACGACAATGGCATTCCACCCCTATATGTTTTCCGACATGATACAACTGCATACAACAAAATATTCCAGCCAAGAACGTTTTCCTTTTAAATTCCACGTTCTCTAGACTGACGCAAAGGACGCCTGTACAGGGAACATAAAGAACATAGGGTACAGGGAACATTGGGAACATACTCTGAGGGCTTACGGCATTAACAGCTTCTTTCCTCGTAAATGTGATTTCTTCTCTTTTTGCAATTGATATTTCCTTTTATTGATGATTAGTCCTTTAACCATTAATTTCTACAGGCGCCTTTGACCTGATTTAAGAATACAATCGATTCAATAATGATTCATTCACTCATTCAAGAAACAAGTCACCACAACATTTTTGCATTATAATTTGCAAAAGATCTTAAAGATTTTTTAAAATTTTGTAATATCAATTTAGCAAAAAGGCTAGGTCTTTGATCTCTGAGCAGCAAGGCATATCCGTTATCAATTTTGCTTTTTAAGAAGCAATTTATTTCTTCTATTCAATCTGACAGAATCAGGTGCCAGAATAAAGAATATAAAAGAATTAACGGGTATTTCGACAGCAAAGAAGACGTTTTCAGATTCACGAACGACTGGTGGAATTTAAGGGCAATCGACAGGTACCAATGTGGCTTCAAGGCTCTTGCGCAACCGGCATGCTTTGCTCTACATTTCAAAGCCGGCCTAATACCGTAAGGCATGAAAATGCCAAAAACGGTCCATTTTTCCTCGGGTAGAAAAACAGTTACCGCAAAGCATGCCGATTGCGCAAAAGCCTTTCAGTTATCTGTCAATAAATACTGGCCAATCAATCAGCGTGTGAATAGTATGGCGCTCACTGATTGGGTAATTGTTGATTGACAAATGACTGAACTATTTTAGTATCTGTCGACTGAATTTAAAAAGAACAAACAGTGCAACGAGAAGCAAAGGCGAAATCAAAAGCAAGTTGATGTTAACAACAACAGCAACATATAATGGAGAAGACGCGAAGGTTGGTGAGCAATAAAAGAACTCCCATTCGAGCGAGAGCTGAATAATGCGTTGTTTACAAAGTACACTTGTGGGAAAATTAGTGGATTTATCTATAACGGCTCTCCCAGAACGAATCTATTCTTAACTCTTACCATGTCAATTAATCATTATCGATTCCCAAGCTTATTTGGTTGTTTTCAAATAACAATTATGTCTAGGGCCGGGATCCAGAAAGAACAACTTCAATTCATACAGAGTAAAATTCAAGGAAAGCAAAGTAAAACCTTTGCACAGATCTTGTAGAAAAAGCAGAAGATATAGGTAGAACAAAGTGGCCAAGAAACTTATTGAAGATGAAGACGAATACATCTTTCCATGAAATTCAATACAGTTCACAGCAATCCTTCAAACTGTTTTTCAATGAAATAAGCTTTAAGATAACAAATTCCCGAGAAGAAAAACTCGCGGAGAAAAAAGATATCTTCTTTGCTGCAGCTGGTTAGGAAAACATAGGATTAAGGCATCTGATAAAGAGCAGCAAAAAACAAGAAAACATTAATGGCATTAGCCTGATCGAGCTCATTATCGCTAGCATATCTCATTTCGTCTCTGTTTGTGGGTCTCTCTAAAGATAAAATCCTTAAATTCTCTTGATTGCTTAAACTATTGTCTGACCAGTAATCGAATGCTTTGCTCGCCTCCACTTTAAGAAAGTGGGACGCCGCTAGATTACAGGGAAGAAAGCAAATCAAATAAGATTTTATGGCGATTTGTCGAGGCGGTTGTCGGCTAGTGCATGTCTGAGATTGCATGGGAACTGGTTAGATGGGTTTTTGCATCAATAATTTCGAAGAAAGATGACGAAAGTATGTCTTTATTTGGGAGCACGTAAACATAGTCAGTCTATACGTTTTAGCATCCTTCATTGGCTACAAAAGTGCTTCCTTCATGGGCTACAAAAGTGCAAGTTTTATAGCTGGATTATTACTGCTGAATAACAGCTTACAGTTCTTCTAAGGTTTTATAAATGAGGCTTTGCAAAGATTGGTCAGTCAGGCAGCAAGTTAAAGGGCACACACGGTATGTGTATTGAAGGTGGATACAATCTGCTTTCTCCAAAGTAACCTCAATCGGCCAAGGAACACATGCCTACGCAAGTAAATGGTAGATGATCAAAACCACTCAAAACACAGGGGGTGACTGCAACAACAATCTAGGCTGATTTGCTACACGTTTCTGCTATATGCCACTCCACCTGATTCACAAATTCGAAAGGTATAAAATCTACCAACAGTCATAGCAACACTAACAACAAAAAACGAATAAAGAGGCCTAACATTTCTATCAGACTTACATCATCTAGATCTTTGGAGAACCATGACAAAAAATCCTCATCCCAAACCAAGAATTCGCCTACTTTGGCCGACAAGGGCGACCAATGCTTAACGGCGTACCAACGGTGAAATTTTTATGAGCTTTCAATATCAATTGCCAATTGAACATGTGATATCAGCAATCAAGTCTAGCTCATTAAAAATAGATGAATGGGGGAGTAGAAAATAGGAAACGTGAATTTGTTTTGAAGAAGCTCGGTACAATGAATGTATGCAGTTATTAATTCAAACAAGCATTGTCGCTGGAGAAAATTATTATCAAACAGAACAGGAAATCATCCTAACAGCCAAACTTGATCAATGACTGTGATCAGTCTGTTAATTTCAAAAGACCACGAGACTATTCCTACCAGAAATAAAGATACTTTCTTCAAATAAACAAGCAATTTTTACTTACTAGCCTATAACAGGTACGGCGCCACTGGGGGGGGCTGGGGGAGCTTCAGCCCCCCTCCACTTTTTCAAAACTAAAATATTTTCCACAGTCTTTTTTAACTATTTTTTTAAAAAGAGTATAACAAATAACAAACTGAATTTTATTTATATATTTAGGTTTATTTCTATAATTTGTCTATTATTTGCATTAATTTAGTAGATAACTTTCTGTATCATTGCAATTTCTGCATTTTGGATGTGTAAATATAGCCTACTGAAAATACTCGAGATCAAGTTGATGCACATTTCTGTTCAGGAATTAAAATTCTCTCAATCCATGCAACAGCTTCTTGTTATTCACATCGAAGTACACTTTGAACGAAAGGTCGCCCTTTCTTCTTTTCCCAACGTCTGTCACTAGCGTTTCAGCATGACTCCTCTCCTCCCAAATTTGTCTTAAAAATCAATTATCAATGTTTTTGTGAGAATCGTCGAATTTTCTGTTCTGAGCGGTATAGTGATTTGTTAAATTTTTGTCTAGGAGATGCATTTTTAGCCATTCTAGAAGGCTGAATTTCAAAAATTTACTTGCACGTCGGACCCAGCCCGTGGGTCCTCATACGTCACTAAACTTGATTCTCAGCCCCCCCCCCCCCAAGTTCAATTTCGTGCACGCCGTCTCTGTATATAAGGAAAACTTTCACGCACATATAGCTAATTCTGTAAAAGTTCTGTGACAGTTGTCTTACGGGAATTTTTACAAAGCTACAATTGCTCCAGAATTTTTTATTATCGATGATACAAAAAAGAGTAATTTAAAGCGGAACCGATTAGAAATAGCATAACATACACACGCGAGCCTTTCTGGGGCCTGTAGAAAAAAGATACAATTATAGCTTTGATAGTTGACGTTATCTATTTTGTTAGGAAGCCAGCAACAAAATCAAATTATATTTCGATTTGACGGTTAAACTAAATACATCAAACTATCCACTTAATATTTGTTGGTTAGATATAGGCAACACTGGCAGTAAGCAGCCACCTGCAATGGGACGATGTCTTGACTGGAACATTTAAGCAGTACCAGTCTAACCTATATTTGCATGGCCTAACTAAGAAAATGAATAAAGCATGGACAGAGGTTTATAGGACTGTAAACATACTAAATATGCAAAATATGCTAAACATGCTAAATATACAAACTATGCCTTAGCATACAGCGAAAAGCTGCAACAAGGACTGGCCTTTACAAGCAAATCTGTCACTTTGCATTCCCATTCAATTATAACGCTATTCTTCACTTGAATAAACAGGATGTCGGCTCAAATTGACAGTATCGATGAGAAGACAGTGATAACACTGTGACAACTGACAATCTGTCAACATGGGATGTTAACTGTGACATTGTTAGTTTTTACAAACAGCCCATATAGAGTCAATATCCTTGAGAACTCTAACTGGCTGGTTTGAGTGAAAGCAAATGCTTTCGAAGTAAAAACTTTCGAATGTGGTTGTGGGGGTGATATAGCAGATTTAATTAACCTGAATAGGAGCAATTAACCAACCGGGTTATTTTCAATAGGGACATGATGGATGAGTGATTTCAACATATGAAGTCAAACCTAAAAATTTATCAATTTGTCATAAACTTCCCCAGTCAACTCATTAATTTGGATCAGTTTTATAATTTGGGATAGAAGAGATGGAAGAGTCAGGCTAGCAGTCTAAGGTTGGGGCCCACCTTAATGCAAGGTGATTCTTTTTTAATTAGTTCTATTAGACCCCCCTTTAGCCCCTACTTAAAATTTTTCATTTGAGGCTCTCTGTTTAATGATGTATGTTCATGATTATGCCCCCATGTTTTTTGCATGTTACACTGGAAACATCTCTAATCAATGTCAGGTTAAATTTTTCAAATGAGAAGTTTTTGATAAAAAAACTCTATTCACAGTTCAATTCTGGCATTGCTAAGTATCAAGGAAACATGCCTTATAAATCCAAAACATTAATTATACTTCACAAAATATTTTTTTGTAACACACAAAACATATTCAACCATAGAGATTATTTTTAAAAAGCGTATTGAAAGCTATTAATTGGTTTGTAGATCTTTGCCAACCATTAACAGATCCACTTTATGTGTAGAAAGCATCATTGTAACTATGGTGGCAATTAGAAAATTTGACACAAAATTGTGGCTATCTGTTTATATGGCTATTATTTTCTTAAAGTAAGGTCCTAAAAACATGTAAATACTTCTTGTATTTGCATTTAAATATGGCTTAAAAAACTGTTAAAAATTTAAATCTCTTTTTTATTTGCAAATAAGCCTGGATTTAACCTAGTGCAATTAACATTTGCAGGATACATTTATATGGACAATTTACAGGATAAAATTAAAGCATTTATACATAAATATATTGCAGAATAGACTAAAGCTGCCACTTAAAGATGTTTTGCAAATTTAGTTCAAATTGCAACTATCACATAGTTTATTGTTAATAAAATGGGGATGATCTATACTCCATTGATGTGTCACACAAACAAACTTAAAAAAACAAGATGCAGAAAGGCTACTAGTGAAGTTATGAATATCCAGCTTATAAATGAATATCAAACTATCAATTGGCCAAAATTAGAATCAGATTGGATGTAAAATTAAAACACTAGGCTATGGCAATGTTAACAACATTTTTCCTATTATTAAAATCTCTTCCTAAACTTTCCATTCCCCAATCTTCCCAAGACCTATTGGAAATACTAAACCAAGACCAGGCTCTTCCTAGCCATCATAGTTTATCTATCCCAGACTAAAGTTGATGAAATATGCTCACCCTTGGATAGCATTTCAAAGAACTGTCTCTGATTTGAATCTTTGCCTTGAGCTAGATTGAATATTTTTATACAACCATATACACATGTTTCTACAATCTGGCAAGACTAAACCCCAAAATGAAAGACAGCAAAACTCTGTAAAAAGAAATTGCATGCTCTTGGTTATTAAAGCTTAACATAACAAATTATATAAGGGGAAATGTTTTCAGATTTTAACCCTGTTTGATGATGCCATCTGCTAATGGCATAAGCATCAATGTGGCCTGTCAGATAAGGATTTACTTTTCACTTTTGGAAAAGCTTTTTGTAACAAGATTTGGATGTTGGCAAAAATAAGGTGAGTTTAACCTGGACCATTCACTTGGATCAAAATCTTCTGATCAGAAGAAATAAAGGGTTCTAAAGCTTATTAAAGCTGGCAAAGTTGGCACAAAACACAAGACAAAACAAGTCATAAGCTCTAAGTTTGACCAAGTGTGCATGCAATTTTCATTGGTGTTGTGTTTCCGTCTCTCGCATCAATACGCAAGGAAATCGTCCCAGTTAATAGCAAAGCAGGAAAAATCAGGGATTATCCCTGAAGTCATAATATTTTCTTAACCAATGCAAAGAAAAGGAAATTGCAAGTCCAACCGCACCCACATAAAATAAGCAAAATCGACTGGAGAAACTCGCTAGGAACTGAGGCACGATAGCTATCACAGCAGATCTGTATAGTTTGGCAAATGAAACTTTTCAGAATTACAAATAATTTTCTACCAAAACAACATCAGGGCAGTTAACAAGGGATGGGGAAGCTATACATGTAATACAGGTTGTGTTATTATGATAGGGAACAGTTGCAGGAATAACTAGGTAATCACTCGTCAAACACTAACCAGGGTCGCATAACAACTCCCAAACTAAAACTGAGATCGCAACGGTCAATTTCAAAACATTGACGTTTATCGACTTTCACTGCGAGGATTGCATTTGCGCTGAAGTGATGAGTTATTGGTAAAACGTTTCGTTAACACAATAAACAAAGTTTTTAATTTAGTACATAGTAGGAAAATAGGGTCTTCCCCGTACAGCACACGAGAGGTCTTCTCACTGAATCAACGGCTTATAAATGTGTGGCTTAGCTTCACAGATTTTGACAAAAGCATGGCAAGAAACAGACAAAATCTGTAGGGAAATCCTGTTCTATTTGACATAACCTTACCTGTTTGATATTTTGGGTATGGGCAATTTGAAGCCCTCCGGGTTTATAACAACGAACTTCCATCAACTAATTATTTAATGTCCAACAGGGCGTTTTATCATTGTTTACTGTCCCGTGTCTTGTATAAATAAAAGGGCATTCGAAAAAGTACAAGCGACAAATTTTAAATGTATAATTTGTAACAAAGAAACAAGCATTTAGTTTCATCTAGTACAAAGTAAGGCATCAGTCAATGGTATTTAAATGGCCCATTTATGTGAGGTGTTTTGACACGAATTATAAACTTCCTTCGCTCTTGTGTTTTGTATCAAATTGTTAACACAAACAGAAAGCACAAGCTCAGTTGGTATAAACTAAATGATACAAATTTGGAAGACTGTTTTCGATCGACAAGAGTAAAGTCAATGTAGAATTTGATTCTGAAGGATAGGAAAACATTGAAATAAAGAACTATTACCTATCCATCCATTATAAACAACGAGACTTCGCTGCCAGCCAGAGACAGACCTTTAAACGAAGCAATATCTAGGGCCAAACGAACGTTGAAATACTTAGAACACTATTTTTGCTTTTATAAAATGTCTTTTTGAAGCTGGAATGTTGGATATCGGCGTTTTAGTCCTCTGGAAACATACTTTTCTAAAGAGCTTTATCCAATCACGAAATCGCAGTTCATAAATTCAGTTATAATTGGTTATTTAACAGGGAAAGCCAAACTTCTAATAAAAGTAGCTTTTTATCCTGGCATTTGATTTTTTCGTTTGTCTGTACAAAATTTACGAGTCATGGCAAATGAGCATGGCAGAGATGGAATCTGGGCCTAACCGCTCTAATGACAAAATTTGACAAGCAGTTTCGAGCGGGGCTGTAATATAAGTAAAATCCCTATTTCATACCTGTTATGTTCCACTGATTCTTTAACTAAGCATTTTCCCAAGAAAACAGCGTTCAAATGTTCGCGTTGGTGTGGTATACGAAGAAGGCACGAGAAAAGAGAATTAGAAATCAACTCTATGGATGATTGACCACAGTTTGATGCTCATATGCTGTTTGACATTACGACAGCGGATGTGCCGGGGGGTTGCCTCGCACATGAAATTTCCGACATTCGAGAGAGGGCTGGTGGGGGGCATGGGGGTACGGTCACATTTTGTCGACAACAAGGGAGGGGTGCTGAAACCTCGAGGGTATTTCTTACCCAAAAGAGTCCTTGTTTTAGAGAAGTCTAAATAAATTAATCAATCATCAGTGATAAATCAATCAATCAGAATAGGAAGTTCTGCGACAAACCATTCATTTAGCATCCGAATGGCGAATACATATGCTTAAAACAAATCATGTTTTCGGTCACTGACTTTTTGGGCCAGGGATTTTAACAGATCCCGTGTGTTGTATGACAAATGATACTTAGGTAACTCGGTACATTTATAAACTATAATTAAAAAACACACATACACGATCAAAAATTTGTCTAAAACAAATCAGTTTTAGACAAATGCGCTGTCACAGCTGACATCACCTACTTGTCATTAGTTCTGGTCTGTGGGCATTGCATATCAACGTAAAAACAGTTTACATACAAAACCTGCAGTTTATACGAAGACTTGTTTTAGAAACTTCAGAAAATTCTACTGGATCGATCCCACTTTCATTAAAGATTGAGCCGAAGTTAAAAATCTTTTTCACTGCTAAAAATGGAATGAAAAATGAAAGTTTCGTGAAGGATATGGTTTTTGTAGGATGCAGATAAGAACGCTTGAAATAAAAGATATTAAAATTTTTTCAGTTTTGAGACGCAGATGAAATTTTATGTAGCTTTATGGACGACTCCAATTAATTTCACTTGTTTTTATTTTTGCTACTTTGATACGCGCGAACAGATTCTAGTCGCTGATCTCTTATAGAGATCAGTGATTCTAGTCATAAGCCACTCTCAGCAGTCGACGCCCCCCTTTTGAAGGGACTGGTAGAAATTAGGCATGATTCATAAAAATACCAGGCATGCCAGCTTTGCTTTCTGTTTTTGCCAGCAAACAAATTAATAACGAATATTCCAAAAAATTGAAGCTGACACTAAGATATATCAACAACAGGTTACCAAAGCTTTTGCTCTGAAGGACATTGATAAGAAGTTTGATTCAAACCTTCGGGCAAAGGACTCGTGAATCAAGAATGTTTTCTATTATGTAAATTGTATCAACAGATGCGAAACATTTGCATCAAGTTATCAAAACAAAGCATTTCACTCCTATCCAAACAATTTTGTTTTATAGAAAGATTTAATCGAAAATATTACAGTTGTAATCCGCGCCCTTAGCTTAAAGTCTTTAGAATTCAATTCTGTTGCAAGTTTGCTTTCTTCGCTCTTTTCCGAGCAGTGGCTGACAAAATTGTTAAACAATTTTGTACAACCCCCCGCTTTGGTCATCAGCAAAAATAGAAAATGCTTTTGTACACAGTTAAATCCTATTGTATAGTGTGTAAGGAAATTGAAATGAAACTTGTTTTCCAACTTTAAGACAAAAAAACAAAGTCAGGTTGGCAAGAAACTCGCTTTAAATTGGATGATATAATCCTTTGGACAATACCCCCTATTCAAAGGCTGAGACAGATACCACAGAATTCCATTCATTGTCAACCCCCTGGTGTCGAAGGGTGAGGTCTCAAATGAGCATCTAGCCAATCAGAATTTAAAGAATGTGAGGGTTCATATCATATGGCTGCAAAATTTTCAAATAATGGGTACAATGAAAGGAACCAGATGTCTCAAGAAAGTCTTCGGAGAAATTCTATACTGAAAAAAGGAAACGATTCATCAAATTCTTAGACTAGAATAGAAATACGGCTTATTCATTTACGTAGCACAAGGCTAGCGCTTGTGCAAAAACTAAAGGACTTTTTGCAACTGCATGCACTGAAAACAGGAAAATAAATATAACTTTTTGTTGTTTCGTGCAATGGGCTTTTGAAGATATACTTAGATAAATGAATAGCTTGCAAGGTAAGAAAATGCACAACAGTGTGCATAAAAGTAGAATTCACGTGACTTTTAAGCGGGAAACCATTTGATGCCAGTTACCACACCAAAAACACGGCTAGTCTAATTTTATCATTTTCTTTAAAAGCTTATTCTGATGCATTGCGTACACGACCATAGGCCCACCAGGGGGCTAACCTTTTTCTTGGTAAACTTCATTAAAAACAACAACCAACCTATGTAAAATTATGAGAGATGCAGCCTATCCCAGGCAGCAACAAATCATGTTTGCAAATAGTCTTTACAGCTGGTGAGAGTTCTTTATGGATTTTACATACTAGAAACTTCTAAATAAACATCATAAAAATGATCACCGTACCAATTTATTACTTATTTGCATTTCCTGGTCAGTATGAATATCAACGACTCAAAGCCCAACAGCCTGTTAGTTATCATAGCATCATGTGATGATGAAAGAACAAGGAAAGAAAAAGCTCTGCCTTATAGTATGGAAACAGCACTATCTGCTTTCAGATCTTTCGGAATGCTGCTAAAGCTTTTCCTCTACCAACCAGTTTTTACGCAATGGCGGAAATTTGGCCGGTAACAAAGGATATTCTAATCCCTTGCAATTTGGGCGTATAAATGCATTATCTAGTAAACTCCCGGCTGAGCCCCTACCTACCCCCGCCTCTACACTACTGTTCCCATAATTAAGTTTTTAGCTATATGATAGAGTTTTCAATTTGTTATTGATGAGTTTCTCTGTCATAAATCCTCGAAAGTTTATTAACCTTGGTTTAGTAGATACGGAAACTCGTAGCCACCTAATTGGAACATAAGATTAAATTTGTAGCTGCATTTCCCGTCAGCTGATATCAGGTAAATATAAAGTTTTACGGCCCTGACGCGAAAGCAAGTGAAAAATTCATCTCTTTTACTTTGTCAGCATTATGCAGGTTGATTCCGGGGCTAACATCCTCTCTCAACTGATTTCCTATTCTCCTTTTTATTAATTTGTTTGCTAAGAAGACAAATGTCTTTCCTCTTCCACCATTTGCGCACTGTTTGCCGGTTCGCAAATGCCTACCGGCCAGCAAGAGAGACGTCCGGAAACGAGAGCGAGGTTATCACAGTTTGTCTGAACCATTTCTATGGCCTTTGGTATTTTTGCTATTTATGGGGATTGAGGAGGATTGAAAAGTCACTAGCAAGAGCTTGCACTTTTTAGCAGAACTAGCTTGAGCAGTGTGAGATCATACTTAAAAGAGCTTGAAAGGCCGAAGATAAAAACCTTGCTACGTGCATAGAGAAAAAGAATGAAGGCCTCATGGCGGGGTTTCATTGCAGCATTTACAGATCTCATGGTGCGAGAAGATTGCCAAAAATTGTATTAAAGGTCAATGAATAAAAACGACTACAGCCAAGTACTGTCACGCCCAAAAGACAACTGCTTTAAACATCTGAATAATAGCATTTGATTTATTTCGGTTTCCAGCTGGTTCTAAGGACAGTGGTATTAATGACAGCCCATGATGCTTTTAAAAGCAAACAAGATGCAATTCTTCTGTTCATACACAGGCAAATTGAATAATGGGACGACCTTTGTAAATCCTACGTGATGTGAATTTGTTTATGACGTTTCTCTACCAAATATCAAACAGCCAAGGCATGAACTAGGATTCGAAAAGCCTTAATGATGGCAAAAATTACATCAGTTGCCAAGCTTTGCTGCAACAACAAACATAAATGAAAGGCATCCTTATCGATGACATGATTGAAAATCAAAAGTCCTCTTTAAAGGTGATTTTTGTTAGGAGCTTGATTTGTTAGAGTTTTCATCAGTGTCTAGTTTGTATGCTGCTAAAGCAGAATAAATTATTTTGAATCCTGGCGGTGAGATTTTCGATAATTTTGGAAGTCAAAGGCACAAACCAAAGTGGCGAAACTCCTTACACGAGAAGATCTGAATTCAAAGATCATTATTGCCGCAAACTTAGCGAACTGACCAATATTTGAACGATATAGCTATCCCGGATTTCATTTTTCAATAAATTTGCTTTATCGTAGATTTGCATATCTCTAGCATTAAGCAAGATCACAGCAGGAGCCCTCAAAATGCCCCCAAATGCGAAGCACTCCTTTCCAGTTTCTTCGAAACAAAGGCTGTTTACATAGCAAACAACACGGTATCCAAAGGATTATATATATATTTACGCGATTAATATTATTGAAACTCACAAAAGCGTGTATGAAAACCTTGTATCCGTAGGTAATAAAAGTTTATTTGCAACTTGCAAATCCTGCCAGTGGTTATCATTTCAAAATGTTTAATCAGTAAGGACAGTAAGCAATCAGAATACCAGCCATAGGTGAGATGAAAACAAATAGTATTTTCATAACAAATCTTCTCACGAATCGCCAATTACTGCTATATTTTCTACAAGATTATCGATGTGCATGTTTACTTACCAGTTTTATTATATTTCCTCTATATAATGTTGTATTACCGGCAGCATTTGTGAAAATAGCTTCCCAAATAGGTCAAAAAAGCATCTCCCCACGTGGAAGCCAATACCTCGCTTATGACGTGACCAGTTTGCTAAAACAAGTACAGGTTTCTCCCATCGAGCTTTTGTTATGTCTTTGTTTTTTAATCAATAATGAATAAGATTTCAGGCATTAATTGACGATGCTTTTCGCTGGCAGGTGCTACCACCTTCTAGATGCAAAATTATTCAACAAACAAGCAATTAGCACATTCGCCCTTCATGTTTCTATTTCTTTCGACACTTCAATTTTGCTTCTCCTTTTGTGTCTTTTGTGCTCTATTAAATTAGTCTAAATACATTATACTTGTGATAAGAAATCCCCCGCCATAGACATGATTGCTAAGAAATTTCTAATTAGTGAGAGTAGAAAAAAATTAGTGAAAATAAAGCAAATGTTCAATTTCTAAATAAACTGTAACTGCTTGACTTGCGGTCTCTTAAGTGGAGAAAGAATACTGTTTTGCTGGAATAAAAGGCATTGGTGGAATTAGTGGTTGAGTCCTCTTCCTTAAGAATTGAGTGGGTGCGGAAACTCTAGACCCAAAGCAAACTACGTGGGGCTTTAGAAGAGTTCGAGAAGGGAGGGGGTGATGAGCGACAGCCTAGTGCCTTTTTGGTTCTTAACACATGAGCTACATGATATAATTACAGGCAAAATTTGGGTTGAAGATCTAACATAGAGAGTTGATGCAAAATCCTCTAGAGCCTATAGCTCAACCCTTTTTCACTGTGACGTCACTATTCATCTTGTCATTCTGATTCACCTTTAGTTCTTTTCAGAAACCAACAACATCTAATCATCTGCGATCAACTTATTGCCCCTGATTATCTTCTCCTATCTTTCCAAACAAAGACCCGAACCCAAATGTTCAAATCATTGACACAGCTATTCCTTGGAAGCGGTAAATTGGTTTTGATTCATCACATGAAGTAAACAAATTTAGAACTTACAAAATGACGAAAAAGACGATTTTCTAATTGATTTTCTATGGCTTCCCGATGATTGTAATCAAGCGTGAATCTCGGAGTGGCAACTCAGAACCGTCCTGTTCCATACACAGAAGCGAAATTCGATTTATAGATCTATCACTTATATGTTACTGTTTAAATGTATAGGCGAAACATGAAACGACGGTTATAGGAAATACTGCCACCGAACTAATACTGCCACCGAACATTTTCAACTTCATTCATCCTTGGTAGATGGAGTTCAAATACCTTCAACCATATCTCTTTACAGTTAGCCTACTTGTTTGAAAAACCTTGAAATCCTCAGTCAATACTGAACACATAGCTGCAGACCTATTCAGAAATACATTGACCTTGTTAAATCTGAATATGGCATTTCGCTTAGTTGCCTAATTTGAGCCAGGGTGTCCCAGTGTTTAATTACCCTTTGTGTTACCCAATCATACCTCAGCAAAGCTGCTTCTATTCATAGGCGTAGGAGATAAAGGGGCTGAGAGATCTGCAGCCCCCTGTGTCAGTTGCATCTCAATGAAGCAATAATATTCGGAGAGGATCCGTACTTAGCCCCCCTCCCTAAATGTTTAGCATCCACTACGCCCATGTTTCTGTGATTTTTGAGACAAAGGGGGAATAAATTCACAGTAGCTTCTTGCTTTTAATATTATAGCAACAATCACTTCAGCTCGAAGTCGTACAAAAAGGGCTTGTGAGTTGTGACTGTATACTTAATTGCTCAAACTTTCACCTACCCTGAAACGTATTCTAAAGGCGTCTTAGGGTGGTGACCAAACACGATTGATGTTGTTTCACTTCGATTCTATCCATAATGTATTACTTCATGCCAATTATAAGGGCCTAAAACAGATTTACATCAGTGTGGAAAACCTTGAATCAAAGCTAACAAGTGATAAAATAATGTTAAAAGCCTGATGATAATTGAATTGTGTTGAAATTCAGCCAAAACACTGCCTTGCTTGTTAATTATCAAGCGCACTGAAGTACTGTATTGACTTTCCAGTGTTTTTTCTTACCCAACCCTTCGCAGGAAACTAATAACCAACAGATAATGCCCTTTGAATAGAAGAAATAGATTTATCGTGCCACGAGACCGAAAGAGAATTCAATATTCAAACCTAATGCGGTTTGCGGTATTTCAGAAATTCTCTTCCCGTGTACGTGTTGTTAGATTTTCAAAATGATTTCGGTGAACGACAAAAACATGGTACGAGGAGAAAAACAAAGCAACCATCGTTCCGGCAGAAAGCTTCACGCGCTACGCCGAAACATCAACAGGAAGTGGACAGGTCAAACAGGTCACGTTAGAGTAGCACCGAAAAAGTAAAGGTTCCCCCCTAAAACCAAAGTAATAAAAGTTTGGAAGGTTCTTTTTCGAAGTCTGTCAAACTTGGAAATTGGAACCTGCACCGGGTGCCGTGTCCATCCTGACGGACAGCTCGTAATGACGGACAGCTCGTAATGACGGGTACTTCCTTATCACTGACAAGAAATCTGGTGTCGTCACAGGTCACTGGTTCCTACGACATAAACTTTTCTCCAAATAAGCTATAACTCCTCTTATGATTTAAAAACTACATTTTCAATCCTTCGTTAAGACATGGCAAGGAGCCAAATTGTGATGACAGAACTCTGTTCATTCGATCAGTGAAATTCTTTACCACTAGCAGAAATTTACCACGGCGCTAATCACGGATGTTGTTCACACGAGGTGTGTAGTTTCGAAATCAGGACTTTGCTATTTCGTGGTATCCTGTGCATAACCGAGAATCATTACTCGAAACTAAAAAACTAAAGCAAATTCAACTTGGCTTTGCAGTGTATTTATCAGAAGAATAATCGAATCAGGGGGACAAGAAAAGAAATATGAGAAACAGTAGGCTCATACATTAGAAATCTTCATATATACATCAATATGCATATCAATCAACAATTATAACACATCATCAAGTCTTATAAATTTGTATATATTAAAAATCAATAAAATGGGAGTAAGTGCAAATGTTTGTGGCACAGCCTGAGTCAAATGTACGCGTAGACACAGCACTATATAGAATTCATAATTTTTGTGAAATCTTTAAAGCACGAACTTAGTATGTTTAAAACCTTTATACTGCCCCTGTATTCTGATGTTACAGCAACAAAATGCAAAGTGAGGGGTGACATTACGGGGCTGTAACAATGGGAGAAGAGGTCCCTATTACCTTGTTCTCAGATCGTGATTATGTTGATGAAGTTACGTCAAGTGAAAGATCAGTCTCGTACTTGATATTGCATTTCGATTTTAAGCTTTCAGGGTTTATGGGTTTATGTAATTCGTTGAAGACTTTTGAAATCATGTCCAGGTGATTTTGACAGTGCCAAAAAGTCGGCTAACTTTGGATTTAAATTTAAGGTGCGTTATCAGATGGATATCTTCTGTTTCCTTGAATGCTACACGGATCTTCTAAAATTATCAGTGCGTGGACGCGACTTTGCGCGATAATACAAGGAGATGCACCTGCGTAATGGATAACGGGCTTGAAACTAAGGCCCGCATCTATTTTATTTGAAAACAGAAGGGAGGAAGCGCCATAAGGTTACACTAACGGTCCAGATGTCGGTGGCGTTGGCTATTTTTAAATCATAAAAGACAGGCTTATGGTTGCTAGAAGGAAGACATTAAATTTAATTGAAAGAAGCTTTTCCCCATGGGTTGGGAGCAATACTTTGCCCGAGACACAACGTATCCCCATAAATGAAAAACTACCGATTTCCTTTATGGCATAGGCATCACTAAAATTATACCACAACCTTAATTCTACAAAAAAAAGCATTAAGATGCTAAAAACATGAGACTGACACAAGTGTGAGTGAAGGCCCTTAGCCATAGTTACGCCCACAATAGACGTGAGTTGCTTAATCCAAAAATTTTTGTTTCTTTATATAATCATCGCTTTTTGTTAAAACAGTTATCATTTGGCATCAAAGAAACTTTTTTGTCATCATATCACTTGGTGTTCTTTACAAGATGCTTTACAAGCGTTTCCCCAAGGGTCCTCGAACTCAGCGTGACGATAGCGGCTCACCAACCTCGATTTAAATCGGATCCTAAAACAAAAAACAGGCTTCGTTACTAGGAGGCTAAAAATGACCAAAGTCACGCAGTAGCCATACTCCAGCCTGAGAATTGTCTTTGCAGAAGAACATGCTACGTCTTTTTTGCAACAAAACACAGCCTTCAGATTTTCGCTTGTTCAAAAATGGACAGAGAAAATGATTTTATAAAGAGTTATAAAGATTAATAATTTCTAAATCTACATAAGCAGTGCTCAACACAGCTACTTTCCAACTCAAGGGTAGCCAACATATGTAATCGAAGAATAAGCTGAATTACAATAAATTTTTACTACGGAGACACAGAATAGAGAAAGGTCCGATCGTATTAAAATGTCCTATATCCGTGCGGAAATTGAAAACCGCACGACAAATCTTGCCATCCTGATTTCTGAGTCATTTCAGCTATCGGATTGCATCCTATTGTCGCCACCAGTTAAATGAAATGATCTTCATAAGTAGGCGTCGAACAACGTTTCAAGTGCGGTTCCAACACAGAAAATTCTCAATAATACACGATGGTACTTTCAAAGGGGAGGGGGACGCAGTTAAAAAGAGGCAATACCAATGGACGATATCTGAGGAGCAATCATAAGCAAACCATGAACCTGTAGAGTGCTTAGTGCGCTATCTTTTTTAGCCTAATGTTGAATTTGAAAATACGAAGAAAATCGAAAATGTCAATGAAAAATCATCTTTTATTTATACGGATAGAAACATCAGATAACAAGTAGAGAGTGAAATTCTATTCATCTGTGTGAATTTTTTTAAAGGATCCCCGGATAGGAGATCCGATGTACAAAGGAACTGTGGTAACAGTTTACTAAAGACAGGCATCCTATACATGTCACCTCAATTGTGAAATAAAGCTATTATCCATCTTTGACTTCATAATATATCTACGATGTCAAACGCATTTAGTGTAACTGTTGAACAATTTACAGAATCTCAAGCCTGCCCGTAATCCCTAGGGTCAAAAGATACCCCGCTCCTAATCGGTTGACGAGATCGCGCGGAATTCAGTTCAGCCACAGGTTTACTGTTCATCACAAACCGAGGAATTTTAGAAAGGCCAAACAATAGGAAAATGTTGCTGTCAATAGCAATGGTCGCATAGACGGTCAGAAAGTCATTTTTGACAGTTGACAGTCTGACAGGATGAGAAACATAAAGTGAACCCATAGTATGAAACATTAGAAACTTTTGAGATCATTATAAAATCTATAACAGCAAAAGCAACATCTTCATAGACCACAACAGCTAAAAGCAGGTGGAAATTCCCCAGATCTCACCCAACGATAAAAAATGGAGAATTATTGCTGCAAATACAGACTTCTCTTAATGTGTATAATTCTCCAAATCTTATTCAGCTGGAGTGGAGGAGGCTAACTAGATATTTCAACCTGGAAACATCTTAACGCAGCGTAGTGAAAACTATGAAAAATCGATGAAAAATAAAATCAAACTGGCGAAAAATACGTTTCGATTGAATTACATTGAGAACGGATACGTTTTTAAGTCGTGGCTTTTTAACCCTGGGTAGTAGAAAGGCTGCCCTAGAGAGACTGGTCTTTTCTGTCTGTGCCATTGCTTTTCCATTTCAAGTTATTATGATTCTAATTTACGATGAAAATACAAGAATTGGTTATAGAAATCCCAAAAATCTTGAAATTGATTTTGGAAGCTTTTAACATCTTCATCTTTTCTACCATCTGCTACCTGCTTTTTCTTGAAGTGCGCGTAAAGAAAGATTTTTCATTCCTCGTCAACAACTAAGAGTAGGTTTGGGACAGCTCGGCATTTCAAACGAATTATTCGGTTAAGAAACATTTCATTGTTACTGGCTGAGAGTTGCCCTGGCAAAAACATTTTGTTCGTCTAAAGATACAATCGCGGGAGCAAAATCAGTTGTCATCTATTATTAGATCAGCGACGTCACAAAAATGCGGCAGATGAGCAAATTTTTCAAGACACCATTTCTCCCATTTGCATACCAAAAAGATAACATTCTTAGGGAAAGAAATTGTATAAAAAACAAAGTCTTAGCGACTGTTTCACAAATAATGGCATGACAAATAACATATTAGAGCGTAACTTTGACAAAAATATTAAATGTCTTCAGCAGATACTAACGAATAAAGAATCTCTTATCTTCACTGTTGTGCTTGGTTTTAAAAGGGCTTCGGTTTTAAAAGGGCAGTTGTTTGATCAATATATCAATTATTCTAACAATCATCCCAGAGTTTCAGCGATCTTTTAACCATAGAGTTTTACAGTAGCAGAAGTTGCATCAACAAATTCACTCAGATCAGGTAAGGAACCACGAGACTGAATTGATGGATCAAATAAAACATTGGCCACAATATTTTTAAGACAACAGAGCACTTTAATGTCAAATACCTATTCAACACAAAATGGCAAGGGCATAGGGAAATGAAACCGGCAGGTAAAGAATGGAACATTCTTGTCTTGTTTTACAACTAGATTTTTAAAATATAGAAAACGTGTATTGTATGGAGTGCCAAATCATTCAAATATCAAACAAACAAACAAGATACTTTTCAAGAAACGAAAACCATCATTTCAAGCTGTAAATGCAAGATCAAGGAACCTTTTTCAATTATAGATTGTCTTTTGACTTGTAAAACAAGAGTGCAAAGTTTCGAAAGTGAGGTTCCAGTACTTATTTTTTGATAGCAATTTCGATTAATTGGAGCTGACTGGAAAAGTAGGCTCAAAATTTACAAAAAAGTGACACAACTCCGTATCAAAACATCAACTCTACACGGCAGCACAAACATAGCGTATGGGAGAGTGACAGGCAAAGACCGCGTGGTATCAAGCATTTTTATTCGATTTGTTCTAACTCACCAATTGGAGGCAGGGCTGCTCGTATACAATTAAGCCATTGTTTTTTGTCGTGGTCGTCTCTTGCTTGCAGCAAATACGACTTTGGATGGTCCACGTCAAGAGTTGTCAGTCTTATTGAATTTTTTTCTAAAAAGGAAAAGTTATGATAAAAGAAAGTTTTCTTAACGAGCAGTGAAGAACTGTACTTCAAGTAGATTGATCAGTTAGAACGATGAAAAATTTTCGCGTGCTTTAAAACGAGATTCCTATAATTCGAAACGAGATTACGTAAACACACCACAAGATTAATTTGAACACAATATGTAGCAGAGGCTGAAGCGCCAGTTGAAAGAGAGCAATGTAAAGAAGATTCAACTATAAATAACTCCCATACCAATGTAAATGAACTATAAGGATTTTAATCAGAGCACAGTGCATATGGCAAATAATATCATAAGGTCAAACAAGATTCCTTTTCGTATTGATCATTAGCATAACAGTTTTAAAATAGTTGATCGGATCTCGGTTGTTTGGTTATTGTTTTACATTAGAAATGGGCAACCTACACTCAAAATATCAAACTAGTACAACATTCAATTTTACCTAAAAAAATCACTGGCGGGACAGTGAATAATTAGCCGCTGCCCTAGAGGTGACACTTCCGATATGTAAGATAAATCATATCAAAATGGGAAGGTAAACACAGCACACGTTCCTTGTTGGGCCTAAGTGGAAGAACTTTCTGAAATGTTAGGAATGAATTTAGTTCTTCACTTGCGCTTATGTTTATTACTATTCGACGTTGTTTGGGTAAAGCAAAAGCACATGGACTTTGGAAATGCAATGATACAGTCGAGGGTTCCTTTCCATGTTAAGTCTAGAAATGTTTGGAATTTCATTTTGTGCCGTCTTAGGGTATGTAGGGAAAGTATCAGCCTAGCAAGTCCAAAAGTTTAAAACTAAACGAGACGTTGTAATGATTTACTAACCAAAAAAACAAAAGAAAGGGGAACAATTTAAACCAGTAAAGTAATAATTTTCAACACAAAGAGTGACCTGAACTAATTTCAACAGAAACTAAACCAAAATTGATTGAGACAAGCCTAAAGATAAAATCTAAATGTCTTTCACAGCATAGCTGTAGAGAATTTACATTGCGGGTGATATAATTACGGTTATCTAATTGCATAAAAAGAATCGCTCGGATTTAGCTAGATGTAATTTCCTGAAATGTAATGATTTAATAGTATTTGAGCAGAAGTGATTAGCGATTGGTGCCTGTCGATTGGTGATCAGTGATTGATAACGCAAGTGCTGATTGACATGACAATTATGATAATGTTGAAGGTTGATGATGATGTGAAAGTTGTGAGGGATAACCAACAGGAATTGCGTTAAAGTCGATGATTATGATCAAATGATCCTCCGGGTGATAGAAAGTGATGGACGTGCAAAGAATAATAACATTACAATATCAATAGCAAGAATTACAACCACGATTACATTTTCATGGTGGCGATAAGCCAATCAATGATTGATCACTGAAAATACAGACGGTCATAACCAGTTCTAAATCGGTCGTGATCAAATTTAAAAAACTTTTTCTAAATACATGGGGATTTGTCGGTCATATTTGAGAGAAGAAGATGAAATTGAAAGACATTGAACGGAAAGAAAGCGAAAGGTAGGCAAAGGATGAGAAGCTTGACTGGCAAAAGGGAAGGCTGAAGGTATGGAAAGATGTTGAGATTGGCAACACTGCAAGAGACAGGAAAAGATCAAAAATATCGGACAGAAACTGAAGAACAACTCATGAAATCTTATGCCATGATATGCTACGGTACAAGAAGAAGAACAAGAAGAAAGTGCGTATGTCTGCATAGTATTCAATAGCTTTATATGGTTAAGAAATCAAGCTTTCTTCTTACTGTTCTTGCTATTCTGGCTGTTCTGGCATTTCTGGGTGTTCTTTACGAAATGACTGGCACTAATTTGACCAGAAAAGATCTCAAGCGAAAGATCAACAGGCAGTTTATTGCGGACTAAATCAACCTCTAAGATTTGCTTGTGGTTGAGAAATTACTGTCTGTGGGATGAAAATCGAATCCCAAGGTGAGGAAGGCTGATCTTGGCGAAAATAACTTCAGTGGTGGTAGCTGTGACTGGCGATGGTGGTAATGGCTGTGACTGCCAGCCGCGATAAGGCTGTGACTGCCAGCCGCGATAAGGCTGTGACTGCCAGCCGCGATAAGGCTGTGACTGCCAGCCGCGATAAGGCTGTGACTGCCAGCCGCGATAAGGCTGTGACTGCCAGCCGCGATAAGGCTGTGACTGCCAGCCGCGATAAGGCTGTGACTGCCAGCCGCGATAAGGCTGTGACTGCCAGCCGCGATAAGGCTGTGACTGCCAGCCGCGATAAGGCTGTGATTGGCGTTTTGGTACCCTATGCCAAAGTGTAACATTGTGAAACGCAATGTGTTTCAGATCGTGTGATTTCATCATTGTGCGATGTTTTGACACGTTCTTAAGCGTTTGATATTTACACTTGTCAATCACGCAAAGTGAGTTGCCAAAAAAAGTTGTACTTTTTTTGCATAAACTTAACAACGGAAATAACAGCACCGCTTCTTATTTGCGTCCTTTTTATAAAAATAGTTCAATTGCTCTTTACATTCTGAACAATATGAACCAGAACATTCGACCGGTTCACATGCTAAATTCCACCATTCGTTTTGGTACCCCATTGTTTAAGTGCAAGGGTACGTTTTTGCATAACCAAAATTGTCATGCGTTAGTGTACCCGGACCAAAATGCATAGGGTTACCGAAACGCATATCAAATCGGCTGTGTTTGGCAGCGGTGATGATGGCCGTGAATGATGGCGGTAACTGGTGGTTTTAATGACGTTTATTGCAGTTTAGTTGCATTTGTTGTTGTTGTCATGGACATTTAGATGGCGTCAGTTGGTGGTTGACGTTTTGGTGGCGGCGATCGCAATGGTTGGTGACCATGATGTTGATGACTGTTAATTACGAAAATTGAGTGCTAGAGAAAATAATGATGGCTATATAGCTGTAATGATGCGAAAAGGACAGTGTTAATTTCGTTCGTTTTGTTAATCTTAATAAATTTCGTTCTGTTTATCTAAAAAATTATAGCAGAATGATGGTGAAAAATTGAGCTGTTTTTTCTCAACAGAAAATTCATATTAAATCTCTGTAAACAAGATAGTGCTTTAAAAACATTCAAATGATTCAGTAACGACACTCTGGATTAAAGTGCACTGAGCACGAGCTCTTAGCACCAGGGATCAGCTAAAGGGAAGGAATAGCTTGATACCAAACCTCGCACTCAACTGCGTTTCAAAAATCATAACGGGGAGCTGAAAGCCATTCAAAATGACTCTCTACAAAAACTTCTTAAGAATGTCAGTTGCTTGATAAGACTAAGATTATATTTAACTGGGAACCATTTCCTGTGGTAAGTTCACAGTAGATGACGTATGCATTTTCTAAATATAAAGTCCTAGTTCTGATTGAAAATTTTCTGAACGTAGGAGCTAGTGACTGAATGAATGAGTGACTGTGAAAAACTCCAGTTGGACTGTAAAGAAGATAGCAGAGTGTAGGGCACAGGCCACTGCAAGTTCAGCTTAACAGAATAAAGGTCCTTAGAACAAAAATAAAATCAACAACAGAGCAAATATACCTATTAAAATAATAAACACACAGAAGCGGGTATGCTTGTCTTAAATACCAACACAATGTGGGAGAGTTTGCTTTAGATTTAGGCCATCTTGTTACGGAATACTGCTTGAGTAGCCACTGCCATGTGAAGAAAAGTGACAAAACTGAGACAGCGATTCCAATGGTTTTTTATAATCATGGGAATCGTTTAGCCTGAGCAACGTTAATAGGCTGTAACCATTCGAACATAGTTTTTCTAGGGTAGCTTCTCATTTCCAGTGAATTATCAAAGTAATAATAGAACTTAAGAAAGAATTTAATGAAAAAAAATAGTATTTAGAATCTATTAGTTATACATAATATGTAAAATTTGTATCTAAACTATCAGAGCATTAACAAGGAATAGGCCATCATTTGCGAGCAAAGAGGTACGGCTTACTGGGAGGCTCTTTGCAATGCAAATATAAAAATAGGTACTCAGATGCTCTGGGGTTAGCTGGGTTTTAAAGAATGTTCTGAAAGAAAAGAAGAGTGGTGGAACCGCACAGGTGCCGAGGCTGTTGCTTGTGTTGTAGAAACATATATGTTTATGAGCGAATGAATAATTTATTGAATGAATGAATGAATGAATGAATGAATGAATGAATGAATGAATGAATGAATGAATGAATGAATGAATGAATGAATAAATGAATGAATAAATAAATGCATGAATGAATGGCATGCTTAAAAAAAGCTGTTTTGAAGCCTACAGAGAACAGGGCTAAATATTAATGAAATGATGAACAAATCGACGATGGAGGACGCAGTGTAAATGATGCACATGGATGATCAATGGAAGGCAGGAGTGTAAAGGTTTGAATACCGGAATGCTTTTCTAGCAACCAAAAATTCAATTAGAAATCGATAAAAATAGAGAAAGGCGACAAAATTACATTTGCAAAGTCAATGCATTACTTTGAATATTCAGAAGACAGTCCTTTACAAAAGAGCCTCAAAGAATTGCAAGTTAAAGCGAGGGCAGCCCTAGATTGTTCTATTTTATTTGGATTTGGTCTAAAAGAGAAGCAGATGATTCTGAAGAGAGAATAAAGTCTTTTTACGTTGGCGGGAATTTTGTTATTATTTTGTTGCCCAGAAGAGACTCAATTTTGGGCGTTCTATGCATGTTAATGCAGTTATCCGGTACAGTGTAAACGGGAGGGCAAAATGGACAAAATCTGTGCAGCACAGCGTAAACGCAAATCAATCCGCACAAGTTTTATGCGGAAAAATCTTATCCGGGACAGTGTAAACGGGGTCTGAAAATTCAGAAGACAGTCCGTTACAAAAGAGCCTTAAAGAATTACAAGTTAAAGCGAAGGCAGCCCAAGATTGTTCTATTTTATGTAGAATAGGTTATCAAAAATTTCTTTAATTGACCTCAATAATCCAAACCGGATAGAACAACAGATTTCACTTTGGTGATCGAATCGGTCGAGCAAAATAACAGTTACCCCCTGTCAAACAAGATTAATGGTATACACTGTTATTTAACACAAAAGAAAAGTTGAAGATCCTTAGAATATAAAAAGAAATAAGGGTTACTTAGAAGTTAAAGCAGGGCAGTGCAACCTTGCCTTAAGCAACCTACCACATTCAGACAACCTTTATGGTCAACAAGTGAAAATTACCAGCTCAATTGAATTTTTTTATCAATGGCAACTGATACTTTTCAACTTCACGAGCTAGTATTACAAGAAAGTAATCACTCAAGTTCTTTCGTGACCACGCAAAGGATTAACGTTAAAACGCACACCAAATCAGAGGTTAGGATGCTGTTTATGTATATCATCCATTCATGAGAGAGTCAAGATAGTAATCTGGTGTCATCATACTCCCTAGCTTTATGATAGTTGCATATCATCCTAACAGAGCCCTAAAAGGAAACCAGAAATACAAAGAGGTACTCGTTTGGAACTGTAAACTTGTTCTCGAGATCTTAATGCCAAAACAAAAAAGACCAAAAGTCTCTAAACCTCGCAAAAAGTAGGATTCAGTGCCTAACAGGCCAGAAGGGATACATACCTGTGGCCAGTCTGTTTATTGTATTTTTGAATGAACCATTTCTTTTAACTTCGCTTTCTATAACCTCCTCAACCTTTATACTTGAAAGTAACATCGGCTGCAATAAAACAACAAAAACCGTTAGATTTCAAGCTGATAAGGACATAAATTTTACCTGAGTCCCAAGAGAGAACACTGCCAATAAGAAGAATATGGAACAGTTTTCTAAGGGTCATCAAACAAATCATTTCTGAATGCAAATAGTGATGCCCCGTAAGTATCTTATCCTCAGAATTGCAAAATGCACCATTGAGAGTTGTGATCGGCCAGCCACTTTTTTAGGAGCTGTTATTGAGAAATTTCCAATTGTAACAATAAAATAACACTATAGATTCGATGCTGCATTGAAACGAAAGTAACAAACCTCAATGGAAACTTGATACATAAGTGTCCCGCGCCGAGTTGCTGGTCTTGTTAATACAAACACATCATCGAAAAGAAATGCTTCTAGTTTCTACAAAAAATGAGTGGTGTTTGATCGTAAGTCCAATGCAGGACAAAAATGAATCGAGAAAAAAAATTAGTTCAGAAGTTGTCGATGCCAACTTGAAGATATCAGCTCTGCTAAGTCTCATTCCACCATGTACAGAGCACTTTACCCCCCCCCCCCCTTCATACAATATGCATCTACTGGTCGACATAGAATACTCAAGTTGCTTAATGCTCTGGAAAATTTTATTTATCATTGTTTCATAAGGTTTTATCAACTTAAATATATTGAAATTGAACCTATTTGTTTATCTGGCTGGAAAATTGCTATCTCATACTTTTGTATTATGTTTTTTGAGGCAACATAGGGGTTTCCGAAGTGGGCTGTATAAAAGCAGTGAGACACCTGGAGAACCTTTATTGCTGGTGACTGAAGTTTTGTGCGAGCCACTTTGTGACATTGTCGGGAAAAAGACAATTCTAGAGTTTTGTAATAATTCAAAATTTAATTGTTCCTTGATTGTTGGCATACAATACCGATGTTTCTAAATATTCTCCGAATGCCAAGTACTCGTTGCTCAAAAAGAAAAGTGTACACAAGGATTTTCAATTGAAAATCACTGGGTATTGAAATTGAGCGGTGGGATAGAAGGATAAACAAATTGGTAGAACGATGAAATTTTTGGACGTGTTCAGAAATTCTCCGAAGCAATTCCAGCTACACAAAGTAAGTTTTTAATTGGTGCCTTTTCAAAAACCATCTATTCAGTTGTCGATGATTTCCATGGAATAGCTAAGAACTCTTGGAGACTAAAAACGCTATATCACCAAAGAAACTTTAGTCTTTAGTTCATTAGTGAAACCCTACACGTAAGCTTTTCAAACTAACGAGGGCCAAATACACATTTTCGTTGTACTTTTCACCGATCTGTAGCAGTGTGTTGTAGGACTATTCGTTTATCGTTTTGGTTGGTTCAGGTGTCGCCCACATGGTTATGGTTAAGATATTACAGATTCATTGCTACTCTAGAACATTTTCTTGGTAATTAAAGACTGATCCGAATTTAGGCCATGAAAGTAAATTCTTTATCTCTTGGATTGTCGCTGAGACACGAGGTTTAACTTAGATAAGACACATTCCTTCATCTTAGAGGTATGTACCTCAGGGCGTCCTACTCAGATAGTTTTCGTATAAATCTAAAGAATAATTATTGCCAATTGCTAAGCAAAACAATAAACAATCACCAATGGGGATCCTAACAAAAGGATGATTCAAAATATTGTTCCCTAAAAATAAAATATTTTCATAACCAGGCAAAAATCGTTAAATATTTTCAGTACCAAAAAAATGAATAGAATATATTTCATCCCAAAATTTAGACATCAAAATAATGATTAAATTAATTAATGACATCAATATAATGAAACGCTTAAAACAATAGGTGCTGGAATTGTTTTTCATCATTTGAGTTCCCAATGGTGACCTCTGTTTCTTATAAAAATGGTTGTAAACATCTTTGATTTTGTACTAAACATCAGCATCACTCAGTGATTTTCGAAAACGTTGTTAATCTCGCTGTGATAGTACCTTTTATTGCTTGAATCAGTTGGCATTTAGAGAGATAGCATGTCATACGTGGAGGGGGATTAAGCTGATCACGATATACGGCACTTAAAATAATGGGATAGGTCTAATTTTGGGCCAACTGTAGTTAAAAAAAGCCATGAAAGAATAATAACTTATATCTTTTAATACCACGATAGATTATCCAAGCTAACATCTCAACAGTTGGGTTATCTTTAATGAATCTTTTAAATCCTACATGCTGGTAAATGGGGCACGGGACCGGAGGCTTAGCATGTACAGACTGTATTTAACGAAGTATGGTCAAGAACCTCAGGAATTTCCAGCCTTTTTTCCCGCTATTTTTTAAATTCGTTCATTTTACGGATAAACATAATTTTGAGATACTAAAGGACCCATGTTGGAAGTCTAAATGGCACAAGAAGTTTTCATGCCAGAAAAATCACGCGGGTATCCCGCAGATTCCTGCATACTTCACCCCATCCAGAAAGCGGTAAAAACTGTCCCCTGACCACCTACTGACTTCAACAACATACCAGAGCTGAGATATCAAATATTGAGTTGTTTCAATGAGGTTTTGACCGTATTATGAGGTTTGTTTCCTTACAAAACGAGGTAGGAAGCTTAGTCGTGATCAACGTTCGAAGCCACATGGCAAAACACACAAGTTCGCGTCCATAGAAAAAGACGAAAACAACATTTTTCGTATGTAGTAATAAAACTCCGTTATTCGTAAAACTCAAATCTAATCCTTATCCCTTTTCACCTGCGGTGGATATTTATACTACAAACACGTTATAAAAGGCATGTTGATACTTATTGGCTAAAACGCTTGCCTTTACTTTCTTGGTTTTAAAAACCATTATTTTCGTCAGTCGTATTATATCACTTCACATCCATCTTATCTCAGCTTTCTATATGCTAACATCAACTGCTACGTTGGATGAAAGCCACTGTTTCTAAATTTCTTACTTTCTTTAGAAATTTGTTATTAAATCGACTATATAAACAATTATCAAACAAACTCCTTTGCTGACACATTTTGGAAGGTCAGGTCACGATATTTTTTCTTCGATACATACCGGACATACAGTAACCTGCTATACCCACAATAAGAAATAACTAACAAAACTTGTCATTGCTAAGGCCAGTGAAAGTTTGCCGTTGCTTGCATTTGCAATTTTAATATTGGAAACATTTCCAAAGCTGAATAAATATCCGGACTCTTAAATTTTCTTTGGGAAAGGTTTTGGAGTGTACCTTGGGGATTCTTGAATCACAACAATTAAGTTATTCCCTTAAAAAATACACTGAATTCATGCATTTCGACTGACTACTTTTTCACACCTCACAATTCGGAATATCCTGGCCATGTTTATAGAAAAATTGGTATGACTTTGGATAAAATGGTAAACGATTTCAAAGGATAGAAAAGCTGAAGCGTGAACTTACCGTTCCATTGCGATTTCGAAGGCATCCATCACATATTAGTGTTTTCGATGAGGCGACTAGACTTGCATGCTACAGTAAAGAACATACAGGCGAAGGTCACAGAAAGAGTACGATGTGTAGGTAAAAAGTAGGGCGTAACAATTTTGAAACAGTAAAAAAGAATATAGCACTGGTTTCAAAATCAATTCTTGAAAAGCTTTTTATTAAAAGATACAACGCATTAAAATCATCTGCGATCAAAACATCTAATGAATACAAATACTTTCTAAATAAAGCAAGAACTCATATTTTTCATTGTAATGATAAAGATGAAACACAATAAAGCACTGGATGACGTTTTAAAAAGTAAAAGTGAAAAAACAATGGTGAAAATGGCGGCTGTCTCATAAACTACACTGAGAGACAAGTGGGAAAATCCAATTGATGACGTCATTGCCCACATTTTATCACATTATCATGAATAATGAAAGTGATTATGACTAAAAGAATGACTTGTTTGTTTTTAGTTGATTAAAAGCTAAAGTTTTCGTCACTAAGTTCTCCGTTCTTCAAAGGGTGAAGAAAATAAACCAGATTAAGCTGGATATGAACACAGCTGCGCATTAATGGTCATGCAGAAAATTAATTGCATGAATCAAATCTGGTTCCGGGTCAAAAGCGAGGTTGTTTGCTGCTTCATGCTCAATAAGATTTAAAAACAGAAACGGAATATTGATGAAGGGGCAAAAGACGTGAATAGCTAAGCTTTGGTCCAAAACAAACCTATACTTTGTTTGAGCAACGCAAAAATTACTTTGATAAAAAAATTAGAGCCTCCTTTGTCTGGGCTTGGAGTGGACGAATCCACCTTTAGAGAATTTCTGGCGCTAGCTTTGTGCGAATAAAATTGTCAACAGAGGGGTTGTTGAACAGCATTCTGATGCAGCTATAAGATTTCAGCAGTGACTGGAATGACAACTGTATACAGCATGGGTGTGCAATACCCATAGTCTGTGAATCAATATCTCTAATTAGGTAGCCTTAAGACGTCTATATTGTTTAGAATCCACGGCACCCTTCACACTTTTTCTATCCTGATCGTTTGTGTTGGGTCTCTGCACAAGTCCATAGTTGTTGCCAATTAGGCCAGCTAACCTCGTCGCAACGTCAAGAAAAGCACGGTGCTCTAAGTGACTTAATTTATAACAGCATTATGCAAAGAAAATGTCAACAGGAAAATTGAACTTCAATGGCTTAAACAAAATCTCGTTAATAATACGCTAGATTTGGTTAATAGTCTTAGAATCTAAACCATTCTTAAGGAAATGATAATACTTATGTCTCTTAGTAATTTTGCAGATTAAGAGGCTCAAATGGAAGATACCATGAGAAATTTTGACTAATGGATCCAATGACGAAGATATGTATTTCTAGACATGTATTTAGAAGACATGACTGTATGAGATTTGGTGACTTGTTTAAGAAGTCAAAAAGCTTGTATTTGCCTTTCTTAAACTGAAATATTTTATTGATTGAAGAGCATGACCTCAGTTTATACGGCTTTGACCTGATGAGATATACATAAATTAAGGTTATATTGATAACAACAATGGCAGTGTGCACGGATTTGTGGAGCTGACTACCATTCATCAACTACTTGTCTTGAATAAAATGCAGTCATCTCAGTTGGTGTTAGGAGATCCAGCATTGAAACTACACAAACTAACTCCAATAACTAAAGCTAACAACAAGTGAATGCTAACAACTAAAATAATATACACTTCACCCAAAAGTAGTGTCTCTGAAAAGACTAGTTGAAAAATGTTTCATGCAAAACAGCTGAAAAATCTTTAGTGCAATTGACTTGTAGTGGTAACACACAACAAAATAATAGAAAGTTCCAAAATTCAGTTACTTGCATAGACAGCCTCAACTTATATTATTCCCTACTCAACTACTATGTTCCAACCTAAGTGACGTATATTCTGGCCCTATGGCAAGGTTAACCTTATCCAAAGAATATCAGACATTAATTTCCAAAAATTCGACAATGAGAATAAACACGTCTGACAGGATATTCCTCAATACCAAATAACTTCCTGGATGCATTAAGCCGCTCTAACCAGATAAAGTCAAGCGGAGTTAACAAAAGTAGCATCACAGAGATTGGAAACGTGGCTACCGAACCAAGCGTTTTCTACTTCCGAGAAAAACCAGCACCCATTCAGTTCAGATAGAGATTATCATTGTTCATCGTCTAGGAGATGGATTTGTTCACAACCACTGAATATAGGAAAACACCTTAGGTTCATATTGATGAGACATTTAGCTCATCATGATGATGATGATGATGATGATGATGATGATGATGATGATGATGATGATGATGATGATGATGATGATGATGACGATGATGATGATGATGCTGATGATGCACATTATTGCCAACAACAGGCACGTTGGGTTAAGATTTAATTTGGAGCTAAGAAATAGGGCTTGCAAGAAAATCTTTTCACAGAAAAATCCGAGTTAATTTCTAGGATTCTTAGGAATACATTAACAGACCTAAATCTACCAAAGAAAAACTCTAAAAATGGATAGAAATGATTCCCGTTTAGATGTGTTCGGAATGGCTCCTCTGCGGAGTTTAAATAAGTGTTAACCATTTGGTCTTTTAACGTTGTTTATTTTAAAATAATAATAAATAATAAATAATAATAATGATAATAATAATAATAATAATAATAATGATAACAACAATAATAATAATAATAATAATAATAATAATAATAATAATAATAATAACTTAATTCAGATTAAAGTAGGGTTTATTGTAATTTGCATGTATTGAATTATAATTTATTCTACTTTTATAGTTAATTTATTTTTAATACTATATCATTTCTTGCATGTTTTTTAAGTGGAAGTGCTAATTAATGAACTGCTTTTTGATGGAGTAAAGTGACCAAAACTTCATGCTATAAATTATTCATGGCTAATACAAAAAGCACACAGCAAAAGGAAGAGGGGCCCTAGGTTTAGTTTTAGCCATGACGTAGTCTAATAGCCTATCCTGTCACATCAAATGACGTTTGACGTTTCTTGGGCCCCTGAACGGTCACTGGAGTCCTTTACAAGAAAACCTGAACTACAAGAAGCTAGAAGAAAAACAGTATATCAGAAAACCTGGTATATTTTATCTGGTAGCTTCGATCCAGAATTAGAGCTGAATCAAGAGCCTCAATAACCTGTAAACCTCGAAAAGTCGAACATATTTCTGATTCTCTTGTATCCGATCGAGTTTCAACTGTATTTTCAAATACCAATGTCCCCACCCTTGCTTCTTGACCTTCGCTAGTTCCTGTTTCATTTCTGCCTACAAAGCACTGTTATTAAACGCAATGAAGCTGAAAGGCCTTCAGCTATCAAAACTACTCAAACTTCTCCTTCTTGGTTAGATATTCTAATTTCTTTCCTTTCGAATGTTGCTGCATTCTAATGTTAAAAAAGACCGGTTGTCAATGTACAGCGCTAAAATGGATACGTTTAAGCATTTCGTTTACAGGGGAACCGGTTCAGCGCATCATTACTAGCTGTTACGGGACTTTCTAAAGCACACGTAGTCAATGCTTTAAATGTTTCCAGCATATAATAACAAATAGCCCCTGTGATTGGTTAGTTAGAAACGTAAAAAGATGTTCTGATTGGGCAAAGACCCTATCCATCCTTATCAGTGCGGTCAGCAAATGAGTCACATGTAATCGATGATTAAAACGAAAATCCTATTCTACTGAATTTCCGTTTGATCTCCGTGACAATATACATTCTTCCTTAGTTCAAAAGGACTCAGAGAAGTGGTCTTAAGACTTCTTACCAGCCTCCTAATAAGATACAACTTCGGTTAAATGACGGATGAGGATAATATCTAATGGCTCTCAAACCGCTCTTGTTTTTCCAGTAGTTTCAAATGTGTAAAGTTGTTAACTGTCCCTACTTACACAATATTCAAGAAAGATAAAATATTCAAGCAGGATTACAAGCATATCCAAATTTGAGTTCTATTTTGATAAGTTAAGATTCGAATGACACGAAACATTGTCCGTACACTTTTTAGACCGAGGGGAAATCTTTCCAAGAAAATCTCGTACACCTTTCATGAAAATCCTATTGTTTTATCTGAAAATCCCTAGAAATCCTTTTGTTTTAGGTAAAATCTCGCACGCTATTTGCAAGAGTGAATTGCCCCTCGTTTTAGACTAGCACTCATACTAACAACATGCCAACACACATGCAGAGTCTGTGGCTGGTCCAATTCAAACTTAAATGGTAGTAGCTCTATTTTTCTTTTGAAAAGGACGGTTTGTAAGTGAACCCACAACGCTCAAATTTCAAAACCTACGCAGTTTTAAGAGAACGAATTTACACAGATAATTTGAGCATAAAAAGTTACAATAACACCGTTTTTATTAGGAAAGAGCTTGGAAACCAGCCCATGCCACAGGAAGAAGTCCATGCCACAGGAAGAAGCCCATGCCACAGGAGGAGCCTTGCACAGCGCGATGTAGGCTCTTTCCTATTTCCAGTTAACCTTCAGTATACGTGTCCGCCAACAAAGCTGCCCTTAAAATGGCAGATTTTAAAATTTGAGACTCTTATTTACCCAGTAGATGATCCTTTGTCAACAAAAAAGAAATCTTTTGACACAGTATAATTGTCTTTAAGGTCCGCCAATCTTATATCGCATAATCTTCAATAACTCGTGGGCTACCCATTAAACTCAAAAGGAGGCTCTTAATCTTTTAAATAAGCGACTATGTTCTCTTCATTAAAACTTTGGTATATTACAAATACTGGAATCCACATGAGGTGAAAACGCATAAATTCCTATTATTTACCTTCTAACTGTATTATTGGAAATTTTAGCGCTGCCTTTGATCGATCAGAAAAATTGATACTTAAAATCAGGTATATAATACTGAATGAAAAGATGTTTAATAAGAGCAAGTATAAGTCATCCGAATCAGAGCAAAACCCCCTAGCCATTTTGATATGCTTTGCGTTGTTCAAAGGCTACGTTACGTGACAGCCTGGCAACCAGTAAGAGAAAAAGGCCAAATTGGAAGTTTATTCAAGTATTAAGAAGATAGACTCACCTCTGAATTGACAAAATAGAGTTTTCTCTTCAAGAACTCGCACTGTTAAAAGAAAAGCTTCACGCTTAAAGATCCAGTTGATAATTAGGATGACCTCATACGAGTATTATATCTGAAATAGCTCGAAATGTTCTGAGCAGTTAAATATATACCAAACACAACAAGGATTGATCGATAAGATCATTTTTAAGAAGCGAAGAAGGTAAACCAGTGACATTCCGTCTTAGCGCCCAAACTGAACCTTCATAAGGGTGAGAAACAGTCAAATTCAACCGAAATTCTTTAAGGCAGCGTTTGTTTAGCATGATGATTAGAAGGAGGTTTCTTGAATAAAGTTAGATTACATTTGATCACACGAGAACCTTGATGTCATTCGTTTATCAGAAGTAGGCACTAACTGGAATACCACTTGAAAATTTCTTGCATGCACTTTCTTCAGAATTTCATAATTTTCGACTTATAGAAACTTTGCAAAAGCTAAGATAAATGTGAAAACAAGAAGTCTGGCTGATCAGCCCATCAATAAGCTACAATCTACTTTTTCATATACGCTGAAACTTATAAATAACTTTTTATAAAGATAGATGGGAAATTTTGAAACGACCACTGGGAATCTTAAAAATATTATAAAAATAGGTCGATATGGAAAATTTATGGGGTAGGAGCGTATCTCACGATATCGCATCTCGTGTCAAGCAGTTTTGTGGCACTGTGGTCCAAAAAGGAAGCCGTTATCAAGTAGTAACGAGGTGGATGTGGCTCACTGCTAGTACAGCGGTGGCAAGTTGTGACATGAATCTGTGTTGGGCAGTTATAGATCTAAAGTTCGTTGGAAGGTTAGAGAGGTAGCGTGTACGTATAAGAGCTTTTAATGTACAGAATTATACATACAAATGGTGAAAAAAGAGAAAGCACATTGGGTAGATAAGCCAGTGTGCCGCGCTCGTTTAATGAAGGAACATCAGCTGTCTGTGCATAAGAGATCGTTGCAGAAAGCTGGGAAAACAATTTAAGCAAAAGCATTTCTGTTAAAGGTTCGTGGAGCCTTGTATTTGCGACAAGAAGGATCGCGCTTTTCAAAATGAAGCCAATGATTAATTTTCACCTAAATTAGAGACAGAGTAGCTAAATACAAACATTAAAACTGCTCATACCTTTGATCGACCAGTTTCTTTATCAGCTTGTGAAATAATCTCCTCGATCCCTTTAATCTAGCAAAAAGTCACAAATAATTTTAAATATGCATGTTATCTGTAATGATAACAAAAGTTTACAAGACGCCTTTTTATAAACCAGATTTTTCTGCCAGTCATATGATTTTAAATATATTTGGTGCAATTTCTGTTTAGCTTAGTCGTTTATATCTTGGGAAGACGCTTGAGCAGCAGATTACAAAGATATAGCCTAATGCAGAATACTTATAACATTCTTAAATCCGTTGCTGATAAGAAAATCTGACATCTCTTATCATTTTAGGCCCTTCTGATCCGGTATAGATGTCACTGTAATCTAACTTTGAAGGTAAGATTTCAAACTGTGGTCCTCGGATTTCTCCTGATGGATTGAAACAGCCTTTAGAAGAGGCTTAATTATCAATTTTTAGGCAAATACAATATATAGGTATAGGAGCATGAGAATTTGTTTAATTTCAACTACCAAGGTTGTTGATGGGGTTTACATTTAGATGTAGAAACTGTTGTCGACATGTCGAAATAAAATACATTTCATGACTCGAAATATTTTGAAATATACCTTATTTCTCAACAAATTACAAATTTACATACTTTGCTGCGTAAAATTTACTTTTCTATCTTTAAACTGCATAACTTCGATGCTATGTATGAATGGCTATTTCCAAAATCAAGACATTACAATTTCATATAGAAATACGGTTTCCAAGCGAACCAAACTTTCAAAATCGCTCAATGACTAGTTACCAACCATGCACAAATCATAGATCAACCTAATCTTCAAAATGCTCGACCCCCTGGTTTGCTAGCTACCCATAGGCGAATCAGATGTAGAGTTTCTCAATGCTACTGAAACGTGAAACCAATGTAACCGTTTGTAAAATATTAGTTTGAATGATATGTCTGGCGACGTCCCGTCAGCGAAAAACCAACTGTTAATTAGCTGGATAAATAGAGTGTATAGATTTTATTGCATATTGACAATAGAGGACAGAATATGAATACGTTAAGGAGTTGATCTGGCAGAAAAAACACAAGCCTCATAACAACTTCAAAATTTTCTTTACAAAATTGAGCGACATTTTCGGAGCCGTATTAGTTTTATAGGGCGATGTTCCACAAATTTGGCAATAATTTTAAAGATTCTGTGGAAGTCAAGCTATGGTAACTTTTTAAAAAATTCAAAGCTCTATATGGGTAAGTCCAAGTATCTATGGTCAGCAGCTGGTAGATAAATAATCACCAATTGCCTTACGGCAAAGTGCGGCTCTGCTCACGCCATACCACTTTCTACTTCAAAAACTGCGCTTTAGTCTATCGAATTCAAATACCAACCTTGCAACTTTTGATACCGGAAATTGGCAACGAAGAGAGCATAAAATGGATAAATGATAAATTTGAGGTATAACTTACTGAATCATGGAGAAGATACTTGTCTTTAGAAAAATCTGACGTCTGTGAACGAAAATGCATTATCAAAGCTGATTCATGAAAGGAGAACACACTGAGGGAGTTCGAATTGAATAATGAATATGATAAATAAATATTTCCTTCTGCCTCTGAAAGAACTTGACTTGTCATGAAAGGAAAAACAAAGGATAAAGACGGACATACTATGTTAAATAATAAAACCAGTGGGTGAGAATAGCTGTTCAGATTGCAATTATAACTTTGACTGGAGCATAAATTGTTAAAAAGTTTCAAAATTATATACAAGCAAAAGAAACTTACAAGTTTTTCTATTGTGCTGAACAGCAATGGATATTTTACGAGCCTGTTTCTTGGGGCATCTAAAGAAAATTAGAAGAAATAAAAGGAGGTATCCCAATTTCAGATCAATATCATCTAAGTAGCAACAAAATGTGTCAAATTAGATTAACGGAACAGAAGCAATGAGCTTAATTTTGAATAGCGATATTGTCGAGGATACAAAAATAGCGAAGTCCTATAATGAGCCAACAATTAAAACCACTTTCAAAGAGCATGCGCAGTAGTTATTTAGCTTAAAACAGATAATAGCCAGATGGTGTTTTGTTCAGGCCTTCAAAAAAATATGATATTAGCAAAATCCATAAAAGCATTTTGTATCAAACGCATTTAACTTGTGTTTTGCATTTCATCAACAAGATTTATTTTCTGTTGACAGCATCAAAAACCTGGACAGCATTGTTTGTGATAAAATCCAATAAATTTTAATAACATGTGGTTCCCAATTTATATATGAGAAATATTTTCTTCAAAAGAATAATTAACACACCATCTATTATTTTGAATTCAAAGAAAATCTAATTAAAGCAACAATTTAAGGACATAGTTTCGCTCAATTGAATATGAAGTTGGCTTTTGCTAATAGCATTTTACGCCCCCAATATGGTTTAGCGGTGGTGAAGAAAGATTTCCATTTATTTTGAAGAATAATATTGCAAATTCATAGATATCAGAAACGATATATGATTAAAAAGAGAATTTCAGACAGGAGGGAGTGTTGCTTTGAAAAAATGTGATATAGAACACTACAACGGTTGCCTGGTGACGGACATCAAACTGAGAGAAGTTAACATCATCAAATCATGTGCGGTATTAAATAACACGAAAACCAAATTCATTTCAGCGATAAATGATGTTAAGAGAACCTACACATCCTGCATCTACAGATTGCATTAGCTTATGTTGATGATTAATATAACTTATTTCAAGAAACAAATGAGGTAATAAGGCCGTTATGACTCCACAGGTATTGAATGTGCAAATTATAACATTTCTTGCGTAAATTTCCTCGTAATTTTCTGCTCATGACTTCTTCTGTAAATGGTCTGATTGGTTATATTTCAAACCTCCAAAAGCAAGGAGAGAGCGGAACTTTATCGATATCTTAAGATTTAATGTTGGCTTCAGATTCACTCACCTAGGAAGTTCCATAAATCAAGCTTGCGGCTAAATGGTGATTCTAAGCAGCGCTGTAAGACATTAATTTAAAGTAATTAAATCGATTTAATCTAATAAAAGTGGCAAGTCTGAAAGTTGAAAGCAGAAATCAGAAATCAAATAGAATTATATCAAAATTGATTCCGAGTGTTCTTGCAACCGGGCTTTTGCTTTCTTAAAAATGTTTAATCATTAGAAATGGTAAGAAAGATAATGGGCATATCGATGGCTGTTCCAAATGACAAAAGCTTAAGAAGGTAGCTCTGTCTTCTGAACAAAAAAGTAAAGTCCATCTTCTATCTTTCATCTATTTATCTATTCTTCAGTCTCTTTAATCAATCTATTTAATTTTTAAGATTCACCAGATATGCTCCCGCTTTATTGATTTTGGGTGCAGTAGTCAGACTTCTTCGCGTAATCAGTCAATGTACGGTAACCAACGCCTGATGGTGCACAGGTGCTATCTACCTGTCAACAAGTTATCTACAAGTTGGATCGTGGGATAAATTTACAGGGGAATGCTTTTTGCTCAAAAACATTGGTACATAGAGCTATTTCCGGGTACTTAGAACTTAGAACTACTAATAACATTTTTGAATAGGGTCATTGACATTGATAATAAGAGTAACACAGGATTCGCGGCTTTAAAAATGATGACAGGGTTACAAATATGGAGCTTCAGAGGCTCTCCAAGAGCTCACAAAGAATATACATATTTCGTTATTTTACAAGCAGGCTGCTCATATTATCATTGGCTGTGTAGAATAAACATACAAAATCATTTTGAAAAATTATGAAAAATTAGTTTAAATGATGAACATTTCGATAGGTAGTCACTTTAAATGGAGCTGCGTGGTAGCGTTTTATCTTTAAAAAATTTCTAGCTTTAATTTTCAGGGGATGAAATACTTGACATTCCCTTAGTAGTACACTTTTTGCCTGTTATTGAATGGGTTTATTAATGAAAATGGGGTCCTATATACTATATAATCAACTGCAAGAACTCATAATTAGCTGTTTGCGGAAATATTGGTACACAAATAATGTTATAACTATAAATAATGATTCATTGTATGTTATGTTACATTGTCCGTGGTGAGACAGAAGATAAAATAGAAGATAAAACAGAACTGACGTTAATATAACGCCATACAAATCTCATATAAAAGTCCTGGGTACTAGTATTCACAATAATGTCACGTCATTGATAAAACGTAAGCTAATTACCTGTAAAAAATCTGCGAAGGCTGAATTTACTTTTAGTTTATTGTCTAAAAAGTGTTTCCGGTTGAATTGTTGAGCGCAATAAGGCACATAAGGTTCTAGGCCAGGTATCTATGATGCAAAATTAACCGATATTATAAACTGCACAACATATATGTCTATAAGGATATATTACCATACAGCAATTCGATTTGCTATCGCGAATGCAGCTACAAGAATAAATAATCAGGTTGTTCGAATTTCGTGATTTCAGTTTATAGTTTTCGATCATCAATAGCATTCAAAGAGCGATAGCTAATGTCAAATGATAAAAAAATTCAGTAATGATAAATCTTTGTTTAGATGCCTATATAATGTCAAAAGCTTAAAATATTCGATGTGAACAATAAGATCTTTAGGGACGGATTTAAGAGGCAAGGATGGGGTGGGAGGAGGGTGGGGGTGCTAGGCGATGATCTGCCTTTTGCACACATCCTTCAGGAGCCTAGAAAATTATGGAAACGCCCATCTAACTAAAAGGCAAAGAAGATGAGGAGATACATAAAGTGAGATTTTGGCGTCAATTGATTGGCAAAGAGGACCAGAAATTTTGTTTACCGATTCAAAGCTAAATTTACCTAACGATACAAAATAATAGGGAGTTGTCGCACCCCTACACCCCCCGGTAAGTCCGTCTATGCATATCTTTTCAAATTTTGATATAAGCAATTGAACGACTGAATATTGTGTGCCACAACAACCAACTTAAAGCCTAGGCAATGTCCCTGATATTCCTAAGAACACAACAAAAGCAAAACCCAAGCAAGTGCAAAGCTATAGCAAAACTATTCAAGCCAACGATAGAAGCATTGTTAGAGAAATGATAGAGCATAAAAGCAATTCAAGAAATGTTAGCATATTTCAGTGCTACGATTAAACAGTACTCTTTGTCTCAGATTGGGCTTAAAAGTATCAAACCCAGTTATGATATTACAATGCTCCAGCATGAATCCTATGAGTCGGTTGTCATTATTTATTTTGGCAAAATTTGAGCTACCCTACACAAGAATAATCATTGGCATTTTTACATGCGATATAAAAAAAATCTTTTTCTCTTGAACAATTTCAATACCAGGCTCTCCATTACATGCAATAGTGAAACCTCCATCATGTGGACAACTGTGGTCAATCGACACACTGTCTGATGCAAAAAGTGTCCGTTGACTGGAGGTTTCATGCACATAAACTTGGTCGCAGACATCATGGAGCAACATTATTGGTCTATTGTTTGGAATTCTGTGGACAGGACCATTAGATGTTGCTGCACATTATTGACGATTTAGTCACAATATGAAGAACGAAGTCTTCAGGCACAGACAGACGTGGACAGCCCCTTATGTCCTTTTTTGATATCATTTCAATGAACATTAATTAAAACCAATATAAAATGAATAATCTGGTTATAAATCGACTACATCTACATATATTCACTCCAATGACATTGATAGAGTCAAAGGTATCAAAAAGTTCTCAAAATTAATTGATAGAATTTAAACCATTTTTAAAACGCAAAGAAGCAAAGTCAATTATCTTACCCAGTTGATTAAAACTTGCCCAATCTCATCGATCGATCCATCTTTGTTTCGTAATCCTTTTAGTTTAGCCAGCAAATCTACAACAGAAAAAATTCTTCGTACACTACTTAAAAAAAACTCTTGAGTTGACAGTCCTACGATATTCCTAAGAATAGACAAACAATTACCTGTCATTAGTTTTCTGAAAACAGCTGCTCAGTCACAAAAACATAAAAATGGGAAGGTAAATTTACTAAAAACATTACTTTGAGGCTACCATTTTACACAATGCACACATTCTTAAAGGTTTTTGAATAATGTGAAACCTCTACATATATAAATATGAGGCACCTGTGAGACCATTCCGCTGTAGGGAGTGCCTGCTGAAGGGAGGTGTTCATAATAGGGCGGTGACCATTATGCAAAGACTCGTCATAGCGAAGGTCGCCTAAACCTCTTACCACTCCACTAGTCTGACTTTTAGAAATTGTCGGAATTTCAATCTGAGCTCATCCAACCTAGACCACGATTATAGGAAAGTGCTTGTTATTTGGATTTGCCCACTACAAGAATTTGCCGAAAAAGTCTAGCTTCTTCATGAAGACATAACGGGGCTTCGTGGACAAAACGTTAAACGCAGGATGTGAATTGTTCGAAAAAATAACTTTGCTGCTGTTTAGAGGTATCCCAATTAAAGCCCGTTTAATGAGGCACAACTTAAGATTATCAATAACGGTGATGTATACTTGAAAACAAATATCTTTGAAAACAGCACTGCACCAAGCTAATAGTTCAGTGTAGGCATCCACTAACTTTACTAGACTTTAATAGTTAGGCATTGAAGCTTTCTTTTCGAATTCAAGCCTCCATCAATTTGAGTAGTCCATTGGTTATTAATCAGTTGAAGAGAGGTGTTGACTTGGAGTTCCGAGCATTGTCAATTCATTTGCTTTTCTTTGGTAAACGACTCGTTTTGGGCTTTGAATTAGCAATTACGATTTTCAAGGTGTGGCAGTTTTGTATGCGTCTTATAGGTATACACCTCCCCTGGGATAGATATTTTTTCAAATGTATTATCACGATAGGATGACTGAAAATACGAAACATATTACAAAAATATAGAAAGAAACCCAAAAACACACCTTGGTGTAACGGTAACAGGCACTCGACATTACCAAATAACATTGCAAGTTCTTCCTCGTTCAGCAAATTGAGCTTTGACATTTCATTGAAATAGACCTAAAACACAAGCATCAAAATTTGCACTAACCACTGCATTGGGCTATTAAAAAAAATGCTGTAATGCTACGGACAGAAGTTTAAGTCCACATATTGCGTTGAGAAGATATGTTGTGAATTTGTAATTGGCTTGGCAAAAGCAACGGAAAACCAAATGCAGTATCATAGGATAGGTATATTTCAAGTAGACTTAATCTTGATCCTTTATAAACCAAAATATCTGATATGAAAATATTTTTCCCTGCGTTAATTGACAACTACAAACAAAAATTACACCTGGCACCATACTATGGTCAAACTGGCCATTAGCCACTGTGAGCCGCCATATTTAACTACCGTTTCCACACTTCGTTCCCTAATGTATATCTAATATAAATTGTACATTAGAATATACCTTGATCCAGCATTTGATCGCGGAACATGAATAACTATTAATTTATGGAAATTTTAGATAAGCGCTAAATAATTATGTTTGTCCTTTGACTAGTATCAGTGCAACGCAATCGCATAATATTGCAGCCAAACACACCTCTTTTAATAATTTCAAATCTTCTATCAGATCTTCTTCCCCGCAATACAGCTCGAATATAGCCTGACGAAAAAGTGTGCTTTATCGATTTATCAAGAAAATGCATTCAGAAGAAATAAGGTTTGTACTATTTACCATAAGTACAAGAATCAAACAAAAAAGTAGTGGTACGAAATTATTAACAAATTGAAATTTAAGAATAAGCTACATATAAAAAAAATTACCAAATTTAAAAAAATTCAAAACTTTAATGATTTTTGCTTCGATTTATATATCGAATGCTGTAACTTCTTCACGCTAATACATTAATAATCGATTCACATTGCTTTTGCAAATGCAATGAGAAAAAAATCCTTTCATTTGCATGCATTTTTGCGATAGTTTGATTTGTTTAGTTTGATATGCTATAATGGAAGAAAAGAAAACTGGCTTTTTGCTTTCAAAATAAGTAAAATGCGAACGGTAAAAAACATTCATGAAGCTTCAGTTGACCAGACCAAAATTTTCAGCAAGCTGGTGTAAATTATTAATTCATAAATTAAAAAAGAAAGCACGTGGACCCAAAAGAGATTTGCCTAATAAATTCACTTATCTGGTTAAATCAATTTAATATAGACAGGAAACCTCGAAGATAAAGTACAAAGAGTCTTTATTCGTTATCGATATAAATTCGAATAACAAAGATAAAACTGAGCTGTGCATTTAAAGCATGAGTTATGCTAAATATTTCCAATTACCAGATTGGATCCGTGAAAATTTCTGAATTTCAAGGCAATCTACCACTATGTACTTACCTCCTGCCTTTTAATTTGTTGTGACGTCAGACATTCTTTGATGTTGCAGTTAAAATCAGCGACAGTTTCAAGCCACAACTAACAATGATAGGTTAGAAAAATTTCAGCACCAAATATACAATAAAACACGGAAGTTTGCCACGGGGAAATCTTCAAAATAATCGCAAGATTGTCAGAGAAAATAATTTGGAATCGATAAATGATAAAATGGCATGCTTTTCAACATATGAAGAGCAATGATTACTATTGGTTTCTCGACTTAACATGCAAAATAGCCTTTGCACGAGACAGGGGGAGGTATAAAAATTCTTATTAACGCGTAGGGCTATAGAAGGATTTTCCAGAGCATAGAGAAAAATGATTAGTTTCGGGTTTTCTAAAAATCAACTTCACGAAATACTCAGAGTTTTTGCTAAATCTCTTGTCACACGAGCGAGTACTAGCCCTTCTTGAAAAAGTTGTACTCCAAAGGAGCTTAACATGCTTCCACAAGTGCAAAAAACACAGAGATCATTACTAAATGATACCATATAAGGTTCAGTACAGCACATTTCAGTTTTCTGAACTTATCTTACCTTAGAACTCCTTCTCCTTACAGGAGTTGGCAATTGAACGTATTTCTTAATTTTGGTTTTGGTGTTCATAGCATCCTCACTTCTTAGACTTGGTGAACGCTAAAGGACAATACAGAATATATTTAGAAATAGAATTAAACCAAATCATACCGAACGATCTGTTTCACTGCACACTTTTTGAAAAAAAATTATTAATCACCTCGACTTCAAATGTGTTAAATCAAGGAAACAGCGTAACCAACAGGAGTAATAAAGATCAAAGGAACAAGGTGATTGAGGCGCGTTCAGAAAGAGACTTTTAGGCCTTTTAGGCGGCTATCAATAAAGAATCATTTTTAGTATCAACTATCAGTTGTCTAGAAACACAACTCGCAGAAACAAATGAGAGAGAGTGAATCACAACCCATAAAAAACCATCGATGGTGACAGAAACAAATATTGCCATACCTTGAGCTGTTTGCCAACTCTCGGTGATGTGAAAACTCCGCCGATAGAAGCCATTTTGCGTAGACGGTTTCTCCAGCTGTTTCGAGTGCCCTCTTCTCTCTGTTCAAAAGAAAAATATACGTTTGAAGGCATTTTCAAAAAAGAAATCAGCAGCAACAAATATAGTTGTAAATTTATCGAGTTCTAATTCACTACACAAAACTATTTTTGGGAAATAAGCAAAGCATCGAAACTGAGCACATAAACCAATTTCTGCCGAAAATTACAAATTTGAAAGGCTCCCTCTTCTCCTCTAACTTTTGCAATTGCGATTGGCAAGGGGATGCGAGTAATTTTTCCCAGAATTTTGAACGAGTGTGGGTTGTCTTTTCTGACGTTAACATAATTATAGGTATTTTCGAGTTCAATCATTCGAGTGGTCGTGAGGGGAAGGGAGGGGGGAATTCGATGGGCTATCATCAGAAATTTCTCTTTATTAGCTTCAAAACGGCGTTGCTTCCAGTTCATATTACAGAAGGAAGATTCTATGTTTCAATGTTTCAATGCAAGAAATTTCCAGGTTCCAGAATTGGGTTTCGATGCAGCCGCAACAAATCGCGCTTGGAATAAAATGAAAAGGGTCAAGTGACCTTTTTTATTTGTTACGTCAATAACCTCGCTTGGATGCGCAGTGGTTTTTGTTGTAGTTTAGTGTAAGGCTAAGTGATGAGACTACCTAACTGTGCCTCATCTGCAATAAGAGGCTCACCTTCGGTGTTACTTGACACAATCTTAATTAAATCTCTTACTGACTATTTATTTCATAAAGTTTCTGTTTAACGGAGACGAGGTAAACGAGAAAACAACAAATTCAATGATCCAGGAAAAAGTTCCTTAACACCATAATAAAAAGCAATATCATCCAGCTCTCTATTTTGATTGATTATAGAACAGACATAGTCGACACCATGATTCAAGTATAGAGCTAAATTGTTTCGATGCAAAATTAATTGGGTAGGGGATAATATGTCCTAAAACTTAGATCAGTTTTGCTTTCAACATTCTCGATCTCATTTACTTTGTCCATTGAAAATTACCAAAATTATCCAAGAACTAGAATATATATGAGAAATCCTTTCTTTGGTTATTGATATTGTATCTGATGATTGTTTACACATGAAACTCAGAGTTGTGTTACAATAGTCTGTTTATTAAAGTCTATCTTAGAAACCCTTCCTATATTTATCCTAACAACTGGGTTTAGGGGAGGGGGGGAGAAAGGAATTAAAAACTCTTTAAAATACAAAAAACCCAGGAAATGTGGCCCCTACAAATAATTGCTGTGAAACAAGGAGCCACTGTCCATCTTACCATTCTTCCTGGGGTCTTGTCAGTTTTTTAGAATAAACCTCGTCAATTGCCGTTAGAACAAAGCTTTGAATGTAGAGTAAACAGAAGTAGAAATAGCAAAACATTTACCTTGAAGCATGAATCAGTTGATGCCAAGCTTACGGTTTCAAAGTCATCACTGGTTGGACGCTTGAGGAAATTTGAAGAAGGAGCAGTGATATTTATTGAAGATAAACGAAGATAAATTCAGTAAGAACGTCTGCACGTAAAATTGACGCCAAATTCATACAAAGCTTTATAACTTCACAACACAAAAGCTTAATAATTAACTATGAAGAAAAATCAAATTTGAAAATTTCCTAAGTACATATATTTCGTATTCATATATTTCATTGAAAGCATTCCCACCTTTGTAGATAAAATCAAATACATGGTGCGACCGAGCTTTGTCGGAGATTTCGGATCATTTTCTGCGTAGCTTTGTTTGAAAATGATAACATTTCAGAAGGTCAGCTTAACACCAAACTTTGAAACTTTGACTCTAATTATAAATAAGAGCATTTCTTATAAATCTCTTGCGCAGTTCTAAAAAACACTTTTCATTATCACAAAACGAACATTTTCTCTCAAAAAAGAAATAAATTGGTTGATGACATGAGGGCATGTGGTTACCTGGTAATTCATTTCTTCGATATACTGGCTGTTTCGATTTAGAGATATCTTCATTTTACTTGGCTGATAAACAGAAAAAGGATGAGTTAGAAAATTCATAGAAAATTAAGAGGGGTGTATAACTTCTCCCAAACACTGTACGGATTTTTCTCGAAAAAAAAGGAATTTTGCCATAGGCGTACGAGATTTTCTTGGAGCGAAATGCCGATTGGAAATCAGGCACTTATTGGTATTAGCATCAAATAAAATTGAACATATATTAGGATACAGGCAAATTTTGATTATTTACAAATTCCGATCTCTTGTATCCAGCAAAGCTTTCGGAATAGCTTTATTATTGTGAAAATAGCAAGGAAGTGTGGAAACATATGTTAAGTTCCCTTTTTCGTGCTATTATCCATTTTTGTGGTACCGTTTTATATATCATTTTATTGGATAATGCAAGGAGTCCATGGTGGTAACTTATCATTTTTCTTTTATTAGGTAATGCAAGGAGTATTATGCTGTTACCACTAGGTCTACAGTCCTGCAAGAGAATAGGTTTACCTTTGGTTCGTCGTCTTCGTAAGTTAGTTCTTTTGATGCCTCAAACTTCCGTTTGTTTGGCTGAAAAAATAGCTAAACATGTTCAGGGGGGACAATGAAAATAAACATATGGAAAGGAAATAATTTCCTTTCAATTTTCTTCAAAACCGTAACGTTTCATCAAAGTTAATACAATCTTCATAAATCTAAAAACATGCATTGACCAAAGGAAAACAAACAAATTAACGAACAAGTACTTTGTGAGCGTGTTATTTTCAGCCATTAGCTGATGAGTATGTTTGCTTGATCGAAAGCCTTTTCTTTACTTACGTAGAATATATAAAAGTAAAATTTTTTAGCTTTATAATGTTAGTCACTCCTATGGTGTAATGGACTAGATATCCCGAAAAAAACATAATTGGAAAATACTTCAGCAACCACAGAATGGATTGCAGAAACAGGCATTTTCTCAAGTTTCACGTGCTATGATTTTGGTATTTCGTGCATTTAGAAAAATTTAAAACAAGAGCCAGGTTTGAGTGGCAATACATAATTTAATCTCCAGTTAAAGTAAGGGGATTTTCGTGAACTGGACTCAATAAACAGCAAACTCCCAAATAGTTCGAATATTCAAAAACGAGCAAATTCTATTAAAAAATAAAAATAAGCAAAAGGTGGCATAAAAAGGGGGAAATTTTTGTTAGAATTAAGGAAACTCGAAATATCAGAGATTTGAATCAAATAAAGTCGACTAAATAAAGCCAGACGAGCAACTATTGCAAAATAGACTGTTAGGTTTACATAGAGTTGAAAACATTTCAGTCATTTAGATTGACAAGAGCTAAAAAGCAACACAGTATTGTCATTGACAAATTCACCGAACATGTGTATGCAAATTGCAGGCTTTCCTGGGAGTAAATTAGCACAAATGTGGCATTTTGCACCCCTAGCCTGTTTTAGGCATGTGATGGGGGTGCTACTGGTGTTTTGTCTTATTTTTACAAAAGTTTGATTACATAGTATATAGAGCCTTAAAAAACCCCATTTCTTATGTCATTTCTTCGGTTTCCACTTCAATTTGATGCTTAAAATATTTTAGATGCAGTCTCCCGCAATTCCTCTTGCCGCCGATGGGAGCTTTCTGAAACCCTTGAAAATTTTGAAAATTTGGCCCCCACTTTCAATCGTATCTCGTTAAAAAGGATATGAAAATAATTTTTAAAACAGCACGGTTCGAAAACAGCATGAAACATTCCAGTGCAAACTCTTGAAACAAAACAAGTCTATTGCAGATTTCCCTTTCTTTGAATCCAGAGCGCTATCGCTTTGTTTCCAAGTGTAACCCTTGATATTCATGCCTTTATCACAACCTGCCGTTTTCCATTCTTTGTTATTTTGACCGGTCACAAAAACCTTTTCAATTGAATAAAGAAGGGCATGCCTTTTCCGTTACGAATGAGACAACGTCACATTAACTAATTTTTGGAAAAACGGGTCATCACCTTCGGACAAATATGCATAACCCTTTCTGGGAAGGGTTGTTTAGCGTTGCGCTACGCACCACTTATATTTAACCCAGCCAGTGGTAGGAACTGGACACTGAAATCAATGGGCATAAAACCAGTAGCATGCACAACCCGAGCTTTTCAGCACGGGTCATCGGCAAAGGCTTTCACATAAAAACTGCAGCTCCTTAGAATGACGGAAGCCTGATGATCTGATTACGATATTTTGCACAAACTTGCATCAAATCTTTATTGTCGTGGGCTTAAAGAGTATAGACTAAAATGTCATTGTTGCCCCATTTCAGGAATATTGCAAACTCCTTTGTGACCCCTTTACTTTTCTTGCTGAAGATGCAAAATTTACGAGTTAAGATCAGAATAAATACGGCACAAATCTTGTCTAAACTGGAAGCCTTTTGTATAAAAATTCAACCTAATTTATCATTCGAAAATTGTATTTGGGGACATGTAAATTTTAGAAATAGGTCTATGATAAAAACGCGACTTTGTTTTCACGAGCACTGGGCTTGAAGATGATTGCAAATTATTGTATTATAATGGTTTCTGCAGCCTTGGATGTAAGAATGAAATTTACCGGATTGCTACTAGCCCCAATACTACGGTCATTTGGTCTGTGTTTGATTGCATCCAAGCGTTGCACAACAGCTTTTCAAAATGATTACGGTGACCCAGGACAGTGGACAAGACCGGTGATACACATCAAAATAAATAACACAAAATTTCTTATTTTTGTCAACTTATTAGTTTCCAGTGCTTTGGTTAAAAAACAAACGAAAAATTACAAAGAATAGGCGTGCGATTTAACATACTCCTCAGTGTGGGGAGGCGTGTACCAGCATGTACGAGTGTGATCGAACGCTTTTCCCGGGAAGGCCTGACATTGCTTTTTAGGAATCAGTTACCCTTGGGTTTTCCAAGCGATAGATACAGCCCACGTGGCACTGCTTTGTGACCAGGTGTCACCAATTAGGGCGTTATCAGACAGTGTCAATAACGAGCTTGATAACTGTTAATTACAAAAATGCTTCTGAATAGCTTTAAAGAAAATGTATTGTGTAAGTTGTTCACGGGTGAAAAGAAAATATAGTTCCAAGTACACTCGTTTCGATATCTTCTGTTGTTGAGGATGTTGTAAAGCTATCCTTACACAATAGGGGTATGCTAAGGATAGATGAATGAGAATGACCCCATCGGATAAAAAGTTTTGCGACCAAGTGTCAAATCGTTCCCACAAACCTGAAAATTAGTTTGATCTGGTTACTATAAAGCAATTTGTGAAAATGTAATTGCTCTGAATTTTAACTGCAAGTGCTATCTGGAAAAGTATATGGAAACTGGAGCATTTGAGAAGTTTGCAGTTTGGAAAAGGGTAGATTTTTAATCCAATGCATGTTTGATTCTACTTACCTGCTTATTTTCAATCGATTGGAGGGTAGTAGAGTTGGATCTGAGTTTCTGAAAAAGTAAAAATTAAGATCCATAAAAGGATACCATAAAAGCTGCAGTTTTCAGGAATTTAAACATTTTGTTCAGGACATGGCATTGCATGGCTATCATTTATAACACTTCTTCACTAACCCTTTACTTTTTCTGTCTTAAACATAAACAAAAAGAAAGATTTGAATTGCACTACTGAAAAGTTATTTGCAGAAATATAAAAAGATGAGCTTGAATTATTTTGTAAGTAAATGTGAGAAAGGGTAAAACAATAAAGGAATACCCATTCAAAACTTGATTAAACTTACAGCAGAGGCAGAGGCATAGAGGCCTGGCCAAATAAAATCCATGGAAATATATATACTTGACTTAGAAAATGTGAAGACGGATTTTCTGATCCAAGAAAACAGGATGAAATCTTATCAATGAAAGTAACAAACCATCATTCTTTTCTGTTCCTTGAGATCAGTCTTGCTAGCACTTTTGATTATTGGAACATGCTTTAAAAACAATCAAAATTGAATATTTTAAATGCAATTTCAAAGTTTGAAGACTCCTTTCACGCAACACCAGGGTTAACATGTTGTAACATGTTGCTTTGATGAGACGTTCTTAAAGCAGATAAAATTCATGGATACAAATTTCAATGAATTTAGATCTAGTTAAATATTCTTTGGTACTTCCTACTTAATTTTCTCAATTACAAATGTACCACAAAATATATCAATTGTGTGAACAGTGTGCTGATGGAACATTGTGCTTCAATGTAAATATATCAAAATTTTTAATGTTTAAGTCTAGGACTAGATGTTTACAAGTGAACATATTTGCGGAATGAAAGAAAAATGGTTTCTTGATGTCTTGAAGGCAAAATTCAAAGCTCTATTTACCCCTGAAGGGCATTATCTAATTCTGGAGGTAAAAGAGGGGCCTTAAAAAGGGATAGATAGGTAGGGACTTATTAGAAAGGCAGGGGCTTGTTTAGAAAGTTGAAGAAAAACATTCACCTTTGGAGTATATCTCCACAATCTTAAGACCTTGCTTAAAACATGGATTGTAATGTCCCAGCCAAACTTTCAATTTTTTAACTGAATTCCTTAGAAAATATGCAAGAAAGCTCAAAAAGTTGGTTTGTCTTTTAAAGATGGTGATTAAAGATGTGGCTTATTAAACGTTTTTTTGAACAGGGAGGGAGGCTTTAAAGAGTGGAGGCTAAATAGATAAAGTGTAATATGCTTTTTCGCCTCTTTGTTAAAAACTTGAAAACAAAATAAAACATACATAAAATTGACTGTTTTCTGGAAAAGCATTTTCATTTGTATTAGTCTTGTCAACCAAAACTGGCTCAAAACAGGTAGTTCTTCGTCTTTTTCCAGGTGTCATCACAATAGAGCTACAAAGAAAATGTGCAGTTTAACTAAAACAATATTATAAGTACAAAAAATATTAAAAAGTTAAAATACATCTAGGTCAAGAAAACAGTTCTTGATGAATTCAGAAAGCAAGAGGCAAATGTTTTATTATAAAGAACGTAAGCTCTAAAGTTAAAGGCAGTATGTCCCCTCTTTGATTGGCTAAATCTAACTTTAAAGCCTCACCTTTAGAGTTTGATAATGTTGGATCCTTTTAGCATCCAACATTAGTTATTGAAGGTGAATCCTAAAAAAGGCCCATCTTTAGATCTTTCAAACTGACTTGGATGTTTGATACCAAAATAAAATTCACTGCAATTCTAGCAGGGAGAGTACAATATGGTGGTTCTTCATTCTGATAGGTTATTTGTGCATTAAGCAGATGATACATTATACCCGGTGTGAGCTTTACAGCCTGGTTCACACCAGTGAGAATACGATATTCTCACTGAGTGAGATAAAATTTTCCAGTGAAACTATTTTTAAACCCGAAATCGTTCTAGTTAGAACACAGAATTCACATTGAGTTAGCTCACTCAGTGAGAAAAATGACTCAGATTTTATGAAATTGATAGTAGTTCTGACGACGATTTCGAAGTTGCTGCCTTTGCTCTTGTTTTAGTTCAAAGATCTCGTGGATCTCGTTTACGTAAACAGAATGGAAGATTTGGGTCCAGGATATTTTAGTGTTTGAAAGCAGCATGACCAGTTCCATAAGGTACTGCAAGAAATCCGCTTAGAGGACAAATGTCGCATTTACTTGTTTTCTCATAGCTGTTATCTCACTGATGCAGGATTGAAACCTCTTGGAAATTTATAGGGAAGGGTAGTGACGTAACATTGTTTGAAAACGAGGAGAAAAATTCAATTGTCCAGAATGATGCAGTGGGAACGATGATGATTCAGAGGTCATAAAATGTGTTTGCGCCATGGAGATTAGGGTTCTTCTTTGTCTGTGAGAAGGTCAGTGAGATAAATATCAAAACTTTTTGATATTATTCTCACTGACTATCTCACTGAAAATGCTCCAGTGAGAGAAAATTCATGCGCTCACACCAGTGAGATAACAGTTAATTTCACTAAAAAGTCAGTGAGAATATTGTTATCTCACTGGTGTGAACCAGGCTTACATGGATTCCACCCTGGTTGTCAGTTTCATCATGGTTAATTTGTAATTATTTCATAAAATGTAGTTTGCTATGCTTGAGAGGATCAAGGACTGTGTTTTGAATTATTGTTTAAATAGATTTTCTCGTTTTTGTTTTTTTGGGTAGATTAATTCAAAGAGCTTTTATACTGAATGTAGACATGTAGGTTTTTAGATTTAATTAATATTTGGAAATTTGTTTGTAAGTTTAGATGGATGAGATTGAAATGAAATTATTAACTTTTCTTAATTATTAAAAATTATTAAACAATTGTGATTACTTTTCTCCATGACTTTCAAAGATTGGGGGTTAAGCTTTTTGTTGAAGACCAAACTCTAGCATAGAATAAACACAGATTCAACCTATTGGTCTATTGTAGATTTTTTTAATAGTACCTTGCCCTTAATCCAGAAACTAATCCTGAAAGAACATCAAGGTGTAATTGGTTATTCAAGACATTTTTTAAACATAGCATTTCTTGAGATACTGCTGTAAAGAATAGTTCTGCCGATTAATAAACTCTGAGGACAGCGTCAGGCTAAAAGCTTTGGAAAATTTCAAAATGTCTGCTTTCTCAATTTCAAAGCCATTTTAATTAACACAGGCTAACCAATCTTTGTGTTGTTTAACCTTTGACTAATTTCACTTTTGATCTAAAAATTCTTAACAACCACCCACCAGATACAATTAAATGTACACATTAAAATGATTTGTTTAACTTTTAATTTGTCAAAAATCAAACGTTAACAATTGTATAATAAGTTAACTTTATAGATAATCCAATAGAAAAGCCTGGTTTAGACATTGGAATCAACGGGGTCTTCAAGAGGCGGTGCTATCCCTGCTTTATCTTCAAGTTTATGAAGACGACACGCGCCACGGTCACAGTGCAGCTGTGACATAACGGGTAATCTAATTAGGAACTTTTGAATCATTGCAGGTAAACACAGCGACTTGCTAAGAAAAACTAACATAAAAGACAAAAGTTTGACAGCCTTACCTACATGAAACGACGGGTGATAGAGTTCGACATGAATCGCGTTCGTCAAAATGACTAGTAGTCTTTCCACCTGGGAGGCCATCAAATCCGCTTTGCACGTTGATTGTCTGTCGTAGTCTTCGCTTTGCACGTTTAAATCCAAAAATTGGAGGCATCTTTGTAATATAATAAACCTTGAAGTTATTCCCAACGTGATAACAACTGACCAATATTTTGATTTCCTTCGAAACAACAGGCTGGTGTAACAATGTGATCTAAATCCATCAATACAAAAAAATACTTCTCAAAGTCCGATTTTTAATTTCTAACCTCTCTATGTTTCATAAATACTCCAGAATTTTTATGTAAGAGCCGTTTGATGCAAGAAAACCATTTACCAAAGGAGGCGCCATTTACAAGCGGAGAAGCGAAAGAATGCAAATTCAAATCTGCCTCATTCTCGTGGTTAGCGGTTCCATTGGCCAATCAACCAGCTAGATTTTTCCTGCGCAGAGGCCATAAATTCTCCCATCCTCGCAGTTCTATCACCCCAGTTCCATGATAAAGTGCAAGAGAAAATGTGCTCAGATTTGGACATTACAGAATTGGCATTAGAGCATTCTACGGATGTCGTAATGAAAAATGTAGCACTGACAGATTTACTTATGCACCTCAACATCAATAAAAATGTAAACTAAAATTTTTTGCAAGCATTGGCTAGGGTGCTACGTGAAAAGCGGCAGTCGTGTGACACTTCAAAGACAAATCAGTATACAGTAGAAACTCGCATAAAAGAACCTAAATTCTTTTCTGGCAGCCTGAATAAGTTCTTGATTAACAGGCTGCTATTCTAAATTCCAGTCTAAATACAACTTCCATGCGGAGTTGTATTGCTTTTGCCATACAAAACTTGTACCTTAACCTCATGTGCATTGTAATATCAGGAAAAACAAACAGAGAAGGGAAAAGTCAGCGTTATTGCAAAAGGGTGAGCAAAGACGCAGAAATTGTTATTTATAATACGAACCAAGAGAAGAAGATAAACAGCCAAGATCAAAAACTAAATATTTTTTTGATCAAGGACTGACTGACTATTTACTATAATTCTTCTTTAACGTTAAGCTCTTGCTTTGATCTGCTGTTTGAATTTGACATTCTCAGAAAATTTTTCAAGATGGTTAATTTTTACAGCACCCCAAACACACACAAATAACAACACCAAAAATTAGATTCACAATACCACAGACGGCAACAAACCCCACCCCCTAATCCGGAAGGTCATCTATACCACTGGTAAAATTTCAAAAGGCCAATCGATAACCAGAAATTTTTTAAGAAACGACATGATATCCTAGATTTATCGCTTCTTGATTGATGAAATGATTTGCTCTTTATTGTCACATTGATTGCTTGCATTTTCATTGAAGTCTTAAACTAGAAAATTTCTTTATGTTATTTAGCTTTGATATACTGGAATAAAGTTTTGAATGCCTTTTCTGATAATGGAATAGAATTCCTCTTTGGCTCCCACTTCCGCCATCCAATCGTTTCATATACGAAGGATTCCCAAGAAAAACTTCCCTAGCAGAATCAGGCTGCCTGGCAAATTCAGGAAAATTCTTAGGGGAGGGCTCGGTATGAATTTTGCCCGAATGATATTTCTTTATTGAGATAGAACCGCCCGAATGGCGTCTGAAATGTGACAAATATTGCCTGATTAGGGGAATGCAGTCCCACTCCTGTGCCTATAGCTGGAAGCAGGGTGTGGTGCTTTAAAAAGAAAAAGAAGACGATCTAAAATATATTAAATATATATCAAAGAGTATTTTTGTCACTTTTTTTTAAAAAATCCATAGCAAGAAGATAGTAGCAAAAACGAGGAGAAGCCCCCTAGCTATGCAAGTAGCATACAACGATAGAATGGCAAGAATATATCAAAACTTAGCTTATTCAACATTGATAGATTAACACTGCACAATTAACCATGATAGTAATAAATTCAAACAAGAAGATGACATTTAAAACAAGAAGATAAAACGCCTGTACTATCGTCTATGAAAACAAATCAGTATAAATTTATGTTCTACGATTTCATATAAATTTAGTCCTCAATAGCCAATGACAACTTCCTAGTTGATAGTAAGTGATGTTGGTGGCTTGTTTTTAACTTGGTATACAATACTACCCGGTTTTCTTCTATTTGCCGTCGAACCAGAGTAGAGCTGTCGGCGTTCTGTTTGGAGTTTTGCATTATAGAACGGCACTGAGTCAGGGTTTTCCATAAGCAACTCCATCTGAAGCCTGTCAAATTTCTCCTGCTCGTCCTCCACAATTCTGACCGACTTGAGTCCCTTCTTCGAGTCTTCAGACTTTGAATCATCAAGTTTATCTGAATTTTCGTCGACCGGCACAAAGCATTCCGTATACCAAGCCTCGAATTCTGACAGCAGCCTCTGGCGACACTGCTTTACCAGATTCTCGCAATACACTAGATCCGATCGAATGTTTTGCAATGTTTCGAATTTCATTTTGCATTCAAGTTTCAGATCAGAAATTTTCTTTAGAAGTAAAAATTCATCTTCTTCGATAATCAGCTCATCTTCATTTTCCACCTGATCTTCTATTTCACGTTCTCTTCTTTTGGCTTCAATATTCGCTTTGCATTTTTCCAATTCAGCCTTCATTGTATTCAATTCTGCAATTAACTCTTTAGCTTCCATCTTTTTGCTTTTAACAATTTCTACAAAAGAAATTGAAAGCATTACCTTGGGCTTGACCATCGAAGCCAAAATTAGGTTAATAGCTTCACATATCAGATATTCCTAAATAACCATTCCTTTCAAGACCACTACGAAACCACAACAAAAACCTAACATTAAAACAAACATTATGAGACGTATCTGTTATTTACAATCATACTGAGATAACAAAAAATCCTGTCCACAATCACATTTGGGAGGCCGCCGCGACTTTTGGAAGCATAGGCGTAGACTTGCATTTTTTCAGGGGGGGGGGGGGCTCGAAAAATTAATGACAATTCCTAATGGCAGCTGCTGGAGTCACAGGATAGAAAATGGATTAGCTAAGGGCTTAAAGGTGATTTTTTCGTGCATTTTTCATTATTGAGGAAGAAGAAACACACATGAGATGATGGAAAGTGTATTTTTAAATCATAATCAGTTTCTTTAGGTTGAGATCATCAGTTCTATTTAGGCACCCAAAATGTTTATGCGTGGAACCAATAATTTAACAAACTAATCTAAAAATTGGTGAAGCACTTCCTTATTTTCCAGGGAGGGCTCAGCCCCCCCTCGGTTTTCCTCAGGAGGGGCTGAAGCCCCAGAGCCCCCCTGAGTTTACGCCTATGTTTGGAAGGACAAATCATGGTAACCTGTCACCAAGACAATTAGGCAAAAGGGACATTTCGAGAATAAAAATTCGACCTAAATGCGGCACTTCCTCATTCTGAAAAGGAACCTACAAAAACTTTGCACTTACTTTTATTTGCGCTTAGATAAAATGAACATTGTCAAGAGCGACTTTTTTTAATTGTGAAAATGAACTTATAAGGCGTACGATTAAAAAATTAAAATTGCTTTTAAAGTCCTTAACAGACTTAAGAATGAACATCTTTATTCACCTTTGTTCTCCAAAAAAACGATGTTGAGCTCTTTCCCCCTTTCATTTCTAAACTGTTCGAAAGACTCTGATTTCGGAGGAGGAGTTCTGGGTCTTGTTGGTGATGTCATCTGACGTGTACCTGCGACATGTCCTGTGGAAGAGGGTTTGTCTTGGCTATCTGTGGTCTGCTTTATATTTTCTGATGGCGATGGACTCCTCTTAGTGTCAGCACCACTACTGTCTGGCTTGCCTTTGCGACTCTTTGCCTGAAAATCCAAAATATTCGCTATTACATATATACATACATCAAGGACATGTCTGAAAAACACCAAACCGATTTTCAAAAGCTCACTAAGTACTAAAACAAACGTTCTTTACAATCAGATGCCGGATATTTTCAAGTAATTTTGAGGAAGAGAACAAGACTAAAGACATCTTTGAAAATCAACTCTGGCCTAAAATAGTATGGATCACTACAATATTCAAGTTCAAAACTTACTACCACCAGGTTCTAACTTGCTCTCCAAGAAATCAATGCTGAATATTAATTCTACTTCTACACCACTCCCTTGCAAAGTGTTGATTGGATCTTAAAAAATCGTTATAAGTTAAATACCATGCAACATCAAAACTTAGCAATATATTGACGGGGCAAGAAGGCAAACTGTGAAGAATTTGTGAAGAAATGTATTTTGGAATTCTTGGCTTTGATGATATAGTGTCTTTCTTTCGTGTGAGTCCCCATAAGTCAGGCATCATATTATACAATGAAAAAGAGAGAATGACAAATTCTTAGTTACTGAATTTTATAAGTAACAGTCATTTGTAAATTATCTGCCACATCTATCTGTCATTCGAAAACTTCTTTTCTACAAAGGAAAGTTCGCTTGCAACAATGCATCATAACAATAAACCAATCGGTTATAATTAAACATTTTTTCATTTCTCTCACCTTCTTGACATTGCTGCCTGCAGGTGTATTTGCTGCCTTTGCACTGCTTGGAGCAACGCCTACTCCAAAGTTTTGACCATCCGTTTCACCAACAAACTCGACATCTATGTTCTGCATAATCGATGCTGGATCAGGGTTACCCTGAACAACTGAAAGAGAAAAGCAGTCATTTAGGTGTTGGATACGAGATATTGTTGTCAGCGAATACGTGAAGATAGAAAACATAAAAAGGAAAACAAAGAAAAGCTGTTCTGATGTTTAGCCATTCAGCCTATTTAACCTATACAACACTTGAAAATAGATAAAATTATCTATAACTAAGTTAGCTTGGTGTAAACCAACTTATCATAAATCGATAGTTAGCATCACACACAGCATGCATTACATGAACATCATACAGTTAAGGCCTGGCCAAACGAATAAAACATCCGTAAAACATTAGCAAACATTTTTTCACCAACATTGTTGGACGATGTTTTATGACCTTGCCAAACGAATCAAATAAATGTTTAACATCTGTTATTATCAAGAGCTGCCGCACAGTTTCATACAGTTAGTGCGTTGCATTTGCGCTTGCGTGAGTAAAACAAAATATTTTAGGGGTGGCCAAACGAACGCATTAGATCAAACGTGACAACAAAAGAGATGTTTTATGAAATATTGGATGGAAATCAAATTTTGCAAAACATTATAAAACATCGTAAAACATGGTGGTCAAATTAATAAAACATGTTTTATGCAACAATGTTTGATGATGTTTTATTCGTTGTGACCAGGGCTTTAGACCTAGGTTCCAAAGTACTTTATATGGTTTAGGGCTGTCATACGATTCAACAAAGCTGTCACAGGGTGATTTTCTTTGATACTCCTAAGTTTGCGTTTATGAAAGCTTATCTTTTCTTCACTTTTGAAAAAAGCAAGAATGACCCCCTGTATTATACAATTTCGACAAACATCAACTAAGAGGAAAGAGGCAAAGTATTAACTGCACATGTACCACGGCTTAACTTGGAAGTTTTGCTTACGATTCCTTAAAATGTCATTTCTAGATGATTGTTCAAACATGATACAATGGAATTGATTAAAATGTTGGACCAAAGCTAAGCAAATAAGTTATTTCTACCTTCAGCGTTTTATGGTCATTCAAGTTTTTCCATGAGGACTAATTTATTTCCGTATATAGACGGGATTACAATCGACTTACTTTTTGAAGACTCGTGTTGCATGTTATTCTTCATTTTCCCCAACGCTGCTTTCCCTTCTTCGGCTTGTCGCACTAGAGTCTTGAATTGCTCAAACACCTGTTTGACTTGACGCACGTTAATGATCTCGATTTCGTCAATTTCACCGTCAACAAATTTTCTGACTTGTCCTTTGATCTCTTGCATTTGAGTTTCAGACAGGGGTTCGTAGGTAATTTGTCGTCTGTTAGTGAGAGTGTCATACATGGAGAGCTCTTTCCGTAAATCGCTGATTTCCCTTTCGAGTGATTGACATACCTTTATTGGATCGTATATCAAATTTATGGCAGGCACGTTCGGTATGCGCATCACTCTATTTCCAAAACGCAATGTTGACAGCTGAAAGAAACGAACAAAAACTTTTAATTTGTCAGAAAAAATATACTAACCGATTTTCAGATGGTGTTTTATCAAAAGCTTTGCTATATATCTCAAAAGACACAAGGAATATAGTTCGAAGTAAAATAATTATTAGGAAAAAAACTAAACTCCATCTCGCCGAATAGCATTTTCCTTATCGATAAACTTTTTAAACATGGTTCAAACAGCCCTTAAAACGAGCCCAATGATTGCGCGCTTAGCAAGATTACGAGTGTTGTTGCGGGTCTCAACAACGAGAAATTGCCTTCTGCGTTGTCGTTTTTTTTCAAAATTTTATAACTTTAGTTTATTGAACATTTTTTAACTTTAAAACTAAATTCTGTAAAACAATAAAAAAATAAGCTTACATGCTGCTATAATTTAAAAACCAATAAAAGTACAAATTTTTCATTACTTTTGAGAATTTTAATTTATATATATATATAGAAAGTTAAGAGGTGCATGCTATCAAAGTTCTGCTTGCAAATCATGCTACTTTTGTCAAGCCAAAAAAGTCATTTACAGCGTAGCAAAACCTTGAAATGTGTCAGTCACCTCGGATTGTGGCTGTCCCCTTGCCCTGACAAAATGAAGCTATTTTCTTATCGATTTGCCCTTTCTATTAGCGCTTCCCCCTTGCTTTATTGCTTCTCTGAAATGCAGTCAGTTGAAACAATGAAAAGCAGGCCTGTGTAGATGAATGTTCTAACTTTGCTTATCAAATTATAAGATATATTTGTCGTCTGTTGATATGATAATGTTCTGTTATATTCGTAAAAACGTTCAATTTCTTTGCATTTATTTTAAGCTAATTTGGTTATGCCTATTTTTTATCAAAACTACAGAAGTATCCTTGTACCAATGACAAAAACGATTAGAATAGAAATTGGAGAGAAATTTGAGAAGATAAGGGAAGAGTTTTCCATCAGCTTCAGACTACAATTTTTAATTATCAAAAGTCAATAGATTACCACAAAATTGAATTGAAATTGATAATACATACTGTTTCTTCAAGCTGTCCTTGCTCTCCCCAGATATTTCCAATCATGACAGTCTGGCATTTACCCCCTAATGAGTCTTTCAAAACATGAGTAAGCTTGCTTTGTCTGAAAGGTATATGATCCCTTCCTTCATCAGCTAAAGCAATGACTGCTTGCTCTAAAAATGTCAATGATTTGTTGATATAGAGTGCTTCTTCCTGGGCCTTTCCTTCACATTGTGTTTTGCCAATTCTCTCAGAGCCAGCAAGGTCAACTAGGTTCAAACGTGAAAGCACATAGCTTGCACCAGAGATTGATCTGGAGTGTGACTCAATGAAAACTGAGAAGATACAATGTGACCTTGATGAATATCTGTTGAGCTTGTGATGGCTGATGAATCTATTGCTTTCTCCCTGTGATAAAACAATTTCATTTTCAGTTCCTAACCTGCTTTGTTCTCTTTATTCAATTCTTCAGTAAATTAGAGTTGGCAATATTAGCGCTCATGTTTTCTAAAAAATCTCTAATACCTGCAAAAGAGCAGAGATCAATACTGCTCACTCTTCCCCTTACCCACACAAACATGATTATGATAAAAAATATATAGAAAAGTTTTCAAAAATGTTTGAAAAGATATATATTGCTAATTTCAAGATATTTGTATACGAAAATGAAATTTAGATGAATAAATACCTCAAATAACAAGCTTAGTGCTTCTTCTTCACTTTTTGCAGAGCGAATTGTCAGCCCTTTTACGTATGTAGATCCATTATTATCTTCTGTGACTGACAACTGCTCAAGATACCTACTATTTGGTTCCAACAGGTCATAGATCTTATCTCTGTATATTTGCATATAAGAAACCTTTATGCTAATGTCATGGTCTTGCCTATTATCAATCTCTCTATAAAGCTGTGTAAGTGCTCTTGGGATGATTCCTCTGTACTTGAAATCACCTGTTCCAGTCATAGTGAATGTTTTACCAGCACCAGTTTCTCCATAAGCAAATAATGTACTGTTGTAACCATCTAAGGCCCTTGTAACCAGTTCTGATGCACAAGTTTTGTATGTGGTTTCTTGGCATGTATTGTGAAGAATGCCATCAAAACTGTTAAGAAAAATTAACAATAAAAGATTCAGCATTATCAGAAACTATCTGGCATTATCAGTGCATCCTTAGAGCATTCCTTTTTCTCAAGGATTATTACTTTCTAGACTGTTCTTAGATAAAGTTAAAAACACCAATTTTTGAATTTTTAGGTCAAGTCTTCCTAATGACCAGGGTGGAAATAATTTAACTTAGGCCTGAGACACCTGGTGTGCACTTTGATGGGTGTGTGGGATTGTCCCATATATTGATTTGTGCTAGCATTAAGATTTGAGGTTTACATTTAATCCACCCTGGCCAAGTGATCAGAGCGGATCTAGATGTTTGCACCGTTTGCACATGTGACAGTGAACTTTTAAAATAATATTAGGAATCTTTCTCAAAAACATCAACTTTCTCTAAGTTTAGCGCTTATTGGCAAATTTCCCATTTGTGTTTTGCATTTGCTCGGAGATTATTCTTCAGTTAGCAGCAGCTATGAACAGTAGAATGTTAATGACATTTTAGGGCTAAACATATACAGACAGTCAATCATAATTTTTCGTATCAGTAAAATAGTTGGGCAGAAGCTACCAGCGACAGTCTTTAAGGACGACTTTTTTTCTTCCTTTGTTGTTTCCAGAAAGTTATACTATTACTTTGCTGTTTCCAGAAATTTGCCAATTATAATTTTCATATCTATTGCTTATGACCATCTATCTGACCGTAGCCTGTGTGTGATGAGTGTGATCGTGTTATTGTCTTGTTTTGTTGTTTGAAAGAAAGACGAGAAAATTTTTTTTTGCTGAGTTTAATGATCTACACTACTCAGGCGCATCGGAACCGGGGGGCTGGGGCCTCCCCAATCATTGTCAAACTGTAAGTATGTTTTCTTTATAACAGTGTTACTGAATGAGAAGGAAAACAATGGGCAGCCCCCCGCCCCTCATTATGAATTTCGCTCCGATGGCACTGCTACTGATTTCTTTATTTCAAGCCTCTAGCCTGTAGATTACCTTACATTTTTTGGCCAGGGTAACAATATGAAATTTGAGAAAGAACAAAAGAACTCACGAGAATTTCCAGTCAAGAACTTGGTTGTTGATGTATCCCCGTCGCTCATCTTTCTTACAGTGGATTGCTATCGATTTTTTATCCGGGTGTAGTTCTATATTCTGATAAGCGAAATCCGCAGTTGGTTTTATCCTAACGTACACTTTCACGCGACTGTCCGACTCCATTTCTAGCTCCTTTTCCCACGACTTGAAGTGGTATCCAAGTTAGAGATCAACAGTTGCCACTAGCAACATTCATGACTGTTCACTTGGCAGCCACCTCGCTTTCACAATTACCCCGCAGTTTCAATGCGCCATTAAGTGACCATAAAATGGCTGTATAGTTTGCGTTTGCAAAATTGTTTCTGCAGAAAGACGACTATTCTGAAATGTCTAATTTTTTTTACTTCGTTATAGTTGGATCTCAAGATAATCCTATATTTGAAGACGAGTTTGGTTACAACAAAGGAGGCTCTGACTCTCAGTACAGGGTAATTATAAATACTAGCTTCCTCCCATCGCTGGTAGCCAGTCTACAAAGTATGGCATGTGCACACCGGAGATATTTTTGTGCAAAACCTGTTGCACACCAGGTATTTTTGGGTGTGGCAACTAAGATGGGTGTGGCTTGGTGTGGTCCCATAGAAAATGTCAGCTGAATCAGCCTGATAAAAACAAGCACAGTTGTGTATGAACAATTTGAGATATCATGAATCTTACTTGACAAATATACAAATAAAAACTTGCGCTATCTTCAACAGTATACTTCACACGCATTTTTAAGGTGAAATGCAAATTCACAAATTTTAACCACAACAGGGAAAAATAGTCGGTGCACACCAGCAAACCAGAAATTTTTGGTGGTGCACACCGGCACACCAGGCTTTTTGCTCGTGCACACCGGAGATCTCGTCGAAAAGTGCCATACTCTGCAGACCGGGCTGGTAGGATAGATGTAGTTTATCGCTGGTGTAGGATAGATGTTCGTTGGATGCAGAATTTCCAAAAAATAGGCTCCATATTCGTGGTTTAGTGTTGCATTTTAGAAATCAGATCTGATAAAGGCATTGCCTGAACAATGTTTTGTAAAAATAAGAAAACAGAATAGAGCTGTTTTCTAAATTTAACATTCCCTAAACTTCTCAGAAATGTCACAACAATGCCTGCCTACGAAAATCATAATAAAAGCCTAGGAAATATTTTTTTATATTTTCCATTCCTTTCTCAATAACATTTGCCTCCACTTTCAACCAAAAAGATAAACCAACATTGTACCAAGAAGGAGAGTGAGGTGGGTTAACTGGCCCTCAAAAACTGATGTTAATTATCAAAGACTTAACATATACACTAGGGTATCAAAAGTATTGCACCACCTCGAAGGAGGAGAAATGGCACATGAATGATCGAAAGCTATTGTTATGCAAATGAATTCTGTTTTTAGAGGGCCAATGGCAATTGGTCGAAAGCAAAACAACCACCAATCAAAACTTCAATCTATTTAGAGCATTTATTTAAAAAATAACAGTAGCAAACATCTTTTAACAGTTTCAAATATCAATATTTTGACTGGCTGCCGCAAACTTTTGAAACCGCAAAAAGCCTCCTTGAAATGGATCCATGAATTTGGGCAACGTATTCTTGTAGAATTTAGTATTAGGCCTAGAAAAGTCTTAGAATAAATGATTCTCTGGCTTTCGGACGACCATTTGGATCACGGTTTGTAACATTTTTCATTTGAAGTCAAACTTTTTTAGCGATGTTAAAGATTGGACTTGATTCTGGCTATGCCAAAACTTTTATTTCTTTTGTATGGAAATAAATATTTGTAAAAATGGTTTCCATTTACTCAGGTAACCTATTCTTTTGTATTTGTGCAAAACACTCATTATATTTTCTGTGGACGGATTTTGAGCTGCAAAACCTTGCGCAGTGTTGAGTTCTATGCCTTTTACTGCCCCTTGGTGCTGTACGCAGTGAAACAAAACAGACAAATTCTTTCCCCTCTAACATCAAATTTATTTTGGTCGCCAATTTCTCGGTTTTTTTACAACTGTAACACTCTCCAGAAATCTTTTTTGATTTACCGCAGCTGTTGTGTAGCTGCATCTAACTTGGTCAACATTTTTTTAAAAATTAAATACCACTTCCTTGCAAATGTTTTATAGCGACTCGCCTCTCATTTGACAAATTTGTTTCCTTAGGCATGGGCTACATTTTTACAGATAAAAATGTTTTTGCGTAATTTATACATTTCTAACTAAGTTTTCTATGGCGTCAGCAAGATTTGCAAACTTTTCCCGCCAAAGTTTGCTCTAGAATGCGCTTACTTCACCCAATTAATGCATTCAAATGTTTTGCATTGTCAAAAAGTCAACAAAAAGTGCCGCCATTTTGAGCAGGGTGGTGCAATACTTTTGATACCCTAGTGTATTGTAGGGCTCTGAGAACTTCATGCACTGATTCAAATCTTAATTTTCTGTAAAATGTTTTTGTATTCTTTTATTTTCTATTCAAAACTTTTAAAAGAGAAAATTTAACACAAAGCCAGGTTTCAGAAAATGAAAGTTTCTGAAAAAGACTGTTCACATGCTTTTGTATCAATTTTTTTTAAGCTGTTAGCTAATGTTTTCAAACAATCCCTTTGAAAAGTGCTTTTCTTATTTTACTGTACTTTTTCAAAGGGTAGAGATGATCATGGACATTTAAATCAGTTTATTGTTCATGCTGCTTTGGACATGGTTGATGAAGTTATGTGGACCATGAACTCAATGTAAGACGGTTTGGATAATGAATATAGTGTATTTTTCTTACATTTGGGTTTTATTGTATGGTTTCATGAATTTTTTAAATATTATTTCAGGCCATACTAGGTGTTCAATGGTGTGGAACTTGCAGGTGTGCAATGAGTCCCATTCCATGACATATCAAGGGGTGCAATTGGGTGCCATTTGTATTTTAGTATGACAAAGCACTTATAAACATTTATTCAAAGATAAAAAATTTGAAATTTTTACCCATTTTTGAACTACTTATTGCTTTTAAATTACTGCAAATGGAATATAAACATTTTTCTACAGAATAAAAAGAATGACAGAAAAATAGAGGTTTTTGAAGGCACATGTGATCAATGTGGACAAAAAACGAAGCAGTGTATACTGTCAAAACCACAAAAGCAGACATTGCGGAGAAAAACTTATAGCCTTGATAAGGGTTGCGATAAACTTAACTACTTGGGTGAAACGAGGCGGGTGCGAAAGTGTGCACATGTGATCTCATGCCTTTCCGAAGATGGCCTGCTTGTTTAAAATATGATAGTAATCTGAAAAACTGGCACTCTGACTAAAAGGTGACAATGCACACTTGGTGAAATAAAATGATTTGCATAAAAGCTGGTCTAGCATCTGGGAAAATGATGAAATGCCCAACCCAATATTTGATTGCTAGAAGATAGAAATATTGCCACAAGTACTCTTCTTGTATTTTAACATGCTCTGTGTTGTCACTTTATTTTTTGTGTACTTTTTTCAATTTACCTTATATATCCTTACGGTTATAATTAATTTCTTGTTGCTGCCAGGTATTTGAAGTGTGTTGATAAATTCAATGAGTCACTAGTCTCTGCATTTGTTACGGCTGGAGGTACGCTACTTTTTCCATCTATCTCTAATTCCTTAAAGTTTTTCGCACCTTACTACCACACCAAATATGAGCCATTTCCAATTTTATATTTGCAATATTGGCTTAGGAGCTAGGAGGATTCTTGTGGAATTGAAATAAGAGGTTAACAAATTGAAATAGAAGAAAAACTTGACTGTGGCATTCTCTTCAAATGAAAAAAAATTACTTTAGCAATTACAAGATTTTGTATCTAAAGAGCCTGTTTGAATTGTTTTGTTTGTATGTTTTGAATAGGAAAATGAATAATTTACATTGTGTCTTATCTAAAATTTCTTGGCTGACCCTTGGAAATTATTAGCTGGAATCTCTGTTGTAGAAAGTAGCAATGGTCAGAAATTGTTTTGAGACCCTATGAGAATGCCAAAAGATTCTATATGAAAGGGTTTGTTGTGTTAAGAGAAAGTTGGGTTTGTACAATTTGGCTCAGCAAAGGATGACAGGATGACTTTCGTGTTTTAGAGATCAGCTGTTTATCTTGTATGCAACTAACTAACTATCAGTTGTTGGAGAGAGCCTTCCCATGAAATTGTTTCTTGTCCAAAATGAACTTCCTGAAAACTCCCTTAATATCAAGTACCCATTTCTATTAAAAAATTCAAATAAAAGTATCTTTCTCAACCTTCTTTGTTTTTCAAGGTGCACGCTTCATGATGCTGCATAATGTTAAAAATGAAGATGGAATAAAAAACTTTTTTCAGGATGTCTATGAAGCTTATATAAAGGTTTGTAGGTTTGTTTATTTTTCACTGATCAAGTAAATTGAAGAAAGGTTGCCCAATCCAAATAAATTATTGACAGCTAAATTTCTTCCAAAGAGAAACAAGGTAGACTGCAAGGTCTGTTTATTATCTCTGTCAGTCAATCATGCAATTCCTACCAAATTGACTTTGAACAATCTTGTGTTGTGTTTGAACAATCTTGTGTTGTGTTTTTCTATTTCTAATCTCTTTTCCCAAAAGCTTGTCTTTCCAACCCCTTCTTTTTCCAACCCCTTCTTTAGCAGTGTTGATAGTCTAGCTAGAGAGATATCAAGTCACAGAGAGAAACATACTTTCTAATATTTGTCTCTGCTTTCAAGCAAGCAAGCATTGTTGCAGGGAATTTTCTAGCAAACCAACAAAGGGGAGAGGGAATAACTGAATTTGCTTTGAAAAGTGACCTAAGTGTTCCAAGACTTTTGGCTGAGACTGTAGATTAGTCAATGAGCAAAGTGAGTTATGTATTTTCATGCATCTTTTGCAGATTGAAAAATTTTTGATGAAATATTTTCCATAATCTTCGTATAACATTATACCATTTAACTGTATTTAATACCCACTTATTTTATCCATCTTTTCAGCTCCTGATGAATCCATTCTATTATCACAATACGGAAATAAAATCTCCAGTGTTTCAGAAAAAGGTCCAAAATGCAGCTCGAAAGTACTTATCAGTTTAAACCAAACCATCTTTTGAAGAAGAAATTGAACATTTCAACAAACTAAACAAAATAAAAATTTTGTATATAATATTCTATTAGAATTTCATAAAATTGAATTTGAAATGGTAGTTTCTTAAAGTTCCTTTTTGTTCTTACTGAAGAGAACTGTTGAATATTTAAGATTTATTGCTATTTAGATAACAGCAGATAGGTCTTAAATAAGTAGTCATTTTCATAAGCCGTCTACGCCTGGCGCAGGCTTTTCTTAAAAGTTCTATTGTTTTCCGAAACAGTTTCAGTCTAAGCCACCATTTAGGGATCCAAACTTTTGTTGTAATATTTGATTTTGATATGTTGTAAATGTTTTGATAGAAAAGGTGACAATAATGCACTGTTGAAGGAGCCATGAGCCATGGCTCTAAAAATATGTAGAACTTCACTTCATGCACCGTGGATCCATTTTTCGTAAGTCAAATTTGTCATCTGCCCTTTTTATTGAGACGTATCAGGCCTTGCTCTAAGCAAAAGGGAGGTGCTCCATAAAAAGAGCCCCTTAGAAACTCTTGGCGCTCTATTTCGCACCTCTAAAAAATGTCCTTGAGAGCATCCTTCAAGAGCTTTGGAAGATCGAGAGCTTCATATCGAGAGCTTCGGAAGAGTGTCAAATAGGATATTCAACGGCGATACACAAAAGCACCATAATATGAAATAACAAAACATGCAGCAAACACCAAGTTAATATAAATATAGAAATATAATAAAACAAAGTCTCGAAATTGATCAGATTTTTCTAGATATGTAAGTTGCCATCATTCGTAAGCTTCTATTACTGTCAGTATCACTATTGTTATGTTCAGCTTCACGTATTGTTTCATCAAAATATATGGCTTTAAATCGAACTTTAAATTTTGTTTCCCTTTTTATGCTATCCATTCTATAACTGAAACGCAATGCGATGATTTGGACGGAAATGTGATCTCTGATTTGCAAAGGTGATTTTAAATTATTAAGAAAAAACAGAAAATAATACTTCAACAGAAGATTAACGCTTGCTCGAAAATCAAATAAATCTGTTGGAGAATACGCTTGATGGCCTGTATTCTTGGTGGTCATTAGAGGGTTATTAGATTACAAATGGTATCAAAAACCCAATTTCACGGGTTGAATTTGAAGAATTTTTTTTCAAGGGGTAATCTTACGCAAATCATGATATTGCGGTCTAGTGGGAAGATTGTTTATGCTTGATCAAGTTTATTAAACAAAGGCAAAAAAATTATTTTGCTCCGTGGTAATATTGTTTGTACCTTTTGCATGGCTCTATAAATCGCTCTCCAAGGCTTTTTTGGGTGCGCTCTAGGCGCGCGTGCTCGACCGAGCGCCTTTTCGGGCAAGGCCTGACGTATGCAACAATCATAACAGTATATCCGAACCTTACTTTTTCACGGATGAATAAACGAACATCTCACAACATTTTGAAAGAGTTTAGAAGCAGTTAACTGTATAACCTCGTTGTTGGCATCCCTGACAAAAAAAATGCAAATAATCAATTGATACGCCGAAAATTGGTGTAATTTATCAATATTTGTTAAAATGTTGGCTAATGTCAGATATTGTTTTCAATAATGTGATGGTTCAACAACAATATACAGCTGTTTTATGATAATTGCTTTTTACAACAGAAAAAAAGGACGTAAGGAAAACCTTGAAACCAACTATTTATGGAACTCAAATATCAAGATTTTGGTGGAGTCTCGAAATTTTAATGAAGAAACATCGTTTCAAGGCTCCTCTTATTATCGAACCAGGGTTTATTCTACCTTCCAGACTATGGCGACGGAGGGTAACCAAGAATAAAATTTTTCCAACGAAGACGTAGTTAAGAAAACTTTAGCCTCCAGTGAGGCCTTTTCACAGGTCAAATAAGAATTTTTGGACCAGCTGAAGATTTACCGACCAACCAATAAAAATTTTAGGGGTCACCCCCTACACCCCACGCTCACTATGTCGATATGAATGTAGTTAACTTTAATTTTCTAACTCGTGAATAAAATACAAACAAAATGAAGGGCAAAAAGCTCCCTCAGAAATCATGCCCTAGACATCAGAAAATCAGTCATGAGGCTACGTTCCCACATCATCGAGAGCGAGTTGGGCCGTTGCAGTGTGACCAGATCTAGCATAATATAATGCTTTCAGCATAATATTGACCAAAAATCGTCATTTAGCATAAAATCTAGCATAATTTGGAATCTAGCATAACTCTGGCATAATTTTGATAGTTTTTAAAAAATCGCTTTCCGGTTGGCAGCCAAATATTTTATGGTTGGCAGCCAAATTCAGCCAGCTAAATTCAGTACACAAAAAAGCTAAAATTTTGACAATTGCGGGGAGTGATAGTGTAATCAAAATTTGCTTTGCAGGTTACAAAGCTTTCATTTACTTTTATCTTACATTGTCTGTTATCTTTTACGTTATTTCATGTTTCTTTATTTGCAATTTTGAAATCATTCTAAAACAAATTTGAATATCATCTATGTGAAAAAATTATTTTCCTTTGCATTTTTTCTGATTTTTTGCAACATGCTGCTAGAATTCTGCCAACTTTTGCTTCTTCGGCCAAATCAATTTATGACGGCCAAGGGGTTGAGAAATTTGGATGTCAAAACCATTGATCTAAATTGCTTTTTGTGTAGAAAAGATGGCAATTTTGAGTACACTGTGTTTTAGATTGGGGGTCAAAAAGGCCAAATGGAAACTTTGGTCACTTTTGATATTCTGAGCATCCTCTAGCCTCTTTTTCAAGCAGGGGTGCCTTGATTTGAAATTTAGCATAATTTTTGCAAATCTAGCATTATATTTTGACAAATTTGGCATAATTCCAAAATTGAGATCTGGTCACACTGGGCCGTTGGTGCATCGGCGCAAATCGCTAAACATACCACTGATAATAACCTCCAAATTTAATTGATAAAGGGGAGGGATGGACAAGAAAAGACTCTTTTTCCCACTAACAGCCGATGCACCAGTCCTACCTAACAGCATCCAAATAAATGCTAACAGCATAAAGGAATGCCTAAAGATACGAGAAATTTTATTGAAGACATCAAGAGAAAAAAAGAGGGAGGGCCGGGGAAAAAAAGCACACTCTATTCGTCGCCTTTCACCAAGAAAAGTGAAACCAACACTATGCCAAAAACCTTAAATACCCCCAAGAATAACCTGGGGAATGAAAATTGCCATGAGCCATAAATCTTGCCCTAGCATTACTAAACAAATCCCCCAGTGGCCAAGACTATTTCGCAATACCAATAAACGAGTAACGCAAACGAGAAAGCGTGGCACATGAGACCAAAAATATGAATAACAGTCAATAATCAACTCAGGAGTAACAGCCAATGCAAAAGCCCCTCGTCAAATTAACTGAAATTTAATTAAATTCAATCATCATAATAACTGGTGCAAACTAATTTAGGTAAAAGGCTGGAAAAATTAATTGGAGAATTGAAAGTACAGACTATAAATGCAGGTACAACGCGATCTTACATCGATGAGGTAGAGCATTAAAGGATATATATATATATATATATATATATATAACATCAACCCCACTATGATTATCATCGTTATCGTTGTTGTCAAGATCGTCTTTCATTACTCTATCTGTTCCTTATGCAATTACATTTATTGTTTCAGAGGAGATCAAATCATGTATAGAAGTATGTAACAGTTGTATAATAAAGTCGTTTGTAAGTGTAAAATCGATACTTATTCACTCTAGGTAATTCTCGTGTTTATGTCTACACTTGTTTATGCTTCTCTTTAGTTAGGAAATATTAGCTTGTCGCCCTTTAGTTTTCCATGTTTTCCGGTAACGTTATATTTTACATGCTCTTTTACCCTTCACAGTTCCCCCGCGTATACTAATCACTGATATATCTAACACCTCCTACTAGTTCATTTACGTATTGCACGATAGATACCGACAATAACACCAGCAATTATTGATATTAGTTTGCTATATTATAATGTTGTTATATAAAGTAGAGAAATGAGAAACAGAGTTAGAGAGAGAGAAGTGTGGTGCTTGCGAAAGGCCACTGTTATCAAACTTGTAAAAGTTGACGTTTTTATTATTTGTATTCGTGAGAAGCAAATCTTGTGTTTTATTTAGCATTTTTTACCGCTCGGAAAATCATTCTAGACAAAAATACGAAGCCCCTCACATAAGCTATGTTCGGTTTTCAGATCCATTGAAAAACTATCATAGTATTGAAACAAATATTTATATTGTTGTGTGAGGTAGCTCGCCATTTTGTTGCAACACAAGCGCACAGGATTGCCGCAACGACTAAAGAGCGCGTGGATTGGCACTGCTATTCTGCCAATAGCAATCAATAAAAAGTTTAAATATTTGGACCTTGCATTTTCCCTCTGCTGACGATACCAATCTCCATAAAATACAAAAACCTTAACGACCATGAATTCAGTTCAATCACAAAAGGCCAGCTAAATCAAAGGTATGCGATATGACCAAAACAAAGGAGTGCCACAATAGACACGACAAAACTAGAGCAGAGGACTTCGCTGACGTGCAGGGATACAGGATTGCCGCAACGTGCAGGGATAAGACATCCATCCACCCAGTCCCGTTTTCTTGCATCAATTTACAAAATGGCTACAGAGGACGCGTTCAAAGACGAGGAGGAATATTCAAAAATATTCGAAGTGTTTTCACGTGGACGCCTTGAACATGAACGAATTTGGGTTGCTAACAAACTGGTGCCTAAACTTGTGCAGAAATTAAGCCTGAAGTCGAACAGCTCTGACTTCTCTGTCCTGGCTGTTGGTTCAGGCATCGGCGCTTTTGATATTATGCTTCTGGAAGAACTAATGCAAGGAGCTAAAGATTTTTTGGGTCAAAGGAAAATCAGATGGGTTGTGGTTGACCCTAATGTTTCTTCAGTGAAGAGATTCAAAGACGATATCGAAAACAGGACGGAAAAATTCGATAAAGTAGAATTTGAGTGGATTGATAAAAGCTTTGAAGAGTATTCCAGCGAGAACCTGGCAAGCGACGTAAAGTTTGACTTTATTCACTTTGTTCATATCTTGTATTATGTGGACGAAGACAAAGTACTACAAAGTGCCTATGAGCAGTTTTTGAATAAACCAGGGTTGATGCTTTGTGTTGTCGGAAGCAAAGGCGACATATGGGTGAATCTAATTGATTCATTTAGCGCCAAAATTGAATCATTGGGGAAAGAGCTGCACTATCCAACAAACGTTGAATTGTGTCAAATAGCCAAAGGTCATACATGGGACTGTGATGTATTTGACGGGAAGCTAGATTTGGAGGTGTCCCAAATATTTATCCCAGGCCACCCGGGAGGAAAGGCCCTGCTGCAGTTTTTCTTGCATACCAGGAATGACCCAAAAGAAATGGTCGGCGAAAAACTGTACGCTGAATTGACGGAATTTTTCAAATCTCAGAGCTGGGAAGTAGTTTCCGATGGATCAAGAAAGTTTTTCGTAAATGATAACGAAGGGATCTTACTAATTTACAAGTAATCAGATTTTTGAATGAAATTCAGTAAAGCATATTGTTTACTCATTTGTCTTCTATTTTTTATTTTCTCAAGTAAGATTGTGTATAAGGGGGTCTAACATTTGTCCCCTTATACAGAAGACATGTACTGTCCCATTTCAATATTTAATCATGCCAGAAAGGTTGTCTGTCAAAATTAATGTTTGTGAGATAGATAAATTTCATATCTAAGACGTATTCCTGCACCAGGTAGGCTGCGCGCGTTTTGAAGATACATCAACTTATCCATAGAAAATTTTTTGGGATCGAAATTATTGAGATTCAGGATCAATTAGGAATGATAACCTGGATCGTATTTCATCGACAGAATTCTGATCTATTTGAGCTTTTTCGGCGAACAAACTCTTCTGGGACTGGGAAGCAATATCAATGATAATTCGATTAAAGGAATGATTCAAAAATCACTCTTATAAAGAATTTCACGAGTACCGATTTTTTGGCTTCCAAAAACCTGGATACAGGCATCCCCCTCCCCATCCAAATCACAAAACATCTTAATCAGGGGTGTCCAACTTATTTTTTGGGTGGGGCATAGACAAAATCTTACTGTAGATTGTTTGTTTTGTAAAATTTTTATGAGAATATAAAGAAGCTTACTGCACATGCGGGCCAGATAAATAATCATGTATTGGCAAATTTTGTATTGAACAATAAATGGATTGATAATTACAGTTACAAAGTGGTGCCGTAGAAGAGGGCTCAGCCTCCTTGTTAAAATTCAGAGGGATTTTGTGGGGCTCAGCCCCCTTTAACAAGTGAGTTTATATTTGGTTAGGCGAATTCTTTGTTGGCAATCCTTAATTATACTATAGATTCCTCATGAATGAGCAATTTCTTACCAGTCTTTTTGTGCCATCGGGTGTGGTTGTGGGAGTTGTTTGCCTGCAGTACAACCCCCTTTCAATTTTTTTAGGACGGCACCCTTGCAGTTACATGATTAATAACATGCAAGCTACACGAACAGTTACATAAAAAAGGTATCAATGTGAAATGTTTCATTTCTTTTTAGCAGAAAGTTTATTTGCATCACACATTAAACTTGTAGTTGACGTGCGAAAGGTCATGTAAATTTTCTCTGCATGCTTGCTTGGATTGTAGCTTTGACTTGTTCTGTTCAGCTTCGTAATAAAGAAACGGCTGCTTATAATTATACGAAAGTACGCCTAATAATGAGAAGGTATGTATAATAATAAATCATAAAAATTTTGGCGGGGATGGAACTCCATAGGCATAGCTCAAGGACCAAATTATTAAACAATTGATCGACTTTGCAAATAAGCCCGTGCGGCCGTATGTTGGACACCCCTGACCTTAATCATTCATGTTTGAAGCATAAGCTAGGACTAATCATGGAAACATCTTTACGATGGTCATTCGCTTATCGTTGCTTTGCTTTATCCTCCCAAGATTGCAAAAGAAAAGAGGCCAAGAAATTTTTGTTAATAGCGTCGCGTCGTAATGCCTTCATAGCGTCGTCAAATTGTTGATAACACAAAGAAAGATTTATCATGTCGAACGATCATCTTTTCTTCTTAAAACCCTTTCCTTTTCAATATTTTGAATATTTCGAGTATTTCGAATAATATATTAGTTTCCAGACAACATGTCACTTAGGACCGGTGGCAAAAGTAGCTCTTTTACAGTCTCATCTAATAATAATATATAATAATAATCTACCATATTTATACAGGATAGCCTTTCCAGTAAGGATAATACTGCTATCACTAAGGGTCCTATTAAAATAAAAGTTTGTAAAGTAAAAGGTTCAAAATTATAAGATTAGAAGGTTAGAAAAGTTACACTACAGAAGTTAAAAAAGTTACACTAAAAATCTAGGTTTGTGTCCCTGCTGGTTGCTTTAAATCTCAAAAGTGATTTTTTAGTTTGCAAGCTATTTGGTAAGTTATTAAAAATCTTTGCATCCTGGAATAAGAACGTTTTCCGCCCGTTTCTGTCCTAACTTTTGGAATAACTACACTTTTGTTGTTTTTGCGGGTATTCACTTTGTGATTGTGCCCTATGAAGTAATTTCCAAACGCTTTTGGCACTATGCCGTTTAAGCATTTAAAAACTTCTAAGGCACATAGTCTGTTTCGAAGATGGTTTACTCGGGGAAACTTGACATCACTTTTCCTTTTTCCATTGATAATACGCATTGCCCTGTCTTGAAAGGCCTCAAATCTTTGTTTTTTCGACTGGGGCATGCCAACAAAAACATTTGAACAGTAAAGCATGACAGGGAGGATCATCATTTTATAAATAGTTTCAGCAGTGTGTGGACTGATGTTCTGTCGCACTCGTGATAGTAGCATTATTCTTGATGATATCTTTTTGAATGTCTTCTCTAAATGGTCGTTGAAATTAAGGTTTTTATCCAATGTCACCCCTAAATATTCATAGCTTTTTGACTCAGTGATGCTTTTTCCATTCTTCTGGATCTCTAGTGGTCTTGATTTTGATGTTCTCTGACGTGTTCCGAATAGGACACATTCCGTCTTTGTTCTTTTCAAATTGACGACCAACGTATTTTTGACAAGCCATTGAGCAACTTGGTCAATGTCGGTATTTAATTGACTCTCGATGTTGACACAGTTCTTGTGTGCACAGTAAATGACTGCATCATCAGCGTACAAGATAATTTAATAATGGTTTAGTTGAAGATCAATATCATTAATCAGCAATGTGAACAGTAACAGCCCTAATATGGATCCTTGGGGAACTCCGCAGGACACAGATTGAGTTACAGACTTGACTCCATCAAAATGAACATATTGTTTTCTGTCAAACAAGTAGCTTTCAAACCATTTTAATTCTTCACCATTGATTCCATATAGGGGTATCTTTGATAATACCCTCGAGTGATCCACTGTATCATATGCCTTCCTGAGGTCTACAAAAACTGCACCCATTAACAATCCTCTATCCATGCCTTGTCTTATAAAATCAGAGAAGAGGGTCACTGCATGTTGGGTTGATGACTTATTTCGAAAACCAAATTGCCTTTGCGAGAGAAGTTCATGTTTCTCTATCTGTGTTTCAGCACTATAGTATTTGCAGTTAGGAATTTATATGAATTCTAAATTAAATGTATAGCATTTATTGCTCAATAGTAGATTTTATGGGAAATTTACTGTTGAAAATGAAGGTATGAGTTTTAGGTTGGGTTAGACGTCTTTCTATGTATGAGAATCTGGTTTATTAGCAACTAGTACTAGGATGCCCAAAAATTAAGTATCTGTAAAATTTCTATTTTAAAAAAAAATTAAAAAGTTTTAGTATTGTTGATTTTTCTTTGGAAAGATAGCATGATTCGGATTCAGTTTCAGTTTAAATTCCAGATATTTTAAATTCACTATATAATATTGAATATATAATTATATATAATTTACTATACTGACAAGTAACTAAACTACAATGAAAATATTACAGAAAATTAATACATTGGTACGGAAAATTAATACAACATACAATACACAGGGCCGGGATATACTGTATCGAGCGAAGAGGAGCTTTCTCAATAGTATGTAAACTAATCAAAGAGAGACCCCTATCCTTGAATAAATTCGATCAAATGATTTAATGCTTTTAAGAGAAATTGAATTTGCCACAAGTCCAACACCCCGACCCCGGAGAGAGTAAAAACAAATTTGAATTTTTTTTATATGAATTGGTGTTTCTCATGACGATCTGCGTTTATATTCTTCCAAAAAGGCTCACCTTCAAAACAATCAGGTAATTGAAGGAATCAACTAAGAAACTTTTAGTACTAAAACGCCAGAATTTGAATGCGAAATTAAGAAACTTTATTACTTAATGCTGATCCATATTTTTTTATAAAAGGAAAAACTTGTATCTCGTTGTTAAATTATAGAATCTAGTAAAATAAACCTATGTTTTCACAGGCATCTAAATTACTTAAGGATGCAAACTTGTTACAACTGCAAATAATCGAGCAGAATTACGCATCATCAGTAGTGATAATTTTACAGTACCATCTTTAACTATGAAAACCTGATTCCCTCCATGCACGAAACAATCTCCCCATCCCCAACCTCGACTTCAGTTGCAAGAAAAAAATGGCGGCAGAGGTCCAATGGCAATAAGACGAAAAAGGGTTTCCAAATCTACGTTAATTCCTCGCAGTGCATCTAGGTAACATTTATTTGGATGTTAAAGAGAAATGTAACATTTCATGATTTACAAATCTGGTCGTTTAAAGCATTTTTGCTCCTGGAGTGTGCTTTTGCTATAAATAAAAAGAAAGGAGTCTCCTAAAAGTTTAAATGCAGATGTTTAGCAGTAAAGATTAAATTGAAGTTTTTTAGAAAGTTGATTGAAAATTCGCATTGAAATTGATCTGCATCCTAATCCTTTTTGCCACATAATCCTTCTGTCGGGAATGGCCTTAGACTCTAAACTAGAGGGAAAGACCACAAAACAGAAAGACCGCAGATGGGCAGATCGCGCTTTCCCTTTCAACTTCAATTCATCACAGAGTGGTTGATATATAAAACCAGCTGAAACATTTTTGTCAGCAGTCTTTGAGTCAGAGTGCATTTGGTGTCAACTGTACGCCAAAAGTTCACCAGGGCATTTGTTTAGGTACGCTGCGCTGAAAATATGAGCTATTAGTAAACTATATATAGTGTACCTAAGAAATAAAATTGATTAATAGAGAAAACTATGGTGTATCAGTACTTATTTTATTCCTTTTCATGTTCATGCAGTGGAATTTAAAATAAATGAATGAATGAACTGAATGAATGAACTAACTATGTATGTGGCTTCATGTTTAGCACGCCAAGTAAAATAAGTTTTAGGTACGCCAAAATATTTTTATTGGTTTGCACCTCAAACGCCAAAAAAATCCTGAGTGTATGCTGAAGATCTTTGGGCGTAAGTACATGGAATGTATCCTTGTCTTTGAGCCCAGTAACTTTTGCTGGTTTAAATTTTCCAAGTTATTTTTCATTGTTTCATTAATTTATGCATCGTTTTCTTAACTTGAAAATGATTGCAAATGAGATATTGTTTTGCAGTTTAAGCAACCTGTCAATCATGGTTGTGACAGCTTGTTTCCCCAAATGTTGAAAGTTTCCAGGCCTGTGCAATTACTGCAGTTACAGTAATATTCTGTGTGCATCAGGATATTCACAGTTAAAACCCTAACCTGAATGCTTGTTCCTTTTAGGTATACTACCTGTGATTGCAATTTAATGCCTTAGTGACCCTTTGGACCAGTGGCAGACACCCGAGGGGTGAGTATCAACTTTCTAAACTTTCAACACTCTTTGAGTCACCAAATTTTGTATTTTGTATATTAACCAAAAATGTCCTGCAATATTTTGGAGGATAATCGTTTTTTGTTCTAAAATAATTGGGAGATGTGACATTATCTTATCAAAACAAAAGGCTTGCCCCCCCCCAATATTTGATCAAGTGTCTGTCCCTGCTGTTGACCTTTATGTTTTTAACTCATAAGCAAAGGTAATGCATCTTGGTTTTTTGAAAAGCCTGCAAAAATGAACTGTCACTTAGAATTGGTTATCCGATATTTAAAAAACATTTTCTGTAGTAGCTACTAGAAGTCCTTCAGACTTCAATTGATTTGGTAAACATTGATTTTTGTTCACCCCCTCTCTCTTTACAGACTATATCAAATGCTACTATTTAAAGATTAATTTGATTTGTTTTTACTGTTCTCATGTAAAAGTATTAACTTTACAGTTACAATATTATTGTCAGAGATGTTGGCAGATGATTTCTTAATAAAAGATGAAGATCAAAACTATTCAGCTTTAAATGCCATGCTGGATTCGATCAAAGAGGAGTCTCATAAAAGGTATGTTGTTTTCAGATGTATTCGCTAACAGGGCCCATTTTAAAACACTGCTTGAATTTTGATCATAATTTCCTTTGCCAAATTCAAAATTTTACAGCAATTATATGCTGGCTGTATTGCAAAGAGGGTGGCAATAGTTGGTTGCAGTTTATCACAATAAGGCTTTGAATGCTTTAATTTATCTACAACTGTTTTTGGTTAGTATATATATATATAGCTCCTAACTCCAAAATTTTTTAAAAATATAAATAGATACTCTATAAAAAAACTACTTAGTTGATGTTTTGGTGTAAGCATCTTCAGAATCTTCTGTAAGCTTCTTCAGAACTGAATTCTAGATTTACTTTCTCAAGCTAGCTCTGGAAACAACGATTTTGTAGCTGCCAAAACGTGTTATTGAAGGCAGTTGCAAAAGTTTCTGCCATTCATTTTAGTGCTCCTTCCACAAAAAAATCCAATCATTTTGAGAAAAGCCACCTCATTATAAAATTTTTGTAGTTGCATGTTTTGCGGACAGCAGATGTTTTGTAGGTTGTAAAATGTTCCATTATTTTTTACTGAAGGTCTTCCAAAGGTGGAATTTCAAAGTGAGAAATAGTTCAGTTCATTTACTAAATGACCAATTTTTTCACTGAAATTTTCATGTCCTGTCTTCATATTAAAAATATTGCAAATATACAAAATTTGGAGTATCCAAAAATATTATATATTCATGTTTGCCAACTATCCCTGTAAACATTGCTGTACCCATTCATTTTATTTAAATTAGGATTATCTAGATTAGGTATAATTGATTCTGTCTTTTCTGCAACTATTTTTGAGACAAAAATGTAAAGAATGTGACTTCATCTACTCTTCAGTACAGTCTCAGTTACCTTTTAGTTCTTATAATGCAGATTTTCTCACAAGCTTTCTATTGTCATGGAGATTTCACACACATTTGGAAATTACCATTTGTTTCCCTTGGTTGCAAATAACTATAAGCTGCATTCTATTTCCCCAAAACAGTTGCATTTATTTCACCTAGAAAGCTTTTCACATTCAGAAATTTACACAAAAACTTTCATAAAGCAACTAAAAACAATGTGGTTGAAATTTGTTCATCACGATCATTCTGAACATTTTTCCTTTGTTATCTTCTGCCTTACTCATGTTTGCTTTACCTTGAATAGGGCAGATAATGTTAGCTTGGTGCCTTTTAAAAAACAGTTTACTTTAGATGAAAATCACATACATTGCTTCCTAAATAGACAAAATAGAAATTACAAACTAATTACAAGCTGCAGCGTATGATGAAAGAAATAACAGCAAGCATTCTAAATGTTGTGTTCAGATAAAGTATCTTTTTTAGGAAGAACATCCATACAAGATTATTGGAATGCTACTTGGAAGAGGAAAGGGATTCTGAAGAGAATGGAGTATGTATTAGCTAGGGATTATTTCTAGTTGAAACTCTTAAATGCATAAGGTACTAAACTTGATGGTCTGGTGTATAGCTGGTCTTGCTATAAACTTATATCTTTCAAGATAGTATGGTTTTGAAGTTAATTGTAATGTAAAAGTTTCAATGTATGTCCCAGAAGTAAGAGCTTGACTTGACAGGTTTCAGTTTAAGTTGTTGAATTTCAGGCATATCTAAATAAGGATTGATTATTCAAGGTACTAAATGAAAGAGAGCTGTTGTTTCAACACTCAGGGTTTAGTTTTGGATTGAAGTACCCCCTATATGAATGTTCAATGTCTTTAACAGCAAGAAAACTTTAACATATCCAATATTTTAAACAAAAGATTTAGAACAAGCAACAAAAGAGTCATATGTGTGGATTCAAAGTAATTCCTTCTAATGTGCCAGTTAGTTTATGATTGAAAGTTTGAGGAGATAGGAAAAGAAAACCAGGATAGACTTGATTATCATCATTTTCATAGGACCTGTTTGAAGCCACAAGCACAGGATTGTTGGTCTTCAAATAAGGACACTGTGTTATTTCAAAGGTTTATTTTCATGAATTTCAACGTTTTGCTTATAGAGAGCCCTCTCAGCTCCTCAGGTTTCCATTCTTTCCAATTTTACATTTACTTTCTCCATCTATACCGAAACGAAACCACCTGCATGCATAAAGTAACCTCGGTTTTTCTTTTGTTCAACCAAAGACCACCATTAAAGAATCATATCTGTTGGAGAAAATCATAAAAGAGGATGGCCTGAACACTCTTATTGTGAACCTCTACCCTGGTCATGAGGGATATTCCTTGATGCTCAAGGACAATATTGGCAAAGAAGTAGAGACAGTGAAATTGCCCTATGAGGTAATCAACTGATGTTTTTAATTTTTCTACTACTTAGTCACTTTGTGAGAAATGGACATAACTTATCTGTAGGCATCTTATTTATGGTTTGGTTCAACATTGAACAAATCACTAAAAGTTATACCTGCAAATTTTCCCTTAATTATTTCAAAGATGAATATTTTTACGTCGATCCATAATCTATTCTAATCACTGTAATTTGACCTTGGTTCTAAAATCTATGTACCAGGCACAAACTGTAGTAACCCAAGGAACAGTAGAAAAATTGTGGCTTTTTTATATACTTTGATTTTTCTTTTTCTTTGCTCTTATACTTCTAAATTATTGATCTGAATTGATGTGATTATACTTTTAATTTGTTTTATTTTTTGTGATGACAGATTTTAAATACAGTTTTTCAAACATATGTTATTAAAACATGACAAAATATCTCAATGATTTTGAGTGTTAGCAAACTACCTGTTACCAATATTATACTAATTTTCTTTAAGGAAGCAGAGTTTTTGGATTATCTTGATGCTCAAGAGGTAATTTGTCAAGAATTTTTCAGATAATCTGAATTTTTAAAAAAATTGTATTTTATAAACACATCATTGTTCCCCTTGATGTATTTAGAAAAATGTTTTACAATTGACAAGCAAATTGACAAATGATTCAAATATATTTTTGAACTGTGTTTGTCACCATTTCACATTGTAGCTAGCTTTGACTGTTTCTATTACATTTAGAATATTTTTCTTTATAATGACGTGATAATTTTTGTATTCGAAATTGTGATTAATCTTTATTTATCCCATAGCTGCCTCCAATTCTCATTGAAATTTTGGAAAAATTACAGGTTTGCCACTTGTTAGGTTTTTTCTAGTTAAAATTACAGGTTTTGTTGTGCAGCTAAAGGAAGTTTGTGAGTAAGGGTTTGTGTCATTTTTTAAGAAACTTGATGAAGCTGCCTGAGATCTTTGAGTATGACATTCAGCATACTCCTCAACATTTTATCTAATTATATAGACAGTGGATTCGATGAATTTTTCAGTTTACCGGCGTGTCGTAAGTGCTTAATGCCATATAGGCAGAGCTGTGTCAAGTATTCAAAAGACTCACGTTAGACGGTTTTCTCAACTCTAAAGCATCTTGTCTGGATATTTAAAACTTTTCTTTATTTTACAACATAATATACATTTGCAGTTGCCTGTGAAAAGATGCCATGTTTTCTGCCTTTAAATACCTTTTGTAACTTTTTTATCAAAAGGTCGATTTGTTTTATGATGGATGTATAATCGTGGAGTTGAGAGATTACAGAAGAAGCCCGCAGAAGACTTTCCATGATCGATCGTTTTTTCTTCTGAAACCTACGGCTCAGGTAGTTGAAGCTCAATTTCGAAAGTAAATACGGATTTTTATTGAATCAATATTATGATTTCATTATAAAATTATAAGGATGACTTAAAGCACTACCGATTTCTTTTGCGTTATTTGCTTATGTCCTATGCTAGAATGCTGTCATTCACATGGGAACTGTGACAATGTTTTGTGTTGATTTTTACTTTGATTTACTTTCTGATACGTTTGTTTACTTCTTCTAACAGAGTCGAGCTTCTAACAGAGTCGAGTTTGATATGAATAGAAACATCGCTCTATGGTTCAAGTTACAAATTTGAACGAATTTTACGCTTGATTCGAATTTAATAGTCAATCTTTCAATCAAAATTGTCTAAGGCTGCCTAGTTATCTTACTAAAAGATTCATTCAAGATAGCAGAAAAGTCTCTTCTACCGTTGTAGACAATTGTACGTGACGTCAACACGTTAATGAGCGATGCAAAGTGGACGACTGAAGATAAGTTGCAGTTAGAATCGGAGATGGTGCTTGCCCTAGAGCCTCGTCTGTGTTTGGATCCATCACCAGAAGTAGTCCAAATCGCAAATCGAAACCAATACAATGCAAAGAAGCTGAACAACCGTGCTCTGAAAAGGTACGCAATGATTATTACGCTTAAAAATGGATATACTTTTTTCCATGGGTGCAGTGGCAAGGGAGCAAGTGCCCATTCTGTTATCGGAAATTCGCAATGTTCAGTATAGTTTGGACCTAATTTTTGCTCTTATTATAGTAAGGAAGTTGTTTTTCGGAAAGTTCGATGTATTTGTCCACCCAAACCACTGTTACCACTGCACCTCTACATCTTAAATGTCTATTTAAGGTAAAGGTGAACTGTATGTCTCTTAGGAGATGACATTGATGCATTTTTTGATTGTGTTATCGTTTATGAAGCGATAGAAATTGAGATAAACTCAGGACTAAGCGCAAGCAGAACCTGAGGTATTACAAGCATTAAAGCATGGCCATTCGATATCGGGATTGACTTGCCTTTCAAGAATTCAGCAGTTGCTAAAATACCATTTGATTTTCAGGGCCATGAAAAGATTTGCACGTAGTAGTAATAATCGCTCCTTCAAAGTGCAGTCGACGGCTTCCCCGCAGCCGTTCCGACTTTTCGACTTCATCAGTAAACATAGAGACAAACGTGCTACGCAGCTGTATCACAACAAATTGAATCGTACAACACAGAGTATTGACATGTGGAAGCAAAGGTCTTTGCAGCTGACGGCGCCAAACAAAATCGAGGTGAGTTTTGAATTTCCTTCCCACAACGAAATCTTTCTTGAATAAAGACCTCCTGTCGCGAATAAAGGGTGCGCAATAGGGCATCCTATAGAATGCATGTACAGATGCATTTTGATGCATTTTGAAGGATCATGTATCTATCCTTTTTATGACGATTAGATAAGAACTCTTCTTTTTTTACCGATAATGGACGATCTTTGCCAGAATTAACTGTATGTTTTTCAGATACAATCGCACACTTTTCATGATGGTATTGCCTCTTAGCAAACGGGGTAGTAGAATAACAGTTATAGAATTTACTATCTCTAGATCTGTGTGTCGAAAGCCCTGCTTAATCGGGGAATGTTCATAATTTATCACATCATGATCTACTGATGAAGTACAGTAGGTTCTATTTTTCTATGCAACAGGTTTTGGAAATAAAACTAGAGTGTCAATGGTTGAAACTGTCTTTTCCTTTTTTGTTTATTTCCCTTCTCTTCTGATCTAGGTAAATTCACATTCAAAAATGCATGACCAGCCGAAGTACGTAACGGACAGTACCCCGGAAAAGATACAAGAGATTGTTTTAGAAGGAGAGAAAACCAATAATCGTGCCTATTATTGCAAAGTTACTATTCTGCGAAGACCATCAACGGGAGAATATCTAGGTGAGCTGTACTTGGAAGAGGAATTCGGCAGTAAGGAGGAAGGAAAGAAAGATGGAAGGGCCTGCAGGTATTTATATGACCTTTATTTATATAATTGCCAGGCTTAAGAATCAAACAAAACTGTATTAGTATATTGACTCGTGTATGTTGTATTTGAAATGATTTGTCTTAATGGTGTCAAAGCAATAAACTGTAGCCTTTGCGTTCAAGGGGTCTTGAAAGGTAGTTAGAAATACCTTCGTAACGTGAATAGGGTGAAATTTTTATAGACAAATAGACACAAATCAAATGCACATATTCTTTATTCCGTATTGCAGGTTCTCTCTAGGTAACCGCATTGCTGCCCAACGTTACTTGCAGCAGTTCCAAGAATTGTACACAGAAGAGGGTCGAAAGTCCGTGAAAATTTCAACTTACGTCGCAAATCAACAACAACAACAGCAACAGCAGCCGCAACAACAACAACAACAACAGCAGCAGCAACAACAAAGTCAGCAACAACAACCAAACTCGTCTACGAATTCAACGATAACTTTGACCCAAAGTCAATCAGGTTTCACCAATTCCTTTTTATTTGTCATTAAAATGATATTGCCGGACCGTGAATTGTAATCAAGTCTTTGTTTTTATATACTCGATATTACTGCAGTGCAACACCTAGCGAAATCACTACTTTGTAGATCGTTTGCACTATCTATGCACTGCTGTTGTGTTGTATACGTGTAAGCAGTTTTGTCCTTGTCATTAATTTCTTGTAATTCTTCATTAGATGCGGTTTCGTAATCGGACTTTTGTCCATAGCGACACGAAGATATTCGTACTGATTTACTAATAACTTAACTTAGTACTGATTTACTAAGTTTAATGTATCAAGGAAATTGTTAGCTTTTATGACATGAAGCGTCTTCGGTGTTTCCCGATTAGCAGAAATTAAGTTTTTGTTTATTCAGATTGACATGATTAAATTCAGTGTTCATGTTCAGTGTGTAATACTGTGATAAGGATTACTCCTCGATTTATCGAAATATTACATCTTGTTATTTTTTTCAGGGGCTTCTACCCAGGCAACATCGGAACCATCAAACGCAACAAAAGTCGCAGGTCAAACTCTTCCAAGCGCAATTTTCACTCAGGGTAACACTTACATCTTAACCAGTGCTATTGGGATGACACCTCAGTCCGTTGCCGTTGTGTCTTCAGGAATTTCAACGACTGCGACGTCATCTGGACAGGTGCAAAGTAGTGGGTCTCTGTCTACAGGCTTCACCCTTACTGGTATGTTTGATTTTGAAATGCATAGTAATGGGCATTTTACTTTATCTAAAGTATTGTTATAAGATAATTTGTTTTAGTTCATGCCGTTTTGATCCACCTTATGGTACATTAAACGTCTTGGAGGAAGAAGAAATGATTGACGCACCGAATCAAATCTTCATATATGTGCAACCATTGGAAAGTTTTTTGGAAAAAATTCTAAAGCCCCGGAGAACCATGATATATGACTTCCCTGTGCCCAATTTTTCTCATAACCCCTTTCAATTTGCACGCTAAGATAACCTGCCGACATGTCTCATCAGAAAAGATATAAGTTTTAAGCGACTTTTTAAAGAAGTATCTAAATAGAATAATTTGGTGTTCTGTTTATTCTGAATCTCTCAGCCTCTGGCAACTCTTACTACGTGCCTGCATCAGGAGCAAAGACAATATCCGCCAAATTCGGCAACTTAAGAGCAAGGGCAGTGGACAACACGAGTCAATCAAGCAATGTTCAGTTCACCACTGCATACATACAGGTGCGTAGCCATCATTGATAGTTATTTATTGGCTTCGATACTTTTGCGTCCTTGGTGTTTGGCCCGCGATATTAACGAGTGCCTACACGAGCCTCATACCGTGTCTTTTAGTGGTATACCTATCGATATCTGCCAATTGCACAGCCCGTTTTTAATCAGTTAGCCAGTCTTTCTTTGACGATAATAGTCAAGGACTGATGCAACCCTTCCCTTTAATGATTTTATTAAACCTTACTTTCTTGCCGACTTCATTATTCTACATCAGAAACATGGAGACACATTTGAATTATCATGGCGCAGCTGGCTAAAGAAATTGGAATTTTGGATTACCGTTTACCTCATAATTTCGATCTTCACAACAACAAAAATCCCCATTTTGAAAATACCCAGTAAACTGTGCTTTTGTTATTCTATGTGATTTCAAGTTTACAAAACCAGAGCTTATTTTTTAATTTGAAACGTACTTCATATTGAGAATTGAGCGTAGTATCGTAAAGGAAAAACTAGTAACTTCAATTTACAGGCTGTATACTTTTCAGCAGAATAAATTATCACTCCTCAATTTCAGCTTTGAAATGCGCTCAGACTTGGATGTTATTGGGAAAAGGGGGAAAAGCATTTTATTATAGGTAGCATCGTAATTTTAACATTCCCAAAGGATTTAATGGCGAATAAGATAATTTAGCATCTCGACGTTGCACAAACTTTTAAACCCGCCTTTTTCACGAAATCATTTCTCTCCGCACGGGGTTATTTCTCATTTTCTATCCTTAGCCCGTCGTATCTGGAGGATCTGTCTCTGTGACAAGCCAAGGCATAACTGCTGTACCCATTGTTGGCACAAATGTAAACATTGTCCCTGGCACAATTGGTACACAGTTTATAGCAACAGGAGGATTAAAATCTGCAACACAAAATATCAGGCCGGCAGGTCCAGCATCAATTACGATGCTTCAGGTAACAACTTTTGAAGAGTCTGTTGGTATTTTAGAGTTGAAGTAAAAGAGGTTAATTGTTCAATCAATTTGTAAGTTTGGGTGAATGGTGGGCTTTACCGAATTAATTTCTCAAAAGATCGCATACTTCACAATTTATACGAAAGAAACTCACAACGTAAAGTCATCTTAACTTGATTGAGCCTGAGTTGATATCAAATGTGCGACAAAGAAAACAAGAACGTTTTTATTCATCTTTGCAATTTTTGTCCCTCTTTCATTCCTAAAATGCCAAACTTCAACACGGCCTCCTGTTTCAGCAGACGGCTGGGTCGCAACAGCAGTCAGTCCAGGTGGGGCAACAACGATTGCAAGCTCAGTTTGCGGTAAGTTGGATTTGATGCTTATGAAACATCATGTTTCTCATCCCTGGTAAGAAGATCCATTCCTTTTTTACATTGGCTTCAATAAGGTAAACGACTTACAAAGACGAGAGAAAGATTTCACATCCCGAACTATGATTTTTTTATTATTGCTGGTGGAAGGGTTGAGCAGTTTGGGCTCATTGGTAATAGTCGGAGGATGAATAACCTTTTCTTAAATCTAGTCGTCCTCTATCATAGTAAAACTTGGATCACAAGTTATGAATACTAATTTTAGTTTCCATCGCTACTTCCTAAGTTAGAGATTTCAACGGTAATTATTTGTAATTCACACGGTAAAGAATGTTCTAATTCTAAGAATTTCCGTGTTTAACCATGTATATATCTTTGCCATTTTGAGGATCTTTTCATCTTCTAGGCCAGGTTTCTCTCCACCTGTGCTAATAGACAAATGTGTTTATTCATAGGTTCCTGGTAACTTACTACCTCTTTCCCAAATGACTCGAGTTAGTGCCAATGCAGCTCAACAAAAGGGACAGCAGTTGCAGCCGGGTATGGCTTCGGTTATGGTCAATGGGAAACAAGTTATGGTTCCTGGGCAGACAGCAATGATACAGGGTCAACCAACCTTTATACCAAGCCAGACCTCAATTTTACAAGGGCAAACCGTCTTACCAAATGGACAGACAGCAATTATTCAAGGAGGCTCTTTTTTCTTGCAAGGTCAACCAGGACAATCTTTGGTCGCAGGACAAGGCCAGGGTCAAACTGTAATGATCCAACAAGGTCAGGGGGCACATCAAGGCACCATACTGTCAGGTATGATCTCAACTGTTAAACTCCGGTGGTGGTGGACACTTAGTAAATTATTGTAAGGCAAAGCTTTGATTTAACGATAAAGCTCCCATTATAATAGTTGTGATAACTACACTTTTTGAATGGAGTTACATAGAAAGTTTAAGAATAGATTGATTCATCTACCTAAAAGAAATTATGAGTTATATTGTGTACTATTTTTATACACAGTGTGATATTTACCAAAAACCTTGCCGAATAATGGCATTTTCAAAAGAATAGAATTGGTTTTATTTTGTTTAAAAACAACAATATTATCTTTGTATACAACTTTTGGAGCGACTTAGGGTAGTTCTCCCTCATTGCTCGCCCTTAGTCTTTTATGTCCTTGCTCTAGTTCTTTTCATTTTCCTGAAGAAGTTCTTCTTTGTTTCTATGAGACAACAATTAATTTTTTTAATTAACTAGGCCAACACCAGAATCAGGCTCAAGGCACCATGGTTCAAGGGTCTTCCCTTCAAGGACAAACGGTGTTGATTCAAGGTGGAGGGCCAGGAGGGCAGGGGCAGACGTTTATGCTACAAAACACAGGGCAACAAGGCCAAGTGTCCATCATCACTACCAGTCTTTCACAAAGTGCAACAACACAATCGATTCAAATCGTACAGCAGCAGCAACCACAGAACAAATTGAATACTGGCATTGCAGGTAAACATTCACCTATGTTATCGTATCCTTCTATATCTTTAAAACCCAGCATATTGTTTATAATTTTGTGCCTAAGAAAATGCGCCCTAAAAATTTGTAAAAAGCCTGAGACTTCAAAGCCTGAACGAACGAAGAGCTTTCAACGTTATACAAATGAAACTAGTTATACAGGCTATCACTTGGGATGAGAAAGATTGAGGCTAATAAAGGATATTTGTGTTATAAGTTTGAATTAGAGTTGATATAAGATGATATAGTGTTGATTTATGGAGTTAATGTAACCGGCTTCTATTCAAATGTCAATGTAACATTTACTAAAAAGATGAAAACAAATTATCTCGAAACTCTCTGCAAACACAGGAAATTCGAGTTCTGTGTCGTCATCCTCTACTGCGCTCTCAGCTTTGACGTCCCAAGTCAACCTTATTCCGGTGCAGCAAAACACACAACAGCAACAGCAATATGGACAGCAAATGCTTCAGTTCTCACCGCAGGCTCCACAGCCAGCAAAGCCAGCAACGCGCCGGAGAAGCAGTGGCCAGCCTCCAGGTGCAGGCGGCAAAAGAAGGCCTAATTCTGCAACTAAGTAACTTGTATCTAGTCGAAATTACGTTGCCAGTTTATAGTGCAGATCTTACTTCCTCCTTAAAGGTCATTGTGAATACACGTTTCTAGGAACATACCATAGACATAGGAAATTAACTTCCAAGTTCTTGTTGGAGGGTCATTTAGGAATGCAAAGAAGACTGGCATTCCCTTCAAAAGCTATTCAATCTCTTGTCATCACCATTATTAGCTAATGCTACAACAGTTTTTTTCTCCATCTATTTGCTCCAAGCACATAGGAGAGTTTTTGGGCCCGAACAATATGTGGCAAATAAACAAATCTTAGTAGCTCCGCTCCTTTTAAACAATGAAAACTAAACTTTTGTTTGTTTGGAAGCAAAAAGGGCCGTTTTGGGCTTTCTCTCACCTGGATGGGCTGTACTTTGCCTCTGAATAAACTCAGGATCTTTAAAACCTCTCAAAAATCGCAAATATTGTTTGTTCAAAAGTCTTTAACATGTTTTTTGTCTGAAAATTCTCATTTTAAAATTCTTTTTATAGATTTATAACTCAAAATGTTATTGCAACATTCAATACATTAGTGCATTATGACGAAAAATTATGTGAATATTTATGGTATCATGGATCAAGATTAGGAAAATCTTTAGAGGGTGTGTAACCAAATGTTTATCGCATGGAGCTTTTCGCAACGTTTTTACAGAGTAAGAATTTCTTGTAATTATATGAAAATGTATGATAATTGAAGTAGCAAAAAGTCTTAATAAAAATTTCACTGCAAAAATTAATTTCACTTTATGTTGTTGCCAACTAAATTGACTGTATGGAAAGGAGCTTCCCCCCTTGCGGCATGACAGTATGAGAATGAGCTTTGTTTCTTAATGTATATAAAACAAGAAACGTTTTCTAAAATGGAAAATAAAAAACAAAAAGGGAAGCAAAAGGAAGGAGTAAAAGCTCTCATCAAGTCGTTTGTATTTATTGGATGTGATTGGAATACCAAGCTTAATCGGTGGATGGGAATGGCATATCAAGATATTTATTTCCACGGATTGAAAAACTTATGGAGATGGACGACTATTCAAATTAATTGTTTACGGGAATCTATTCAAACTTAGTTATCGATTAAAACACTAAATCGCTGCTTTAGATATGATATTAACGAAATCAGCACCAACAGAGCCACTGTTAAAAAAGCATTTGTTACACGCGAAAGCATTCTCAGAGAGACAAAATTGTTGCAAGTTTGATACCAAATGTATCCCCATTCTATGTTCAGTATTTTATGGTTATTGATCAAAAACCCATAGCCAAGACTATTTTCACAAAATATGAGCTTCATATAAAAGATCAGCCGCGTGATTTTTTTAAGGAAGACGATGAGTACAATTTACAGTGAGGAAGCACTACCCCCAAACAACATGCTTCTACGTTATATTCTTAGATATGTTTCCTATGAATTTCACGTATGAAAATCCTTTGACTCTAACACTTTCTATATATGCATTCATTTCCATTTCTGCTTCCTCTTTGGAAAAAGTTTCTTCCACCAAAATAAAATGACTAGCGATCAATGTTCGCTGTCAGTTTTTCTATGGTCTGCCTTAATTCTTGGCCACGAGACAAGGCTCTGTCAATGCACTGGCGAAAGATATCATCTTTGATTGCCAATCCTCCTGGAAAAATATAATAGTTGTAAACTTTGTTAATCTAATTGTAGAACATTATTAAGAACGTGAGAAATAATGATTCGGAATACAAAGAAGAACAATAATGAAATAATGGCCACATTATTGAATCCTAAATTTTTATTGGACTTTAAACGAAGAAAATGGATAAGTTTTAGTTTTTTTTGCAAATTGAAGGTTTTTATTAAAAAGGGGTGAACTTCACGGAAGATACTTGGTAAATGATGCGTGCCTTTGGTGTAAGATGCACTTTATGAGTTTTTAATGAAGATGCTGACAATCATGAGCACGGTTGCTTCAATAAAACAGTTTATCGAGGGATATTGATGATGCATTATTACAAACGGAAAGGTTAACAAATTTTAACATTGATTTATTCTTACTTAACAACATATTAAATGCTAAACATTTGATCAATTTAGCAAAACGTCATTAAAAAAGTTTGATTTTTTGCCCAGTGGTTAACAGTGCTGTCTAACGCCACCAGGGCAGCATGTAGTGGTTTGAGGCATCCAAGCATCTTGAGCATTCAAGCACCATGAAAAATGAATAAGAAATAGGTTTAAGGACCAAAAAAGCCTAGGTATACAAAGTCAGGGGTCGTGAGTTCGAGCCTCGCTCGGGTCGGTTATTTTCCTGCACTCTCTACTAATTATCTTTAAAAATCCTGTTGCCTGTAAAAGTGAAAGTGTTTGAATGCATGTTAATTTTATTCAAAATGAAGTGATATTTCAATATTTGATGGGCAAATAGCCTACATTGTTCAATAAATTTTAACTTGCCTGGTTTGTATACTGAGCATAAGCTATTGTCTTCTAAGGTTACTATGGTGATAACAGTATCAGCTATGCCTTCTTCCTCTTCAGTTGGATCAGCAACAACCTGTGAACTGAAAGTGTAAAAATAGACTTAGAATAAAAAAATAATTGATAAACAATATTTGAAGAAGACAAATTTTTGGTAGTGCAATTTCTTATCAACAAAATAAAATGCCTTTCAAGATCATTTTTCAAACTGCAGGCACACATCAGCTTTGGAATTTTTGGATGTACACTTACGTTCAAAAAGTATTGGGACACCCTTCGAAACTTCGAAGACATTTTATGCAACAAATTCGGAAAGACTTTTTTAAAATCTTTCTCATTAAAAAAGTACGGCAGTTATTTCCATGAAATTTTCACAAGACATTGTTGATATTTTGAAGCCTTTTATGTACGCCAAAAAATTAAAAATTCATCTACCATAAAATTTCTATAGGTCTCGAGACGAAAACATGGAAGCTCTGAAAACTCAAGAACTGAGTTAAGAGAAGCGCTTACAAAGTGCTTTCTACTATAATAAAGTAAATGGATTTTGCGATATTGCATCAATTCTCGGCTGCTCAATGAGTGCAGCTTTTCTGGTGTGTAAAAAGTTTTTCCGTACAAGAACAGAAAAAAATTTACCAAGGGTTTGCAGACCAAAGAAGTTTACGACGCCGAGGGACGACAGTTCTTTACTGAGGGAACTGCGAAGTAATAGGTTTGAATCCTTACCAGACATCGTGTTGTCATGTAAAAAGAAGCTAAATAATGGAACATAAGCAAAAACATGGCTATAAAGTTATGAAAAATACAAATTTTCCAGCGTTATAAGAAAAACAAATGCTCTCTCAAAGTTAAAATTAATCATCGACGATGAGTTCAATGGCTTCTCCTTGAATGTTACGCAATTTTAAAAGATGCTTGAATAAATGCAATAATTTAATAAATTTGTAGCATATTCGTCGATGAAGATAACTTTTTTTGAAGCTTAAAAGTTTGATTTTATAATTTCTTTTATAATTTTTTTTGTTATGCAAACGTGAAATTAAAAAGTTGTATTTGTTTGGACAGCTCTAAAATTTTTGGAAGGTCATGTGACTTTGCCATTGTTAGGCCATTCAGCCCTTCTGCATATTTTGCTGTTATAATCAGGAAAATCGAAAGAATCCTGTGTTTTCTTGGTTATTCTTCATAAGTTGAAGCATTTTGTTAACTTTTTATTCCATTTTGGGGAAACTTGGGCCTAGATTATTTGTAGAAAGACTGCCTAAATCTGAAAAAGTTTCCGTTGCAAAACCGAATCCAACGGAACGCCATAATTCGTTTATCGAATTCGTCCCAATACTTTTTGAACGTAAGTGTAGAAGCGTTACATGGCTAAAAACCTAAAAATATACCACAGTCAACGTATTAAATAGAAATCAGAAATGATTAGATGATATGTTTTAAGCCTACTCACTTTTGAAACACAGCAAATGTACTAGCGATGGGATTACTGGCAATGTCTAAGGAAGATTTTTTATCAGTTGATACAACAGTTTCCCCTGTTTCTTCACTGTATGAAGCGGAAGGTAAACTGCCTGAAAAAAATAAATAGACCTTATTAAAATACTGATTATTCATAAAGAAGGGTTTTATCTTCTATTGGTTTATTATGCATATAAATGGATACACTCAAAGACAGGAAGTCTGTATTTTTATTTTGTATTGTGTAATAGAGTTATCAATTACACTAGTGACAAATATTAAGTATGAGTAATCAGACCAAGAGGGGTTATTAACCAATTCAAAGCATTTGCTTTATGATAGAAATGATAAAGCTATAGTACTCACAATTATGCATTGCAGCAAGCAAAGCAAAGAGTGCAGCATCTTGAATATTACCATCATAATTCAAGCAGATGACATCTGCATACAAACACCATACAGCCTATAAAATTGTGAAAATTCATGATATATCATTCCATGTTTCAACTGTATTGCATTTTTATCATGTGTCCTTCTCGCCATGGAAATAAGGCTTGTGTGATTATATTATTCTAAGAGTCACATGGCCTTTGTATTTCAGTTCAGTTCAGTCTGAATCATTAAATTCAACTGCAAACAAAAACATTACTTAATATACCTAATACTTACATAAAAACAATTTTGATTAACTTCAATTTATTTTTCTACAGCAAAGATACTAATTAGCTGAATAATGCAAAACAGGCATTGTTTGTAAGGGGAATGTATACATACTTGTCAGCACATGATATCCTAAATACTGGATAATTATTTTTACTAATGGTTTTTTTCAGTTCCCATTCCAATAGCTACTTAGCTGTCACCCCTTTTGGCTTTTTTCAAGCAACCAAATTATTTCATATTTTAATGAATTGCAGAAAAAACTTTCAAATATGTAGCTTGTGAGAACAGGAGCTTACCTTCCCTTGAGCAATGCATAGACTTTCTGGTTTTAAAAAAGAAGAGCTGCAAAAAGAGAAATCCAACAAATCATTCAGTTGAAATACATTAGAACTTTCTTTGAGAATTACAAGAGTTATAAGAATATCATGGCTCTTCGATTTTTCAATATTTACTTACCTATTAGCGGTATCAATGAGGAACTGGGTCAAAACTTGGGCTTGTTCACTGGGTGGACCTGGTCGAAATTTTGCTGAGCACAATGGAGGGAGTTCTACACTGGACACTGGAAAGATGAATTTCGAGAACAAACAGCATTACATAAAGTTAACACAAGAATAGTTGAACAGATTTTGAAAGAAAACAAGGGAATTAAAAGAAAAAAGTATTAGCAGCAAACATTTCATGACCTTCTTAATAGGAAACCTTTGGTCTTTGCGCTGTGATAGAATACTGAACTCTGCCTATTGGTGGAAAATTTTATACGGCAAAATTGCCTCCTAGAATATAACTGAACAAAGATTATTAAATTCTATATCATTTCAGTAACATTTCTAGTATATAGTTGAATGGCTTACCAATGAAACCACCATTAGGGGCATCAAGAGATGGCTGTGCAATTTCCTAGTCATAAAAAATAATCAATAGTCATGTATAAATTAAATAACATGAGTTAACTTGCAGAGGAAAACAACACTTGCTTAATATAAATTGTACAGTTACCATTAGATGTATTAGAGCTTAGCCAAAAATACAAATCAATTGCTTTTGAAAGGCCAAATGAGAATTTTTCTCAAATGAGATTTTTATAATTTGCCATGCCCCAATCATGTTTCAAGTTTCCATTGAGGTTTATCACAGATTTAAAATCTCTCAATGATCAGTTATTGTAGAATATTTTTACTGATTTAAAAACCAAACTCTGCTGCATGTTTGAACGTGCCTGCTATATTGTTTAGTAAAATGCCAGTTCAAGACTGTTGAGGGAGCATTATATGAAGATATATTCAAAACTTATTCGTAATTGCAATTATGAATATCAAGAAAATTTATTGGCCTTCTTGTAGATATAACTACTTTTCCATGCATTAAGATTATTCCAGAATTCAGAAATAGCGAAATGGTAAACTCACTGCTTTAATTCCACAAAGAACTGTAGTGTTTCCAAGTTTGACCAAAGCAGAGCCTTCTGCAGTTGAAATAGAATCTAAAATATCAAAAGACAGATTTGAGGACAGACAGTCAAATCAGATACATATTAATACAGCACATATTTCAACAGCACATATTTCCTTTTGAATTTTTCTTTAACATGTGATTGATTTCAAAATTCAATTATGCATTAGTCACAAGGCTGTAAGAGTCACCATTCAAAGACATATCATTAATTTAGAATAAAAAAAGCTTCCAAGTTTTATTTGATATGTTCAACACTGTCAAACTGATTATAAGCTTTCGTCTTTTCCAATGGAATTTACAGTGTAATAAAACACCAAGGGATTCCATTGGACAGCAGTAGATTGTGAGGGTTTTTGTTTAGACATATTGTACTTACCAATATTAAGAAGTGTCTTCTTGAATTCTTCCAATCCTCTCCCATCTGGCCTTACATATTCACCCTAGTAATGGCAATGAAGATATATTTTAAATCAATTTTATAAACATAGCAAAATTTGAAGAATTTAAGCAGTATCTTCATTATCAAAGACTCTGTGTGGTATTTTTTTTTGAATTAAACATAGTTTGAAAAAAGTTTTCAGGTTTTTTCTACATTGCATCTGCTTAATAACTTGGGTACGTTATTTCAAAATTCTCAACAAAAACAAGAAATGAAATTGTTTTCTCACGCATACCACAGAATAGTCTGTCATGCAATGAGATTTTTAGAAATTTGGTTACCTTACAAGTTGATAAATTTAAACTACCATTAATCTTTGCATGTTAGGAAAGTGATAAAATAGGAAAACAGAATTTGCTTACCAGAAACTGCTGATAAAACTCAACTGGCTTGGCAATCCTAAACAACATAACAAGTTGTGTTTTTTAGAGACCAGTTGAATTAAGGTAGATTGGTCAACTTTAAGCACCTGCCGGTCTATTGTTTGTATTAGCAAAATGCTTAAAACATCCTAGCAAATAGTGCCAACATAAAACTGTCCAGTTCTATACATAAAATCGTCTATCAACCATAAAAATATATAAACAGCTAAGATCAGTCACTTAGGTATGCCATAAGGTAATGTTCTATTCACAATTGCTGTGAATGCAAATTAGATTCCAGTCAGGGTCAGTGAAATTATGCATTAAAACAAGCAGATGGTTCACTTTGTATATGCAATATTTGCTTGGTTAGGCTTCTCTATAAAGGCAAGGACAAAGACATCTTTTGAACACTGAAAACATACTGAAATTAACCTGTTTGCCTGACAAAGTACTACGTTACTTATTTCAAATTTTTACTTCTTTTCATTGACTTGCATACAAATTTGCAAAGGATGGCAGTTTCCAACAAGGGCCCCTGTGTATAAAGTGTCCAGATGTGTAAGAGTACTGATATAGCTGACGATGCTTACGATGAACAAAGATGCAGCCTAAGATAATAATCTGATGTCTTTTCCTTGCGAGTGAATAGCTCAAATACCCCTACTGGAAAATTTTTCAGTTTTCCTTGCAAGGTTCTGCAAATGTTTTCAGCAGTGTATGTATCATCGTGCAAGAGCCTATGCCAATCCTTCCATGTGATAAGCCAAATAATTGGACCTTATTTAAAAAGGTCCAAAAAGACAACATTCTTACATACAACGGCCATAGCCAAAATTATGAAAGAAAAGAGACAATGGAAGCATTGAAAGATATCAACCTCACTAATAAGGAATCAACTGGATTAGTCGAAACCTGAAGTGAAATATGTTAAATTTTCTTTTGCATACTTAAAATCAGCCGCCATCACCATTGCAGTTCCACGTGAAATCTGAAATGAGACTAATAATTGAAACGAGATTTGTATCATTGTCCTCGTTTTAAAGTCAAAGTTAATTCATCGTTCCTTGGAAGTGAGACGAGAGGAAGCAAAAAATGGAGTTAACCTTGCTGCTTCTCCTGCAGTTATTGTCAATCTTTGCTGCTGCTGTACTAATACTGGTGAGATGCTTAATGTTATTCGATTTCATGTTTAAGCATCTTGGTGATTTGGATTGAGTTTTGGCTCAAAATTTATGGACATTGATTAACTTCTTTGGAAAACAATGACACGTCTCACTGTTATTATTATTACTACAGCAACACTCATTTAAGTTGAAATCAGTTTGAGAGCTCTTAATTCTCTCTCATATTGAAAACCCATTATCAACCCCCCTTTAAATCATCTTTTCTTTTAGTTTTTATACTAATTCTCTGCAGAGCATGAATTTGATTGCCTAAACTACTCAACTCCCTAACTGGCTCAATTTGTAGCCATTTTCTTGAAAATTAGATCATGTTAGACATCAGAAACTTTTTCCTTAAGATAATTCAAATGAGTCACTTTCATTAATGTATGGGAAATAGGATGATCACAGTAGGGGGTCAGTCTAGAGTGCCAATTTCAAGTTGCCTTTTGTACAGCTAGTGTGCCAAAATTCAGTAAACAATTTACAACATCCTAAGTGATCTTGAAAGTAGAATTTTCAAAGTAGCAAAAAGGTAATTGATAACAATGTAATCAATTGCACAGTCTGCATGTAGTGTCAGATATGTGCATGATATCTGTTTAACAGTGCATGCTTAAAGTCAAATTGCATTATAGTAGATCAAGTCTGTGATAGGCTTGGGTTAGCAGTGGCGGGAAAGGAGGCAAGAGAATAGGCTCAAAGGCTGTTATTACAGATAGAGCATAAAATTGCATTGTTTTAGATTTCTGAGCATATTTTTGCAATATATGAAAAATATATACCATACAATGACTTATTTTTATGATGTTTATGGCAAAGACCAAGATGCAACTTTTTGTTAGGGAGGGCCAGCCCTGATAAATAAGTTTAATAACAGTCATATTTTACAAATAAAAGTATTTTACTTATGCAGCTTAAATCTTTTTTGGGAGGGGACAAGGTCCCTCAACCCCATGGCATCTCAATCCTTAGTTAATGATATATAGCTAAGTAATTTATAAGTACATAATTATTGTATTGGTTTATGGTATGCAGCTCATATATGTTTATTTAGTAAATAAAGGTACTGTATAGTATTAAATAGTATTAAAATGTTTTCAAAGGCATAAAATAGAAAGAAAAGTATATGTACAGTAAAATTTTAGGACAAAAACGATCCCTTGCAGATAATAGTTTAGTAAAGAGGCAAGAAAAAATCATTTTTTGAAGTTGTGCCCTGTCATTTTTCATTTTAGGTCAATAGTTTTGTATTAAAATATGCACCTGCATAAACAAACAAATAAAATTCCACACTGTTAGCTTCTTTTCCTGGCAACTAAAGGTTATACATTGCTTCAATCCTTTTAGGTTTTCATCATCTTTAAATTAGGAAGTAGTTTTTTCTGTTGTTGATAAACTTTTTTCTTGGATGGGAGTTGCAATCAATAATCTTAAGGTAACAGGTAACATTCAAGAAATACATGAAAACCATCAGGTAGTCTAAAAAGGTTTTTTGTAAAAACATAAACATTTTGAAACAATTGTTAAAACAAATGAATATTTTTAAAAATTGACAGAATGGTTTCACAGAGTGATAAAGCACCAATAATCTTTTAACTTTTATTGCAGGGTTTGATATTTATCAAGATCACAACAAATGATGTCACCCCTGTTATTGGGCGATATGATTGTGAGAAGATTTTCAAAGATCCAGCAACTGGGGAGAAACAGAAATTTCCATTTTTAGATGATAAATCATCTATATTATTATCAGTTGTTGTTCCTTCTTATAATGAAGAATCCAGATGTAAGTGTTATTTGGTATTCAAATTTGTCAATCTTGTATTGTATGTTTGCTATATTGGTCATTTTCTCAGGTCTATGAACCGAGCTAAAAGTCAGAGAGCAGGAAGTCAAAATCGTTGTTCCTCAAAATTTTTGAAATATTATAGAGTAAGCACATCAATAGGAAATTAAATTAAAATAAGGGAAATAGAATCTTTGGAAAATGAACAATAGAATGACAAGAGTATTTTCAAACCCTTTCCATTTACAGATCAATTTGCTATTCATTGATAGGGCAAATTTGTAAGGCAAAATATTTTGTTATAGGCAACAGCCTGCTTGAATTGTGGTAGGAATATACAACTCTAAATGATTGTAAGTTTTCTTTTATCTGCTCTGAGAGTTTTCTTTTAGCTGCTCTGAGAGCTGTGATAGATGCTAACCTATGTTTTTATTCAGTTTCTTGATTTCCATTAGCAGTCTCTTTCTGCAGGCCTTTATTTTGAATGTTTGTTTTTGTTTAGTACCAGTGATGTTAACTGAAACATGTGACTATTTGGAAAAGAGGGAGGTATGAAGCATTGCCTTAATTCTTCTTTGTTTTCTCATTATAAGAACCACTTTGTTTGCTGTAGGGAAAATTCATTGAGCCTGCATGATCATTTTAATGTATGAAGAATTAATACATTATTAGTTTCTCTCATTAGACTCTCTGGCAGTTTTTTGCTCCATCTGGTAATTGAATCATTGCATGTAGAAGATCTTAATTTAAGTGGTACAAATCAAATGGCTTACAACCTTCATGTCATGCTTTAATTTAATTTTAGATAGAAGTGATTTTGATTTAATTTGATTTTGTATTTTAACAGAAAAATGATCCTGCATTTACATATGAGATTATTGTTGTGGATGATGGGAGTAAGGACAAAACTACAGAGGTATTGTTTGAAATCAGTATAATATTGTCAATATTTTGCTAAAAAGAGCAACTGCTACATGACAAAAGGTCTTGATGCAAAGCTAACCTTCTAAACCTAGCAAAAAAATTGTTTCTTTGTAGACAAAACGCACAGATTACTCTGGAAATTGTAAATGCCCCTCCCTAGATATGTTTTTTCAAAACATTTTTATTGATATGCAGGTCTTGGCTTCTTTCTTTTACTACTTATTCTTCTGTACAAGTTTCAGCCACCTGTGAGGTATTGCTCCCATTTGCTGTGAAATTCTCCTTAAGTAACCCCTATTCACCTGCCACTTCTTGATTGGTTTCTGCTTCTAGGAAATCATGAAAGTATTGCAATGGCTTGACCTGATTTACACTTATAATGAACTTGCTTTACTCATATAAACACATGTAAATGTTTACACATGCTCAGTTTTGCCTGTCAAAAACATTTGCTTATGAGCATATTGTCAAGTTTTGTTTTAATCTTTAATTGATACTTATTGTTTTCCCAATCATGCTGGCAGTAAAAACGCATTCAGTCATTACCCTCTTTATCAACTGTAACAAAAAAATAATTATGAGAGCTCACAGAAGGTGCTAGTTTTCAGACCTTTCAAATGTCTTATTTAAAACTAGTGCAGGAAATTATTTGAAACTAATAAACTAATAGACATTTTTCCAAAACCATACGCTGTTCGCTCGTCAAGGAGCTCTGAATTTCATGTGTATATTAGATCCATTGCTACTTGGTTTTTTGTTATGGATCTCACCAAATATGCCCTATGGCTTCTGGTTCCTCTTGTAAACTTCAAAAGCAGAAAGGGTCAGAACATCCAGCTGTCGAAGATGCCCTTGAAGCAGGCAAGTTCGCCACAAAAATATCACAGGCAGATTTTATAACAGACAAGCATACATTCTCTATCTATTCATGCAGAAGTAAACTCTGTTGACCATAGAAATTGCTATTAAATCTGTTTATTCTTCAAGTTCACATTCAGTTTTTGTCAAATTGCGCGCCCATAGAGCAACAAAACAAACTGCGGATGAAGCATTATTTATAGTTCATGTGACAACACTAGCTCACTAGCTTCAAGTGATTCATAACTTATTTCGCCATTCCTCTTGTTTTCATACATCTCATCTATGTTGCCCTGCTTCAATGTTGCTTTGAAAGGCAAATTTTAAGGCCTAGTTAGGCCCTCCATTGCAGGTTTAAAACTAAGAAATAGAAATGGATTGTTACATTTAGTATTATCTTACTCAAATGAATGCTAACTTTACTACGAAACTTGAAAACAGCAATGCACGAAACTTTAAAGTAGTATAAAATGACCAAGGGTTCAGAACAGGGAACAACTACGCCAGTTAGAAGTAGAACATATTTGGCCTCTTACTTTGGATTTTATATAGGCAGTATATTAATTATAAGGCTATGAAGATATGTTCATAAATTGCGAGCTTTCTGGTCGTTTAGTGAATAACCAATTCTGGAGGTCTGGGAACGAGTAACCTTTTTTATTGAGAATGTTGCTATTAGTTACCGTCAGTATCTCATTCTTTTGCTGTAATTAGTATCTCATTCTCATTCAGTAGCTATAATTGATAAGGACTTAATGTGACAATTTAAACTTCAGTTGTATATTATTCAATCATTTGATTCAATAATTCAATCAATATTGAATGTGTTTTAAATGCCAGTATGAAAATACCCTTAAATACCCAGAAACATCCTGCATTTTAAAGAATAATTGCCTTAATGATCATAAAACTCATTATACCTGTGTTGCTGTAATGTTTTTTATAACAAAATTCTCGATCTTCCCTCTTAACCTGCCAATCTTTCTCCTTCCCAAACCTTCATAAGTCCTGTGCAAACATTTCCACATCTTCTCTTTTTGGTGTAAACATTTAGCCTATGAAACTGTCATGCATTTGCCTAAGAATGATTTCGCTTTTGGTTGGATTTCGCTTCAAATATGTATTGTTTGTTTTGAGGCCCCCTTTTGCTATCGAAATATTTTTCTCACCAGAACCTTTAAAAATGTTGAAGCTATAGAATTTTAGTCTAATGATACACCTTATCTCTTTACCAAGTTTAATTAAATATCTCAGATATGTTATTGCGTTTTTCGCTTGATACTTATCTTTCTTTAGGTTGCATTAAATTTCGCACGAGAGAGAAAGTCTTCTAACATTAGAGTCTTAACTTTTAAAAAAAACAGAGGAAAGGGAGGTGCTGTGAGAATGGTGAGACATTATACCTAAATTGTGAATACTTAAATTGGAAGTGTACCCTGCATTCACGTTTCTTCTGAAAAATCTGTATCACTTGCTGAATTGAAAGATAATTTTCTGTCCATTATAAGGACAATTAGATATTTCATGCTTGAAAACATTGATTCGAAAGCTTATCATAGAATGCTTCAATTTTTGGTGAAATCTTTCGTTGAAACAACTGAAAGCGCTAAAAACTATGTTGAAGAGTAATATTACCTCGTCTCTTTTTGTCTTGTCTTGTAGTAGCTTATTGTCTTTAAACATTCCTTACATGTACTTGAGAGATTTTCCCTTCTCAATGACCCAATCAATTTTGCAGATTTTAAGTTCTTTATTCTGTGTTTGAAAGTTGCAACTAAATCCAATTTTACTGCCTTCTACTTAAAGGGCGTGCTAAGCTCACGAGGTGAAAAGATATTGATGGTTGATGCTGATGGGGCTACAAAGTTTGAAGATTTGGACAGCGTTGAAAAGGCATTAGACGACTTAAAAGGGGGAAGGAATGGCATGGCAGTGTCTGTAGGGTCCAGGGCTCATTTGCAGGATGATGCTGTTGCCCAGGTATAATTTTCAAGATTTTGAATGTGTGGGCAACCAGTATTCATAAATAATCGCAATATGCTATGTATGTGTGAATGAAGAAAAGGCCACTGTAGCAGGCTGCTTGACGGGCTCCAAGGAGTTCTTGCGGCGAAAAGTCGATAAAAATGTAGCAAATATGAAACACCGCAATACGCCGAGAATAAACAACAATAAAAACACGTAAATCAGTAAAGACTAATATTTCGCCCCGGCATACGGGGCTTCATCAGAGCAAAAGGTAACGGCTAACGGCTATTGCTATGTAACTGGATTTGTTAAACCCTCTGTAATGTTCAACCATAAATATGTTCAAAAAACTGAAACTTTTTACAAAAGCAGCAATGCCTTCTTATCGCTTATCCTTAGCATCCATGTGTTAGATATGGTTTTAGGATAGCTAGGTATTTAGTTTAGATTAGTATTTAGACAATATCTAGATAGCTAGATATTGTCATCAATTTGTTTTGATTAAATTGTCAGTTGCAAACCTCCGGTCACATATTTAGTGTTTCGATATTCTACTTTGTTCACTTAGCGGCTTGAATTCTAAAAGACTGTCTTACAACTCTGCGAAAATTTGATAATGATTTGTTCTTTTATTAGTTGCAAATTCATAGAGATAAAAAACTTAAAGCAAAATATGTTGTTAATTGTTTTGCGCTTTTATTCTATCTTAGCGAAACTGGTTACGAAATATTCTTATGTACGGCTTTCATTTCCTTGTGTTCTTTTTGTGCGTCAAAGGGATCAAGGATACACAGGTTTGTGAAGCTTGCGTATTTCGTTTCTTTGTATCGAGTGGGATCCAGTGTCATTAACGAAGAAGATACCTTCGTCTCTGGATAACCAAGTTGTTGAAATTAAAGAAAGAAAGGTACCGAGAGAAGGAAGTGACTGCAAATGTTGTTGATAAAATTATTTTACAATTATTTGCTTCTAAAGCTGGCAAGTTGAGAAAGCAGTTTCTTGTTTCATTCTATAAGATGAAATGGGTTTCAACAGTGATAATTTTGAAAGTATGATGTATAGCAAAGACACACGATAAAACCTTAGAGGGATTGCTGCATGCAGGAAGTAACAGTGTACTTTTTCTTCAAAGAAGTTCCTTAAAGAAAGTTATTAGAGTAAGAAGTTTGAAGCCTCCAGAGAGAAGAAATTTAAAATTACCATATTGAAAATTGCCATATTTAAAATTACTTGAAAACTCGTGTCTCATAAATACAACGTTCTATTTTGTAGTGTGGTTTTAAGTTGTTCACAAGAAAAGCAGCATTGCGGCTATTTTCGTGTCTGCATGTAGAGAGGTGGTAAGTTGTCTTTTAATTTTTACCTCAAATACTTTTGTATTTGTGCTATATCTTTTTAGCCCCAATACGGGAGGACTTGACTTCACTAACAAGGGCTGTCTCTCAATTAACATGAACAAATATTGCTTAGACAGGGAAAAAAATTCAAAATATATTCAGTTTCAGAACATCATCAGATATCTCAGACACATTATGAATTTTGTTGGCACCGAAAAGTTCAACTTCAAATATAACTGTATGTCTATTGTGCTTTTTCAAATAAAAACTATCGGCCTTCAGATGTGTTTGTTTTGTTGTTATTGTGTTTTGGCTTCTTAAAATTTTATCCAGCATTCTTGGAACTTTTGGCTACCCTTCCGAAGTAACCAGTTATCGATTGTCTCTGCATTAAAAAATTGCGGTGTGCATATAAAAATCGATAGATTCAAACAGAATGATCTTGTTGCTGCATATCAATCGTATTTCTAAGTATATTTCCAGCCGTCCAACTCATTCACTCGTTCTCCACAGCTTGCCGATCTATTTTTAGATCTTAACCTCGTTTAGACAATTTCCGATTTTCTTATTGCAACAGGCTATTCGTATATCTAAAGTGAAATTTGTGTATTTATACATCCTTCCTTTTCCCGGTAGAATCAGGACTTGATAGTTGTTACATGCTACAAACCTTGCCAGAAATTTTGCAACAGCAAACAAAATTTTCTCAGTTAAAAAAGTTGTTTTCTCTACCCGCCTTAAAAGAGTTGCTGAATTTCTTCATTATTTGGTTCCGGTGATACTCTAGCTAGCGTTGAACGCAGAAATTTTTAATCAAAGAATCAGCATGTAAGGAGAAAGGGGAAAATTCGGCAGCCTATTGACTTGGGAGGTAGTCAAGTCCTGTTGTTGACAACTTCTGGACGTGTTTTTTGTGGGTATCTTTTATATGGATAGTAGTTAGAATGCCTCTGCCCACTTCTTTGTTTCCTTGGCAGCAAAGTATATGTCGCCTGTATAATCCTAGTATGCTGAAAAACTGAAATTTGTTTTAACAGCTGCAAAGTCTTGTGGCTGCCTAAGGAAGTTTCCTTTTGAGCACTTGATAATTTTGGTCTTGTCGTTTTCTTGGTTTGTTTTAGGCTTTGAAATGTTTGCAAGTACATGTATTTCTCTGCTTAATTAAGTTGAACGCCAATCAAGAATGGTCAGGGTGTTTATGTTCTACAAAATGAATGGGTTTGTCACCAATTTTTGGCCCCTTCTAGAGACTTAATGCTGAATGCAGATTATTGTTTCATTTGATCGAATGAATTAAAGACTGTATCCAATTTTTGGTGAAGTGGTAATTTAACCTCTAGAGTGGGTACATGCCTGGCTCATTTTCTTTTTGTCTTCCCAAAGACGGAATCATAGAACCCCATTAGGTCTCTTTGGTTTGCATGTTGCTAGTGTTGCCACTCGAGAGCACCCCCGTATAATTCTCCTAGAGTTCTGTTAAGAGAAAGGGTAGTTGAAACAGATCTTATTCTGATCATGCATAACTTGGTCCTTCACCTCAGGATAGCATCCCGAAAATTCCCCATCTAGAAACGCTCCTTTCCAGAAGGAATTTTCGTCAATAATTCAATAGCTCTACATTGAATGGATAGCCTCCCTGCCCTCTCAGCTACTGGAAGTCTGAAGAAGATAAAAAATTCAGCAGAGCCAGGAAATTGACCTTAGGCAGTTCCCTTACCCAGGGCAATTGGGTTTGTAACCTCAATGTCTTGGTGTACCAATGCCACATCATTGGACCTGAAAGCTGCGAACATTGTTGCAGATTTGATTTATCCTCTCTGAGTTTGCTCGCTGTATCGAGCATTCACGTACATCAGTAAGATATCGCAGCTTTTTCATTCCATGTTCTTTGCTGTGTCATTGTACTTTTGCCTTCTCCTTTACTCAGTACGTTCACCAATCTTTGTGATTTTGTAGGGCATTTGATGTCGAATTGTTATATATTGCTCAGTGCCTTGGTATTCCAATAGCTGAAGTTGCAGTAAATTGGCAAGAGATCGATGGTATGTTACTTTTGTTTCACATTGCGTTCTTCAAGGTCAGCTTGACATATGAAGTGCTTTGAAGCACTATGCACGTAATTTTGCGAAAGAAATTAATGTATTTATCGCTTGAAACGGACATTGTTTAATAAAGTGAACATAAGACGACAAATATATAGACTCGATCTCTCTTTTTCGAACAAGGGTGTGATGCAGTTATTTTAGTTTCATTACATTCGAAAAGCTACTTTTTATTAACTTGTAAATGGCATAAGAAGCTCTGCGGAGTGTCAGACGAAAAAGCTTTTAGCCAATATGTTACAAAATGTTTGCTTTTTCAAGCCATTTTCAAATTCTGTACCGCCAAAAAACTGTTAACTTGTAAATCTTAGTTACTTCATCATTTTTACAACGTTTTTGTAGGATCTAAGATGATACCGATATTTAGCTGGTTACAAATGGGTAAAGATTTGCTGTTGATTCGACTTCGTTACGTCATCAGTGCATGGAAGATTGCGGAAGGCCCAGCAACGGTCATTGACTTGAAATAGAGGAATTGGCGCATTGATTAGCTAGGATATTTCTTGATTTCTAATTGTATTTTAAATGAACAGTCAATTAAATTGTGTTTATGAAGCTTCAGGAATACGCTGCGTCTTAAACCTTTTAGATATTTTTAGGACAGGTGAAAGGTTCTGGAAATCGCTTGATGATCAACTGTGTTTGTGAAACATTTTCAAAATAACGACAGAAGTTTGACAACCATGACACTGCATCAGCTTTATGTAACCTTTTAGAGTCCTAAAGGACCACTTTTACGACTAATGTTTTTTCTATTAGTATTCTGTATGATTTTAAGCATGAAATTAGGCTGCTTAAAATTGCGTCAAACTTAAAGGCCCTTTCGCAACCGGCAAGCTTAGCGGCTGCTGTCTGGAGAAATTGATCGTGTTTTGTATTTTAATGCAGTACGACTGGATTTGAAAATACAGCCCTAAAACATACCCGTTGCGCTGAGTATTGAAGTTTATTCTTGAAGGCTTTCCCTCTTTTTGATGACTTTCATGTTGCTATTACAATGCTAATAAAGTATTCGCCAATTGTAATTTTTATGAAAACAGAGAAAATGCATCGTCTGCAGTAAAATTTATCATGACTATTGTGTCTTTCTCGGACCTTCCTTTGTTGGTATGGTATGGTATGGTATGGTATGGTATGCTATGCTATGCTATGCTATGCTATGCTATGCTATGCTATGCTATGCTATGCTATGCTATGCTATGCTATGCTATACTATACTATACTATACTTTGCTATGCTATGCTATGCTATGCTATGCTATGCTATGCTATGCTATGCTGTACTATGCTATGCTATGCTATGCTATGCTATGCTATGCTATGCTATGCTATGCTATGCTATGCTATGCTATGCTATGCTATGCTATGCTATGCTATGCTATGCTATGCTATGCTGTACTATGCTATGCTGTACTATGCTATGCTATGCTATGCTATGCTATGCTATGCTATGCTATGCTATGCTATGCTATGCTATGCTATGCTATGCTATGCTATGCTATGCTATGATATGCTATGCTATGCTATGCTATGCTATGCCATGCCATGCCATGCCATGCCATGCCATGCCATGCTATGCCATGCTATGCTGTACTATGCTGTACTATGCTGTACTGTGCTCTACTATGCTGTACTATGCTCTACTATGCTGTCCTATGCTATGCTATGCTATGCTTTGCTATGCTATGCTATGCTATGCTATGCTATGCTATGCTATGCTATGCTATGCTATGCTATGCTATGCTATGCTATGCTATGCTATGCTATGCTATGCTATGCTATGCTATGCTATGCTATGCTATGCTATGCTATGCTATGCTATGCTTTGCTATGCTATGCTTTGCTATGCTATGCTATGCTATGCTATGCTATGCTATGCTATGCTTTGCTATGCTATGCTATGCTATGCTATGCTATGCTTTGCTCTGCTTTGCTATGCTATGCTATGCTATGCTATGCTATGCTATGCTATGCTATGCTATGCTATGCTATGCCATGCTATGCCATGCCATGCCATGCTATGCTATGCTATGCTATGCTATGCTATGCTATGCCATGCCATGCCATGCCATGCCATGCCATGCCATGCCATGCCATGCTATGCTATGCTATGCTATGCTATGCTATGCTATGCTGTACTATGCTGTACTATGCTCTACTATGCTCTACTATGCTCTACTATACTATAACAATTTCAAGTTAAAGACAGCATGGTTTTATAGACGCTGTCGCTTTTTGAACAACAAAGAGGCTGCATAGAGAAGCTTGGATATGGCTGATATAGCAAGTCGTCGAATCTCTTGATTCATGAACATTATCATCATAGAAATATCTTCATGACTTTTTTGTTTGTTGTGTCCACCAGCAAGATTGCATTTTGTATGACGAGAAGACCACATTATTAATTATGCATTGCGCTCGTTGGACAGGGATATGAGATTTCTAAGTTATTTTCAAGCTGCATTCAGTCATGCCGTGTGGTTTATACACAATAATAACTTGGCCATTCTTGTTCATTGCAAGACAAAGAGGAATTTTTATAGGTTTTAATGGTTGAATCCGGTCTAGGGCAAGCAAGTTGGTGGCCTTTGTCGAGAAGACACCATGTGGAAAGATATGTAATTAAATGTAACCACTCGCCAGTATATATTTAGCCAGGCAGTACTAAACGGATGCGCTGCTTTCAAATTAAGGTGCATTGTTTTGGTGTTCCGTAGTTTATTTGCATACAATCGAGCAGGTCTATCATCTAGATCATAAAGCATTGTGCAAATTAGGACATTGCAACGCACAGGAATAAGGTCTTCATCTGGATACGGCCGATTAGACGTCTATGTGATAGTTACATAATCATGGTCTCATTAAACATATAGGTTTAATAACACAATGATGGAAATTTCATTTATGGAAAGGAGGTGATGATGATGTCGATGTCAACAAGACAAATCAGCTGATTCAACGGCCAAGGTAAGCAGCAATTATGTTATCCACCTGAATACTAACGGTAATAGACTTTAAAGCATAAACAAAGGACTTGCATAAGCAAGTGTGAGCTTGGTTTTGCAGCTCCTCCTCCCTTCATTACTTATGAAAGAATATTGAATATTTTATCAATTAAAGAAGGCCTTGGCCACAGATTTATCGTAAGTAGTTGATATCAAACCTCTTCTGTACTTTGTTGCTAGAGGCGCGACTATAGCAGATCTTTAAAACCATTGTCACTGCTTTATTGGGCTCTTTAGTTTCTATATTCTTTAACAGCCTAATCACATGAGAATTTCAATGTTTTATGACATGGGAACTAGAGCAGTGTTCAGAATAATTTGATATGGAATCAGTGATTTCCACTTTCATACAGGGTTTGCAAATTTAAACCAAAAGTTTACAACAAGGACGGATTATAGAAGCAAGTATGGGGGGGGAGGTTGGATAATCATTGGATTTTCTTGCCATACCCTTCAAGTGTCTAGAAACTGGTGGAAGCGCCCATTCTTACAATTCCATTTTTAACTATGAGATAATGAAGATAGGAAGATAGATAAAGTAAAGTTTTAGTGTCATTCGTTTACTACTAACCATCAAAAAAATCTCTTTACCGAATACTAGCAAAATTCACCGAGCGACAAAAAACTGAGGGTGTCGCACCACCAACCCAACCTCCACCCCATCCCCCAGCCTTTAAGTCTGTTTCCGGTCTGCAACCTTGCTCCCTACTACTCCAAAGCATGTCGTTTGTGTACTGTTGTGTCTGTTCACCAACCCAATGCTGCCTTGAAAATATGCTCAATTTTGTTCATGTGTTATTGTCACCATAGCCCTTACAAAATTAATGGTCATTTTTCAAGCAAATGACCGTGCCCTGACTCATGTTTGGGTTTATTGTTTCTCATATATAGTTACAAACATGATAATAACGATCCTTCACAGCATAATCAGCATTTGATGCCACATTCATGCTCGTCATTTTTTATCGAGTCTTACCTTTGAAAGCGGTTCTTTGAAATAGGTTAAGAAGTAGCGGAGGTCAAAGACGATTTCTTAGGATTAAGAAAAACAAACACAAAGCGAAAAAATAACAGATTATATTGTAGGTTTTATTGTAATCCAGTAGTCAAGCTCTCACGGAAACAATCTCTGAATAAATCAGCGGAGAAAACTGTCTCTGTGAGATTTCTTGTCTTTGGCTCAGAGCTATGCAAGGTTATTTTTCTTTTACATTCACATTAGCTAGGGTGCTTTTCCCTGCGATGTTTTTTAACGCCGTTTCCTAGACGTAGATATGTTAACTTAACCGATATAAACACACATGCAGCGCTAGAAATAGCGTACTGTATCTTACTTTTTTTTACTATTTACACTCTTTTCACAAGAGCCAGTAAATTGAAGTTTAAGCTTATTTTTTTCGAAAATCTGAGGCTGGATTGTTCTTAATTTGTTACTAAATTTGGGGCTAGTGTTCTTATAAAATTGTTTTTACAACAAAAAGAGTGAAGTGTTCTACAATTTCGCAAGATGAAATGAAAAATTCTCATACTTAATTGCTAAGAGATCTTGTCACTATTTTATGCGCATCGATTGAAGCAAGGCGTGCTGTTATCAATACATGTATATGAGATGCCCCCATATTCATTGACGTGTAAATTTAAGCAAATACACTTGTGGCTGGCCAGTAAGCTGCAGATGGCTTTAAGATATCGCGTTGCCACTTGTTTTCAACCTAAAGGTGTGATTGGGTTGATTTGAGGTTACAGCCAGCAGCCATACATAAATCAGTTCTTCAACAACAAGATCACCTCTCTACCTCCAAAGTTCACTTGGTGATTCGTCGGTAAACCATGGTAAAAACCACCATAGAACGACAGATCAGCTTGCAACTGCCTGGGGAGGAAGAAATCTGAGTTCAGTTTCTGATTAGTAGAAACGTTCAATATACAGACAAGAAATGCGTCCCGATATACCTGAAAGAATTGAAGAAGAGATTGACGACTTGGTGAGTCCATACAGACATGTCATAGAGAAAGCCTTTGAATATATTTAATATGTATTTGAAATCAAAGCTGGTTTTTTAGTCTAACTGCGAGCAAACATAGAAGTTTGAAAAGATTGGGAATCTTATAAGTGTATGATAATATATACGTGAATGAATCACACTATATCACACTCCATCAACTAATCCTCAAAACGATTCCCTTTAATACTGTTTTGTGTAGTTTTCTAGCTCGATTGAATGACACGGCAGAGAATTGCCAAGTAAATACTTATCAGTGTTCATTCATCTAATTATGAAGTGTCCTTATGCATTGTACAACAATTGCCCATTTCTTATAAGAGTAAGACTTCATGAATATCTCCAAATGCTGGAGCGACCCAATTCTGTTACATCCGATTGCAATAACGAAAACTACTCTTCTGTGAATAAACGTTTCCATTTTTCGTAAAGAGAAATGTCTAGCTGCTCTATCTAAAACGGAATCTTTTTCAATACTTCATTCATATTCTGAATCTAAGATCTTTCGCCACATTCTTGCTAACGATGAGATGAGAATGTAATTTATTGTTTCTGCTTTTAATAATGGGATCTACGTCATATGCATTCAAGCTGTGAAAATACAGCTTAAGTTTAAGTTGATGTAAAGATACCCCTTGATCATAGCCTCTGATCATAGTCATTCAAAATATGCTCTGATAAACGGCCAGCTTGTCTGGAAGAGCAACTTATTTGTCGATCCAGAGCAGGTAGTATCCCCACCTAAATATGTCCCCTTCCCTAAAGAAGTTCTATCCCCTATCAACATCTTTGTTTCCGTCGTGATTCTGTCTATACTCTTTGGGTAAATAATACATTCATAGATGTTTATTGCAAAGCAATGAATATGGGCTTCAAAATTCAGTATTCTTTAGCCCGATTTATATATTAGCCCTGTAAGCAAAGGCCTGTTTCTTAACACAAACTTAGTTTCGAAAGTATTAATTTTACCACTTATTACTGTTACTTGGAGACATTACTAGTATCTTATCTTCTGTCAGCTTCAATGTCCAACAAAATATTTGTGAGTTTTAAAACCTCAAACCCGCATACTAATCATTCTTGATTTCTTTGTTCTGCTTTGAGCCAAATGAAATATAGAATTAAAAGTCTATTCAGTTCAATAAAATGCAGAACAGAGATATATAGGCTCAATGATAAACAGAATGGGATAACAAAGCCTATTTATTAGCCGCTATGTTGGGGAGTTGATTAGAACTGACAACTGATTTCGAAATTGGTTGCAAAAAAGGTGATTTGATATCTTATTTTGTGAATCTTACATCAATACGTCTTATCCTCGATACAAGAAAAGTTTCTTGTAAGGCTTAACCTTATACCATATATTGAGTTATGGTTTAAAAGTTTATTCTATAGGGCAATATTCAGGATTTTTCGAAGAGGTCTGCTGTTTCGTCAAACGTCTTTCAACCCAAGTTAGGAATAAAGTAATCTTAAAGCACATCCTATGGCAGAAGTTCCTTGTATCAAGAATGGACACATATTGAGAAAAACGTCAAAATTCCTCTTGAATCAAGAATTGTATGAAAATCAGTCATTATTACAAAGCTCCAGACTCCAGACTAGTTACCAAGGGGTTTGAAGCTCCCGGGTTAATTAGCATCTCCGCTCCCAAGGGGCTCGGATAAACGTTTCGAATTTATCTGGATATTTCGAATATAAACTATTGGCACACGTTTTAGCATGGCTTCAGAGCTGGTGAAAATTTGGCCATAAAAATGCTGGATTGCACTAAAGGGTTTTTTGTCTGAAGACAGGTGTAGAAAGCCAAACTGTATCTTTTTCCTCGTCATTTCCAATTGGATATTCAACAAGGCTGTCAATGTGTCTAGTGGGTGCACCCACTCCACCCTCTCTTAGAAGCAAAGAACATTGCAACTGTTGGTAATACGTTATAGGAAGAAAATGACCGTACTTAGATAGAATATATTTCACGAGGCATGTAAGTTTTTGATGGATGCCAGGACATGTAACAAAAAAAGGAATGTTTACATCCTGATTCTCTTTCGTTGAGGATTTACCTTTTAGTCTCCATGGAGATAGCTCATCTCAATGTTGTCCATCAAAAAGAGACCGAGAAACTGATTGGTTCATTGGTTCAATCAAAGTTCAGAGGGATTACTGCGGTAGACGGTCCTAGGTGGCAAATGTAAAAACACGGACCAAGCTCTATGACAGATGATTTTCATTTTGATGTTCCCGGAAGCCTTAATCATTATTTTTATATTTTGGAGTTCCGCAGAAATATCGTTTTCTGTGATGCAGATTGTTATTTGGAAAATTCTTTAAGATTCACGGGCCCCTGAAAATTAAATTTATAAAGTTCGTGTGAAATGTCCATGGACTTCAGTGCATAGCTTCAGTTGCCTTAAAAAGTTTTATAAACGGCATCTATTGCCCCATTAAAGATACTGCTCAGTCTGAAGAAAGCCAAAATATATTGGAAAAAACAAGATTGATACTACGACTTGATAAATTTTGAAAACTAACCAACGCTTTAAGCTAGCCTAACAATCTTTGAAATCAAGGCAATATATCTGCAATAGTTTAATCGGACTTCATCGGACAAAAATCATTTAAAGGAATATTTAGAGTAATTTCAGTGATTAAAGGATTCCCCTTATTTGCAAGTGAAAAAATTTGAAACAAACAAAACTAAAGCTAGGCAGTTCGCTTTCACTGGCTAACAGCCCAAAAATCATGAGAATTACGTGAAATTTCTACAAGCAGCAGCTCCCAAATTTGCTTATACTCCAGACCCCTAGCCAGTTCTTAAGGTTGGGGGTCTGGAGCACAGGCTACTCCCAATCGATGAAATGAGTGGCGGCGCCAAGGGCGATATAAGGGGGGTAATCAACCCCCCCTCACTTTTGTCAAAATATGGCCTATATATTTCTTCTAAAAACGGATTAAAAAGCGCTAGACAGGGTTAGTTTATAGGTCCTAAGTAAAATTAACCTGGTACAAAGCACTGAAACGAGGCAAAAGAGGTGTGGTCTCACTGGCCACGCCCATTAGCCTCCAACTTTGCAGTATCTGGCTCCGCCACTGGATGAAGCTAGTAAACTGACTTAACTTATAGTTCAAATATCATAAATAATAAATTGAATTTTCTTTACATTTTGAATTAAATATGACATTATTGGTCCTTGAGTAGTATGATGGAGGTGTGAAAGACCCAGAAAACAAAATGACAAATATAAGCAGTGAAAGACCCATAAAACTTTCTAACATGATAAGGAAAGATTACAACAGAAAGATAACTCCAAGGATTCGTTTTCAACAGAAAAAGATACATGGAACAACGGTACAATCTAGAGTGAAACTATAAAAAATTTCCCTGAAACTTAAAGTAAAGGACGGTAAAGGATCGAACAGAGGTTAATTAGTGTTTTGTAAAGTGGCTTGGACCAAATTGTCTACATTTCGTAGTTGGTCTACATTTATAAAAAAGGGTTAATACTCAGTGAATGCAATAAAAAAGTCGCAAAATATGTTATCTCGATAATAGCTGTAATAATGCCACGAAGTTACTAAATTTTGCTGTGAGCTTGCTGTGTGTGCTGCATCCGATTGGCCCTGTTACAAAAAGGGGGCACTCCAATTCTTTACCTAAGGGGAATTGCAATTTTTAGCTTTAAAGTGGCTGCTATCACATTTAAAATTTAGTAGTAGACAGTAGGGGTTGCTTGGCGTAACTAACTGACCAACTTTTTGCTTCAAATATGATTCAATTTGGCCTATCTGGTGTATTGACTTCACTTTGGTGAAATTTTGAGGACATTTTCATCATAAATAGGATATATTGTCATAAGTCAAAGCTTCTACGAATTTATTCTTGGACCCCGCTGGTGGTGGAACTTAGCCAAACTCACCAAGCAGAAGCATCAACAAAGGGGGAGTAGGGGGCAAAAGGTCCGGGATCCGTAAACATGTATCATACTGTTATAAGATTTATTTACCACTCAATTTGTTAATGTGTCACCTTATTCCTCATTGATCGTTCACGCTCAGCGACTTATATCTATTAATTCCTGAAAGTTTCCTTACACAGAATATCTGCATCCTCGATTCATAAATACGATGTTTTGTGTAATCTTGACATGGAATATCTGATAATTTGTTTACAAAATTTCTTCAAAGAGATATTCTGGGGTGGCAAGGCTCAGGCACGTAAATAACAGGGGGCGTGGGGGGCGTAACGCCCTCCCAAAGTTTGGAAAATCCAGTTACAGTTGGAAAACGTAGCGGTTGACTTGGAATTTTTTTCTTAAGACCAAACTTGTGAATTTTATATTTTAAGAAGTTTTTTTATTTTAAATATAAAAATTCTAAACATTAAAATTCACAGGCTGAAGCTGACCCATCCAATCGTTTTCTATTGTGAATCCCGTCTCCACTTGATCCAAATTGCACACTTGCCCCATTTCTTTTTCTTTCTTTCTGACGGGAGTTGAATCGAATTACGAACAGGCAAGGTGAATTTCCGGATAAGAAACTTGAAACTTACAGTTTGGAATAATAATACCCGCATTGATCAGAAAATTTTAGAGTGGGAATTTTTTTAGAAACTACGAGTAGTTAATTCAATAAAAGATCTAAATATTCTCAACGCTTCTTATAAAAAACGAGTTTATGCTAAACTCCCCCTGTTATTTGTTAATGTCCTTGAGTCCTTATCATAAATTCCTATGACAAAACTGCTGTGAAGCAAGAACACATTGCAAAAACTGCAGTAGAAGTATTTGATCAAAGAAGAGTGTTTCATCTTTCGAATCAAGCATATGCAAAAGTTTGTTCTCAAATCATCATTTCAATTGCAAAGAATGAAAAGGCATTTGGCCCTCTGAAAATTGTTAGTAGTTTTTTTCGATCAAGAACGAAAATAAAAGGCTCAAATTCTTGGTGCTTCTATATCGTGAAAAAATGTATTTTAGAAAAAATTGATTAATTGATCTGAAAGAATACTACTAATCATTGAGTATATCTAATACTGTTTTGCTTAAATATTGCTTAAATGAAAATTTGGTAATTATAAAGAAAATAGAACTATGGTGTTCGGGCTATTTACAAATATCAATTTGGTAGGTACAGTAGATTTACTGGTCGAATGAAAAATTTCTCACTTAAAGTTGGAATTTTCATCCTTCCACGCCCCTCCAAAATTAGCAACTTGTTTTCGTCCCTGGCAAGGCTCCTTGTAATATGGGTTTTGATGTTCTCTCTAAGCTGCGCATGGACCCATCACTCGGCAGTCCGACGATCCCTGAACTTTATGCCACAAATGATGTCCTCTTCCGTCAATTTCCGACCTCGCTTCGTCAAATTCCTAGCTACGCCCAGAAAAATTTCAATTTTTCATATCCCACATTCTTGGTCCGTGTTTTACATAGACACATTTTTCTATTGTTATCTAATACAATGGCATAATTGGTGGTTTGTTCATAAGTGTAAAAGGTCATGTTTATTGTGATGGCGGAGAAAATCTCAATCAAAGCCACGTTTCTCACCATGACCAGTGTAAAAGTAATGACTTGCTGTGAGGGTAATTATCCAAACTGCTTGTAAAAAAACATATGATGGTAAGTCAACGTTAAAAGGCAAATTTAATTTAGATCACGGTAAGCTCAGGCGGCCTACTATGGGCCTAGCTGTTGTTGTTTGGTGGGCGGTATTGTTGAGCTGTGTGTTTTGTTCATTTACTTGACTGATGCCTCGCACATTACCTTTTCATTCTCAAAGGATATTCGAACATTAACAATATACGTGAATGTTATTGCAACTTTTGGCTTTCTGTCAATTTGAATAGTTTTCAAGTGTTTTCTGACAAGGGATGACTAACATGTTGCAGTGTGTTTTATTCAAAACATACAAAGGGGATTAACATTGTTGAAATATATTTTGGGTTTCCCTTCTGCATCGCATTCGTGAATTATTCCAACAATGTTTATTATCAAAAGCTTAAGACTCAATTTACCTTCGCTTTTCTAAATTTCCTAACTAAAATGGCGATTTTTCTTTTATTTGTTACGCTTTTATCCACTTCCAAACATTATTTGTACAGACGGAAGTTTCTCAAGAGAAATGTTTGCTTTTCTCTTTTGTTTGCTAAATGTACTGAAAATTTGATTACTAGTATGAGAAAACTTTGCTGTCCAAATGCATTCTAATTATTTGTTCCAACATAGCGCTATAAATTGCCTTAAATGTTAGGTTGTGCATTTGCAAGGCTCGTATTTTAATGCACCAGTGATGATAGGCAAATGCGGCATCGAAGGAACCACACAAATCAAAGCTTGCTAAGATCTAACAGGAATTGAAGTTTGGGAGATTTCCTCTGTCTCAGTTTTTGCTTACATGCCTGCCCTGATTAGTAAACTTCATCATTTCTACAAGCAAGAAATCTCAATTTATTTTATTTTCAACTTCTCTCCAAATTTCATTTCAATGTACACACTGTGACAAGTGCTACAGAAAAGAGGGGGTGGTGGGCAGGGGGTGGTGGAATCATTAAGGATGGTGGGCAGGGGATGGTGGGCAGGGGATGGTGGGCAGGGAATGGTGGGCAGGGGATGGTGGGCAGGGAATGGTGGGCAGGGGATGGTGGGCAGGGGTACAGTTGTCAGTGAGATACAATTATCAATAATCCATGACCAAACTTTTTCTACTCTTTTGCCCCTCTGCTCTGAAGTTCAGTCCCCATGATATTCATTCAAATATCTTTTCTGTTATTTTCTATGACTGACAGTGTGGGAAATTCAGCTTTTTGAGTGGTTGGGTAAGCTCAGCCAATTTTCCAGGCTCCTAGTTAGGACTGACTTTTTCTAGCAGGTACCCCAGTCCACAAATGTAGCAGCTACCTTTTACCTTCTATTTTCTATTAAAAAAGATCCAATTTTGGAGACAAACTGATGGAGTGATGTCTAGTTGGCAGGACAGGGCAGTTTATGGCACCAGCCACAAAGTTATGAGGGAGGGGACAAAATAAGATTATGTAGGCCATGCCTTTTTAACTGTCAAGCACCCATTTAATCACCCTTTCACAAACAGGAAACTGCAATTTTACCAACCAGGAATTCCCACGACCCGTTATTTTTGAAACAGGTAGTTGCAAAACCATTTAATAGCATAATTATTGTCCCTCCCTAAAATATTACCCCTCCCCCAATGTATTCACATCAGGATTAGGAGAAAATACAGAATCCATCCTAGAAATAATTTCCTTACAGTTCCATTTCTTTGCTTTAATTTTTAGCCAAGTCTCAAGATTGTTTCAAAAGTTGTTGGCTGGAAAAGCAAATCACCAACAGAGAGTAAAAAGTCATCTTCAAATGATAAAAAAGACAACCCAAATGCTACTGCCTATGGCTCCCTCGAGGCTGGAGCCAAAGTGACATTCCCATTAGGAAACAAAACCACTGTGGGAATTCTAAGATTTATTGGCCCTACAAAATTTAGCTCTGGAACCTGGTGTGGAGTTGAGTTGTCAAAACCAGAGGGGCGCAACAATGGTACAGTGAAAGGTGTCAAGTATTTCCATTGCAAATTCAACTATGGGATATTTGTTCATGCCGAGAAAGTATCACTAGTTGAAGAAGGAGATAAAGAACCTTTGAAAAAAGGTATGATTTTATTGCACTTTCATTTCAAAATTAGCTAAAAAGGATCATTGATGAACTGATTAGGAAATATTGTTTTCAAAATTTATTGTAAAGTCTAGAAAACTTGTGAATGGGAGGTCTCCTTTTTACATCTATCATTATTCAATTGGTGATTGATTACTGTAAAACACTAACTTCAACTCAACTAGAATTTACACATCTCAATAATATATGCTTACACTGAATGGTCTAAACAATATATAATTACAATTTTAAAATATAGTAACAAATATCCCTTAAAGCAACAGCAAAAAATTTTAAAAATTACCAAGAGCTTAATTTTGGTATTTCAATAGAGAGTCTGAAAGGAGCTCTGATCTATGATTTTATGGATGTCATCAATTGGACATCATTAATGACACAATTTTCAATAGAGGTTTCTGGAGTCATCAAAATTAATATTTTTTGCCAATTCTTAAGGGGGGTATCAATATCCATAATTTGTCCAAAAAAACTTGTTTGCAAACAATTTCACGCCATTAAATCTCCAAATAAAGTGACGTCATAAATTTGACCAAATTATTGCTAATTAATGTCATGTGAGAAGCCTCTTGTGATATTTTAAAGGGCATACCCAAAACGTTTTGGCAGGGTTGCAACTATAATTCCCTTCTTTCAACCATTTGCCACAAATTTCTAAACCTAGCTTCTGCATCATTTCTGTGTTATAAAGCAAGAAGCTTGTATATCAGTTTTAGAAAACATTTGACATCATAAAATATAATACAACAGTAGTAGCCTAGTGGGGGGGGGGAGGCAAGATGCAGCTGACATTCTCCCTTTTCTATGACAAAATGCCTCTTTGAAAAAGAACGTTTTCTGCTGTTCCAAAGGTTCTTCTCTCACTCAACTGGCTTTTTGCCCCCCCCCCTTAATTTTACCACCCTGGTTACGCTACTGTACAACACTTGATAGTGATGCAACTAGAAGGTTGGTCTTCGAATATGACAAATTTGTCAATAAAAATACTTTCTGGAGTTATGGTGAATTTTCCTGCTGTGATAGCTAGGTAAGAGTGAGTAATGCAAACGTCCCTTCTGCATTCAATTTCCTTTCAAAGCTTATATGCTTTGTTTTATGCTAGAGTTTAAAACTGTTGACATTTCGATGACACTAAAGAGAACTCCTTGTCCTGCGAGCCTATTTTTGAGTCTCTTGGATGCCCAAAATCCCTATCGTTAATTTTAAGAATTAATTTTTACAATAGGTGCAGGAAAAACAAATGCTAAACAGATCACTGATTCAAGAAAGAAAAGTCATTCTGAAAATTTGAAGCAAGAAGAATTGAACGTAAAACAGTTGAATACTAGCGTGGATGATGAATGGGTAGTTTTTGGTAATAACGAGGACGATTTGTTGTCTCCGGAAGCACAAAAAGGTTTGAAAGGAGAAGAGGGGTTATTCGCAAAGTCTGAAGAGGGAAATGATACGCAAGACAAAAGAGAAGACACTGGCTTGAAATCTTTCCCCAGAGAAGGACATGGTGGCCTAAGTTCAGCTGACGCTGACCCCCACGCCGACCCTAACAACATGAAGACTGTTCTAGCTGGGGAAGTCGATGTGGAAAATTCGCCACTCAGAATTAAGATTGTGAAAAGTGTCAGTGAAGATGATAACAACAACAACAACAACATCTCTAGCGAGAGCAAGTCACAGTTTGCCGATGGTCTTCTGTTTTACGTAACTGGTCATGCTAGTAGTAATCTTGGACCTAAAGAAAAACACAAAAGTTGCCCTGCGTTAAGCGCTAGTTCCGATGAAGATGCTTTCGAGACCGAGTCGCATTCCAATACTTGGCCAAAGTATCCGAAGGACGAGGTCCAGCTCAGCCGGGAGCATTTTCGGAGTGATTCACGTCAACGGAAGAGCCTTTCTGGAATCGAGAAACGCATACGATTGTCTCACTTTCGAGCCCCACCGCTTGGAAGTTTGAAGAGATCGCTCTCGATAGGTGCTGTGTACCCTAAAGAAAATTATGTAGCTTATGAAGAGCACGAATATAGACGACCGCAGAGCTCGCCTTTAAAGAGATCGGTTTCAGACGTCACCGCATATGCTACCTGTATGCAGCTTCCTTATGGGAAGCCACCTCCGGTTTCAAGGAAACCGTTGATCCGCAGGGAGAAAACTGCTCCCGGATCCTTGCAGAGCTCCGATTCAAGTGATGTTGAGAAATCTGAAGACAGTAGTGATGAGGAGGAGCTGAAGACTGTAGGAAAGAAAAATGTGGTTGATGTTGATGGAAGTGTGACATGCGATATAGAGGACATAGAGGAAGTATCGAATGTGTTAAACGATGGGACGGACATTGGGACAGAGAAAGGGCGGTCTGGATCATTAGGGCAAGAAAATTTTGAAGAGGGCAGCCTTAAGGCAGTTGAAGACAGTGTTACATGCACGGTAGAGCCACATTTGGAAGCAGCAGCTGATGTAAAAGAAGGGCCAATCATGTCAGCTGACAACGTCATTTCATCGCAAGAACCACTTTCAACCCCTCTGTCAGACGACAAATTAAATGTTTCAGATGAAAGTGAGACTGATAAAATTTCAACATCGAGGCAGGAAACCCGTAGAAAGGTTTCGAAAGAACAAGCATTAGGTAACAGTACACCATGTCAGCTGAATAGTGGATTGCCAGTGTTTTCAAAATCGAAAAACCAGGCCCTTGCAAAAACACAAGGTTCTGTCAAGGTGCCAAGAAAGTTTTCTGTTCCGTTGCCAGCCTCTAGGAAGGACAGTACTGTAAAATCTCGGTCAATGCTCAGCAGAGAGTGCCGGTCACAAATCGATTTATCTTCCAAAAAACAGGAAAAGATAGATGACAAAATTACGTTACCGAAAACGCTAAACAGAAGGGTCAGTGATTTGGTGGCAAATTTCGAGAAAACAACGGATGGACCCACACAGCAGAAAGAAGCTAAGACTGGGGTTGTCCTGCGCATATCTGTGGGAAAGACCAATACCGATGGCAAGAGATCTTCATTGAACAAGTCTTCCACTGGAAATAATGGTAAGTGAAATATTTGGCTTACATTTTAAGATCAGTAGACCGTCTTAGATACCATTGTAGACTGTATTGAGAATGTTGTTTAAATGGTGTGCCGATAGCCGTTTGGTATATTTTGGACCAAAACTTCCAAATGAACCGATAGCCGAGTACTGATAGTTCTCCTTTTGGATTTCCTTATTATACCTCTCCTTAAAAAACATGTATTTAAAAACATGATTTTCACATGTGTGGCTATGAAATTTTTAACGTTGCGTAATTAGAGATCTTCCAGCCTTCTTAGAGACGAAGGTGTATACTTAAACGCGGAAAGGCCTAAGTTACCTTATTTTGGTTATGTTTCCATGGTGACTGCACCTTTAAGCAATTATTTGCTAAATTTTACAATACAGAAGAAGCAAAACAGAAAAAAAGCAGAGTGATTGCGTTAAAAAGGTTAAGTAGCTATGACCGTATGGAACTCTCATGTCACTTTGTATATTTTTTGAAATTTGAGCCTAGACATAGTTCGGAATGCAAGAAAGGGAACAGTATCTTTTCATTGGAGGCGAGTAACTGGCTCTGTCTTGTTTCTAGCACCTCTCTCATCGTGTCTCGTATTTCTTTCTATTCAAACCACCGTAAATTAATAATTCTATGTCGCTTATGGGTCAACTTATGGACTTTCTGCCCAACTTTGTCATCTACTCTTGACTTTCCAATGTAAAAATGTTGGAAATTTGTTGAAGGGGAGAGGGTACTTTTTGTGATCCCTGGCCTTAGATGTCCACGGTCCCGATGCTCCGTGTGAAAGGGTGCCACGTTTCATGCTTGTTTTTTGAGCTGCCACCCTATAGGTTTGGCTTTGCAAGAACAATTGTTTTCTAAAACCTAGTAGGCACGTCCTATTACCTGATTTGCCAATGGCCTGGTATGGGATTGTTGTTGTATTGCTAAATGGACGATGTATTCCTTACTCTGCAAAAAGGAATTAAGAGCCGGACCAACAGGAAAAATATTTGTCATGGGAATAATTGAACCGTACATGGGCGAAACAACGAGCTAGGGAAAAATCTTACTATTAATCAATGGCTACTTGAAAACAATGGAGTAGGTTGGTGACACTTTTTCTATGTTTTATCGTAGCCTATCTACCTATGAATTCCTTTTTCTGAATACTGGCAAATTATATGTAAATACCTGGTTACGGTATGGGTAAGCTCATGTTACGTATCATCTCTCTTCTTTTCTAAAGTTCAACGTGAAATCTCTTTGGAGGTGAGGGGTAACACACTAATGACGGTGTGGGCTGGAAGTAAGATATTAGAATGTGAGCTTGAAAGTATATTTACATGGGTGTCCTTTGCAGCCTTCTCTTTAGACTGAACTGTTCCTTCCTCCTTTGACGGTTTTCCTGAAATCCATCAGTATTGCATAAAGTGTTGCTAAAGAAAGCTTAAAATGAAAGTTATTGGGGTGCAGCTTGCAAAAATGCAACAATTGTTTTGCAAAAGCCTGCTAAAACCTTCGCCTCGCGATAAATCTCAGTAGAGTCTTTCTGTTTTCTGTGTCGCTGCAAGAATTATTTTCTTTACTCTCCTTGCTTCTTTCCGCAGCAGGCTTGCATCCCCTTCCTTTTCCAAATATCTTCCTACGATTACTTCTTTTCGCTCTAATAAGCCGTGCTGTTTCAAATCGCTGATTTGATTTCCACAGAGTTTTGGTAAGAAAAATTGCATTTCATTTAGTTTGCGAAAGGTGTTCTTCTCAACGACTCAAATCTCCTGGTCAGGTTTGCATATATGACTGTCTCAACACTAGGATCCTGTTTACTGTTAATCTTTGAATTAAGTTCGATAAAGCCGCAGATTGCTACGAAAACCAAATGGCTTATACGGTATTCCTTTCAAAGTAGCTGCCAGTTTAACCAAAAGGAAAGGTTAAACTAACTTAATCATGCGCTGTAACAAGACTGTGGACATTAAGGAATGTGTTCCTTATAAACCTCCTGTGATGGCCAACGTCAAACATAAAAAATCTTAACTCGCTCTTTCAACTGTCACGGACTTAGCCTTGGTATGTTGCTGGAATTTTAAACCACGATAAAAAGGCTTTATTGGATTTGAAAACTACTCTATCTCTGGACTAGCCTGACTTAGTCCGGAAGCCGACACCTTTTCTGGAAATCTTTTCGAAGAAAATGATTTAGTCCTTTAAAAACAGGACAAAGTTTTGACGATTCTAACCCTCCAAAGTTTTGTTATCTGTGGATGTTAATCGTGTCTTTTTAAGATTTGAAGAGATGAATTAGTAAATACTTTCTTTAGAACTTTTTAAAAGAACCATAAATTATGAAGAGTACCTCAGGCTACCTCAAAATGTGCAATATTTCTCCTGAATATCACCGCAGCGATATTAAATTCTCGCTATTTCTCGAGGATGCAGTAGGCCAGAAGTCACGAATAAGAAGTACCCAGCATTTTCTGTGTATCAATTTCTCCAACTTATTTCTAATCTAAAACTACCGAACAGAAATATTCCCCCCCCCCCCTAAACCGTTACAAGACTATTACTAATTTTCGAATCAAAATGCAAGATCTTACAAAAATGGGTGCAGTGCGTTCACTACTTACAAATGTGACAATGGATGTGCGTCAAAAACATAAAAGGTGAAAATAGTAATTACTGTTGTGCGAATACATATCTTAGCAACTTAATGAACAATAAGCTAAAACATGACGTCAAAATAATGTGCGCCTGCGAAGTTCCCTGAAAATATTATGTGAAAAGGTTTCGAATCGAATTGGCTGTGATATGGCTAGTAAAGATCTGTAGTTTACGAACGGGTTTCTGTTTTTTTGCTTGGTTTGTGAAGTTAAGAACCAGTTTCGCGTTACAGTATCTACGCAGTGGACAGGTTATGCCTTTGGCAGGTTTTGGGTAGATTCAGCTCTTTTTCTAGTGGAGATCGTTTTCTGAAAATGATCTTTAAATATATCTTCATCGCCTTACCATTATAAGGAAATGTTATAAACCTTTTAGAAGAAAAATTTTTAGTTTGCTAACGTGTGGTTAAAAATAATGCTCATGTTATGGGAACCATGTTTTCTCCAGAGTTTAAATATCCCACGAAGTAATATAATAAAAGACAAGTATTTGCATTGGCATTTAGTAGTAGTTTTGAAATAGTTTTTGTTGAATAGAAAATTACATCACGTCGTTTACATTATGTTTACCATCGCTTACTGTGGAAATGGTGCATTTTTGCAGCTGTTTTTATACAGAGATTTATTGATATAATCTCTTTTAAATATGCTGGAATACGTACCGGTCTGCAGCTGTTTCATCTTATCAATTAATATTTAACAAGGCTTTGCATTTGTCAGTTTGTCGAAACATTTATCAAACCAACTTCAGGCATCATAGGATAATCCACAGGTATTTATGGCAAGCGATGCTGTTCACATCGACGCAAGGCCGAAAGGCAAGGACAGGTTTGTAGCCACTACGCGATTCAAAATGACGCTCTAGTAGAGTGTAGGCGCGTGGGGGATGGTTATTTAGTAAATTGATAAACGGTTTGTGCAGTGACCAGTTGTGAGTTTAATCATTGAGTAGCTTATTACCCAGAGAATATAAAGATAATATAAGTATTAAAACGGCTATTTCAACAACCAACAACAATATACCATCGTCTATTACTGCTTTTTAACATCAAATATATTTCAGGATATGCCCAGTATCGCCTCTGTTTACGATTATTACCCGGTATTATCGCCCAACTCACTTATTGCATTTGATTGCCAAGGGTTTTATTGCAATGAAATTTAGAGTCCTGGCTCCAAGTCTTCTGAAGTGTCTCTGAAGTATGTTTTTTCTGGTTTTATACATAACTAATTTCTTAACCATCATAAAGTAGAACTAAAAAGAAAATTAAATAGAGATATAAATGTACAATGGAATTGATATAGGAACAAACTACAATGCCTGCCAAAAGTACTTGGAACATCCAGCAATTTACGCTGCATTTGATATCTTTCATTCCTTTCATGAAAAAATTACTACTTCCATCCCCTTCCCCCTAAAATAATGTTGATAACTTAAAGAAATATCATAAAAGAAGCGCAAAAGAAAGTGTTTCCTAAAATCCTAACTTGTTTGATAGTAAACCAACATTGTTCTGTAGGGGACTGTAGGGGTTCTGATGATTGATTTTGACCTTGGAAATTGACGTCAGTGTTCCAAGACTTTTGGCAGGCATTGTACTGCTGCATCCAAATTTGAAATGTAAGCAAAGTTTCAAAAATTGAATATATATAGATACTTCTAATAAGACAGAAACATCAAAACTATAATTTTAGGAAATTATTTTAAACGCAATGGACGATATTTCACGTAAGAGCAAATTTTCGTTATTCCTTTTCATGAAATTAGTAGGTTTTTGCATCCAGCTACGACGTTTGTAAAAATGGCTCCTGTTGTTTTCATGTGCTCGTCTTTCTTTTCGTCTTCTAATAAATTCATTTAGCATATTATCAATATGTTTCCATGGATGACCTTTTCAATTAGAATATTAGGCCCCATCTGCTCTATGTAACAAGCAAATCTTTTTGTTCATTCAAACTCTTCTAGTTATTTTACAAATGTGTTATTTTGCACATTCATGCTGACAAGATAAAATAAGTTGCAAGATAAAATAAGTTGCTTATTTTATCTTGATGTCGACAAGCCAAGTTTTTCAAGTCCCGTGAATCTCTTTGTATTAAACGCGAGCATAACATAGTCCTAGTAAGTCTGTAAGTCAAAGGACTGTAAGTCATAGACCTTTCTCGGCGATTATAACATGCTTCGTTTGTTTGTTTGTTTTTAAAATTTCGCCTTCTTTCACCTGCTATTTCTTTGCCCGAACACTGGACCGACCTCTTAACCAATTAAAGCTTTTCAAAATATTGGACTAATGCGCGATCGTTCCTGCATTTTCTTAAGAACAATTATAGACGATTTTTCAAGAACAGACCAAGGTCGCATTGCTAAATAATTTTTTGAGATAATTTATCAAGATTCTCAGCTGTTCCCAAACATATTACAGTTCCGCTTAAGGTATTATCAGTGATGGCGGATACCAGAGACTTTTCGTTTCGGCCTAAATCCAACGGTAGCGCGATGCTGGTGCAAAGTGCAAACTACCTGTCACAAGGACAGTCAAATCACACAGAACACGCGTCAAAGGATCACGTACACCGTAGCGGTCTACCGGTGCGCATTCAAGATGGCAGACACAGGACGAACATGAATTTGAGGAAGTTTTTCGCCCGTGATGGCGACGTTGGTGGCTTGGTCAGACGTGCACGGAAAAGCAAGAAAGGTTTCAGAAATTTTCGATCGATTCAGATTGTTTTTAGGCTAGTCTATAATCAGAATTCTTTTTTTGCGAAGTTAATTTCTAAACTAGAATCTCCTCTTCGGTTTTACATGGAAGCGAAAACCGGTTTTGTTTTCTTTACAATGTTCTGCAGCTTTTCTGTTCAATAACAATATTCTTGTAGCTCTGACTTTCTTTCAGTTTTATCATTTGCTAAGAGATAAATCCAATGTTTATCAGGAGAAATCCGACGCTAGATCTTGTAGCAATGTTTACATGTATGGACGTGTTTGTTTGAAGTTTAGACGTTGGAATTCATGAAACATTTATTTACATGGAAAGGTGGCTGTTTTATGTTATGAAAGTATAGGTACGCTTTAATCAGTCTAATCTTCTTGTTGCTTTGTTTTTTCATGATAAAAATATTTCGTTAGCGACAGTGTCGCCAAGTTTTGTAAAGGAAGTAGCAAAGTTCATCCATTTTATTTCGTTGATTTCGACTTGGTTTCGAAATACAGATGCGAGTTTCTTGAAGCCTCTTTTGGTAGTAAATTGGGAGGAAGTTTGTTCCAAAAATCATTCCTTTATTAGATCTACGGAAATAGGCCACAAACCAGCCACAAGATGGATATGGTTTGGATTAAGGGGCTTAGGTGTGTGGACATGACGAGCCTGTAAGGTGACTGTGGTGAGCTTTAACAGCAGGAGAATTCTTGTTAGTGTTTATAAAATGTTTGATGTATTTAATTCATAGTCCATGAAAATATATTAATTTCGAGGCAATTGGCTTAGTTCCTGGTTCACCTTCAGCTATTTTTGTTTTTCTTGATGGTTTCGAATTCTCATGTGTGTATTTGTATTCTCCGTTTCTATGATCGATAGATGATTTCAGACAATCATCCTAATTGGATCACGCGTCTCTTTTCAATTGCTTTTGAATTAAAAAGGCATTAGACGTCACTATGGGTTGTAGCGAGATTTTATTCAAGCATTAAAACTGCCTACTCTTTGGGTAGTATTTCACTTGGAAGTGAGGGGTATGGCTACCCAATTAGAGTTTTTGTGAATTAGTTTTTGTAGCAGTTAAAAAGTCGTCGGAAATTTATTCATGAGAAAATTAAGGGGGCTAAAGCGCCCCAAGCCCACTACCCACCCAGAAAGAAGTATTGTCGAGGATTTGGGAACACTCTAAAACGACTGGGAGGCCATACAAGATGTTTTAGAACTTGTTACTCTGGTTTAGCTATGCAAGATTTTCTGTGGGTCATTCACAGGCGAAAGGCGCGACTCGGTTACATATTAGAAAGTTCTAATAACCTCTACCATATTTACACTGCGCACGTGCTATATGTTGGAGATTTACATATTTATAATGGTCCTCCTTAGCGTAGCGCTCCTTCTATTTCCCAGAGTGCATTGATATCTAGCGAGTCTATGAAACACTTAGGCCGAGCACTACCACGCTCTATCTTTACCTAACGGCCTGTTACATTTACACAGCTGTGCGATTCTCTAAATATTATGCATAGCTAGTTTATATTTTTTATCCCATTCCTCTTTAACTCTCCAGATTACTGAATATTTGAGTCAAAGTTGTATTTTAGTACAGAAACCATTGAGTATAGTCTTTAGTATGGAGATCAGTTAGCATCGTTGGTAATGAAAGTGAACGAAAACGCTGTTTTTTCAAACCTTGGCGATCTTTTATTACAATGGCTGTCGTGCTAACTGTTGATGAGCGTATCCATGGTGATGTACTTTTTCTCAAAGAACCTGTCCAAACAACGTTGCTAGAAATGTATTCAAGCTAGTGAATGGTTGCAGTTGCTATGATAGCTTTCCCTTTGTTGCAATAGTTTGTCGCTGCAGGCAGGGGCGGATCCAGAGCAAATTTGAAGGAGGGGCAGTTGGTAGTGGGGGCGCTGAAAAATTTTCAAACATTGGTTACGAGAGTATGCTGTATACAACAATTTCAGATACCTTTTCAGAATAAACAACATAACTTTGAGGTAATCCTTGAAGGAAATTAACCTATCGGTCCAAGAACCTTTTCCATCTGATTCTCATTCTTCAAAAGGGGCGCAGAATTTCCAAAAAAGGGGCGCCAGACTTGCTTCAACTCGTTGAGGGAGGGGCAACTGCCCCTAGTTAGCCCCCCCTTAAATCCGCCATTGGCTGCAGGTTGGTACTCCCAACCACTAGAGCGTCTGCAAATAAATCCCTAGGCTACAATCTATTGAGGTTTTGTTTGAACAGTGGTTTTCATTTTATGCCTTAAGGCCCTGCAACGATAAGGGTTCTTGTCATGTCGGTGACGAACCAGTTACTAACCAGCTCGTTGCTGGAGCGCTCCTTGCCGGACCTAAACGCAACCGTTACAGCCCCAAGATCTGTTAAAATTTACTAGTGATCATTAAACATACAGATCATTCACAATTTGATTTTTTCATTTGTTGTAGTTTAGGTATAGATTCGATTTAATTGTTTTCTGTTGCAAGGTGAAATAATTGTTATCTTATTCTATCTTGATTTTTAATTCTTTCTAGAATTATTTGCACGTAACATTCAATGTTAGTTTGCTGTATTTTTACACGATGAGAAAAGTCAGATATCGCTGAAAATTTTCGTGATAATAACGTTGTCAGTTTGGTTGTTACGTGTGTTTTATCTCTGCTAGAATGGAACATCTTTGCACGTTCTATACACTATAGTCACCTGTATTTTGTATCAATTGTCCTGAAGATAAAGTGTAAGAGTCAAAAGAATAGAACCTTACAGGTTGTTATTGTACGACAGAATGACAAACCTGATCAGAAAGAGTCCAATTGTTGATTAGAATTTGTAATTGTGTAAAGCTTATATATACTTATATATACATCGACTTATATATACACGCAACTTCAGATTAACTAGTGATAAGTGGTGATATCTTGGGAATACTAAACACGCAGTTGAGGATTTATTTCATCTTACCCCCTGGAGTTTGCTTTCATTTATTGTCCATTGGAGTTAGTTTGTTAGCATTGTCAAAACTCTTTATTTGAATGATTTCTCGACAGCATGTTTATGTTTTTGAAACATGGGCTTAGTCCTTTGATACATCAGCAGTTTATTTTATCAATCATAGAATCTTCTGCTGCTAAAGGAAGTAGACGAAGTAGTTCGTCTACCACGCCAAGAAAGTTATCTCAAATCAGCCAAGAGGAACTAGCTAGCAAAACAACTTTGTCGCAGCAATATTTGAAAGAAGATCAAAATAAAAAACCTAGAGAGCAAAGCAAACTCAATGGAGTTCTCAGCTCGTCGAAAAGTAATATTGCAACACCTTCAGGGCGTTCTGGTATTCCAGGTCAGTTTACGAAACGGATTTCTGTCGTTCACTTATAAATTATTGTGCCTAAAATTATTTATATTTTGTTACGAAATGTCTCCCTCTGGCAAGGAATCGTTGTTATCACAAATCATGAAGTGAAAGAGGCCTCTATCTTTTTTAAATTGAGATTTTCAAGATCTTTTTATATTCTACGTGGTTTTTAGGTTTGTTTCATTTTGCATGATGTTTACAAGCACTTTGATTTCGCATGTGAAGAGGCAATGCATATTTTATTTTAAACCGCCATTTGATGTTACATTTACCTATACTTAAGATATTATATATAATTTGAATACTGATAATTTTGTCAATGGCAAGTAGATGTTTTATACTGTATACCAGGGGTGTAATGCTAGGGGGCTCGGAGGGGGGGGGGGATTGTGCCCAACTGTTTATGCTGAAAAGTAGCCAATTTTTTCTTTTGCTTTCGTTTTTACAGCAAGAATAATTTACCAACGAAGTCTACTATCGGCTTTTTGCAAGTGTACCAGCAACTTCTCGTCGCAAAATGATCAGATATCGAGGAAGGGGAAATTTGGGGGAGAGAATCTGTTGTTGCTGTTATAGTTGTCGTTTCCCTGTAGAAACCTTCTCAGCCCTTTCAGTGTTGCGTAACAAATCAAAAATGTTACGGTTGCCAAAACAGACTGGGCTGGCTTTGTTTTCCTTTTCGCTCGGATTGTTTTTCAGCCTGTACGGTATTTTATCGGGCATTTTGTTGTTGCAACCGCTAAACCTTTGAAGACAATGACATTCTCGGGCCAGTCGAAGAGAAAGATAGTTTTTCTTTAACTTTTTTCTATAGCCTTTTGTACAAATAGTCATGGATTTTGGATCCAACACTAGCCCCCCACTCTCTACACAAGCAACTCTCTATTTTCGTCATTTCGTGACAGGATATAAATGAAATTATTGTGTCATAGTGTGGTTGTCAATTCTCTCCCCAACATTAACATGATATGATGATTATTATGTATGACTTGTATGTATTTCTTTCCTAGGGTATGGAAAGCGAACCTTGAAGCCAGTTTCTAACAAGGACGTGAAAGATGGTAACGAAAAACAAACAGAAACGCCAAAAAAGACGAATTTCAATTTCAGGTTTTCATCGTCAAAGTTAGAAAAACGATCGCCTTCGCAGCAGTCCGTACCTTCTAAAGATGAGGACAAGTCCTCTAGTTCAAGTGGCTCGCCGGCACAGGCCAAAAGCGACAAGGTGCAGATACAGGAGCTGAAATCGAAATGCCAAGATTGCGAGAAGCAAATTAGTTATCTCGAGGAAGGGATGCGGCAAAAAAATCTTGCTATGGAAGCGTTCATTGTTGTTATAAAGCAGCATATCAAAACAGTGAGTAGGGAATATTCTTATGTATTTGAAATGCGTCATAATATCACAAAATTCATTCCATTATAGAGAGAACCTGGAAAACGTAAATTACCTGTGTTGATTGAATTTTGTTGTCTTCCCGGCAGCCTTTGTGTTCAATACTTTGTATAATTCATTGCGAATATTTCTTAGGCATTGGCTGGTTTGTTTTGCAGATTATTTCTGCCCATGTATGGTTTTTTTGTTTTCTTTTTCAGATCGAAGAACAAAGTGAGAAGCAGGTGCATCTTCAGGATAGCACTAACAATCTAGCGAAGCAACTCGAAGTTCAGACTAAATTGGCAGGTAAGCCGGAGCGTTTCTCTTTCAAATTCTTATCAACGACTTTGATTTATTTCTAGAAGAGACCTAAGTTAAGTAATTTTGCATCTAAACTTTTTTTTTCTTTTGGACTGCAAGTTTAATGTTACTTTTTCAGTTGTAGAATTTTTCAATGTTTTTGTTTACTTCACTGAACATGTCACGATATCCATAAATCGAAATATTTTCTACATGGTAACATCCACTAGTTTGGGTTCTTGTATTAGTAAAGGTTTTCTTGTAATGTTATAAGCAGACTTTCAATTATTTATTATCATAATTCGATATCTTTCAGTTTCAATGCAAACACGGCCTTGTTATGTTTGCTTTTGCGTCTGTTTTTAGGTACACCTAAGGTTTTGCTTATTCAAAACAAGATCCTAGCTAATTTATAAAGCTTCTGACCTCCATATACCTCGAAGCGTTAGGAACTGGCTTGCAACAGAAACTGTACTGCAGAAGTTGTCAGTGGTCTGACGGAGAATTCCAAACGACGCAGCATTCTATATCAGTTTCAACGCTTCCTAGGTTCTTAGCAAGAAAACGTCATTTCCAAATGCAAAATCTTTTACCAAATTATCAATAAAATTAATCCCATGTTTAGAGCCTGGGAAAGAGCACTTTGATCTGTATTCTTCCGCTTCCTACTCCTTGACCAGCTAGGCGGAAGTGAGGAAAGGTTTGAAATTCATCCCGATTCGGATGCAGATAATCAGTTGCTGCAAGACTTGCCACAAAGGAGTGCATTAGTGTATCAGAGTTTTAAGAAACTCGAAGAAGGATGGAAGATGACTTTGATTCTGGCTTTGTTTTAAATATGGTACAAAATTATGCTGCAAAGATATGCCACAAGTTTCATTTGAACGGCCAAAGGTCAAAGATTTCCTTGGTGCGGATGTGAATCCACAATGTGCGAGAATGCCAATAAATCGTTTATATGAAGAATATGCATGGCTATATGCTACTATAGTTTGCCTGGCCCATCTCTAATACAACACAACATTTCGTACTTTCGAATAATAAACAATATTACATTGTTGGTACCTGTCTGTTCGTAGCTGTGAACACTTGCAGATAGCAATATTTTTTTTGTAAAATCCAATTCATTGTTTTTTGCAGTAACTAATGAGGATAAATTTAATGAAATTGAAGAAAGGCTTGCCCAGGCTTCAATCGATTTTGGGAAGCAAATTGAAAACTTGAAAATTGTTCATGGCTTGAAGTTGGAATCATTGAAAGAGGAATTGAGTGAGTCACACAAAAAAGAAATGGGTCAAGGTAAGTGCCACTTCGTGTGAATTTTCACGTAAAGGAGCCATTCTGTTTTTTTACCTTAGTCCAAAAGATCAAATTGATTCTCAAAGTTCTCAAAACAAACAAAATATTGATAATAGTAAGCAAAACTTGATATAAATGATGACTGATCATTAGTTCCCTTTCTCTTGGATAAAAGTCAGCTCCATGGCGAAATCTTCCTGCTTTTCTTCTCGTGGAAGGATTTTTGTCCTCAAATTGCCATCAAGCAAGGGGGCGTCCCAAGTTATAACAAGAGATGTTTTTTCGTCAGATGTTGTCCTACTCATCATTATGGAAGCAAGCCATAGTAGCCTCGATATCACTGTATTTTACCGTCATCTTTTGTGTTTAATTTCACCCCACTTCTAACGTTCCTGGAAGCAACCCGTAGATGATTCCGCTCAAATATAGATTCATTTCAGGGCTGCCATTCCATCCTTGTTTAAATTACATAGGCATAGCAATAATATCCGGACAAGATCCATGCTGACCTCTCACTACGCCCCCCTCCCCCCTGCCCTTTGATCGTATAGCATCCGATGCTCCCATGTTCCATTATTTGACATTGAAAAATGCCTGTTTAATTTCAAGACTTCAGCAAAATGTTTCGCCTTTAAGAACAGTGATAAAACATTTTTTACATTCTGAAATATCTACGACGTCCCATTTGTGTGAATTATTTTACAACAGGAACGACATTATTGCTCAACCCTTCTAGAAAATATCCCTTAGCCACCAAAATAATGGCGATTTTGTGCTAAAAATTTTTATTAAAAAGTCCATCGTTTTCCAGCTAACGCAAAATTCAGTAAGGAAATCGCGAAGTTAAAAGATTCACATGAAGGAGAGGTATGTTCATTTTGTTATTAATTGCACTTTCTTAAGGTCTTTCTTATCATTGACATTTACGCTGTCTTCGAAAAAGAAAAAAATGTCCAATAGAACTGGCTGGAGTACTCTTTTGAGCGGGCGCAACACATAATGTTACGCTGTAGTGTTTCGGAGTCAATTGCATGGTCAATGGTTTTAAAAAGAAATGTCGATAGAGCCAGATAAGGAAAGCTGTTGAGGCTAAGAACCAATAAACCAGGCAGGGACGCTTTCATATTTAACAAGCATACATGGCTATATGATGATTCGTTTGCCATTGAGAAATAATCTGGAGTTTACCCACTTGTGTTCCTTGTATGTCAATGCATTCGATAGTGTCAGAACAAACAGCTAATTTCATAGTCTATACGCAATAATATAATAGTCCGCTATTAATATTTTCAGCTGACTGAACTGCACGAGGAACATGTAGTGATATTGGCAAAAATGAAAGAAGAACAGGAAGTGGCACTTCAAGAACAAGAAGAGGATTTCTCGACTACAAAGAAAGGTATAGTGCAAAACAATGTATGCAGTAGTTGTTGGGGAGACATTTGTTGGAGGGTCGTTTGGCTTTCAAAATTTTGCATCATACGTCATTTAGTGTATTCTTTGGTAGGCACATTCTTGGCACTTACGGGAATAAGCCAGTTAAGTCTTGAATCAAAGTTTAGAGAAAAATATGTCTACATGGTTTATATGATGCAGTATGATGTTTAATTTTTTTATTAAATGCTGTGATACGCTATTAGAAGAAAATTTCTTCTGCAAGCCTTCTTCCTAATGCAGATGTGCCTATGACGCACTTTTTTATTGATTCGGACATATGGATGGACACTTCTTCAATTTGTATAGGTTCAAAATCTTTGATTGGATGAAATATTTGAATCCTACATACTTTATTGACCAACCACAGTTAAACAATTTGACAAAAAAATTGTCTCGCAGTTAGATTTAGATGTGTTTTACCAACACCTGGAAAAGGTACAAAAGAACTTAAAGATATCCTTTTCGAAAAAATTAATTGGTTAAGTATAGAGAAGTTATATCTCTTAGCCAATCAAAGATTTTGAGTCTATACTAACATAGTTCATTTTTGAAAGCTTACTACAAAACATCCTCCATTTTATGGTATCATTGATTTATGCTGTTTCTGCTCACCATAAGCGTTGCATGATTTAGTGTTAGCTGGGTGTTTTTCAATAAAGCAGACATCACCTCCCTGCAAATGATTTTCTTGATATCATATAGACAACAGATGTAACTAGACTTGACCCTAAGCTCCATCGGGTAAACTCGTATGTGTTGTGTCGATTGGAATTAAGCTAGCCTTTTTCACAGTATAATTTGATACCAGGGTTCAGTTGAACAATCTCAGTTTCATTTAGGCCAGCACCAAAGCAAAATATTCGTATGATGTCAGTAAGAATAAGAAACTTGATACGATGTTACCAACGTATTGGGTGAGACTATTATGAAAGTATCACATTTGTGTAAGACGTAAACATAATTTCTTTTTAGAAATGGAACTTCAGTTTCAAACAGAAAAGGAGGAAATATGCTTAGATTACGAAGAAAGACTTCAAGATTTAAAGGTAACAATATTTTTGTTATTTAAAGAAAATCAATAGTTGTTGAGAGGACTGTTAAAGCATTTTGGTTTATTTTGCTCTGATTTTGTTTTCAAACTAGGAGACCTTAATTGTTTCTTATGATACCAGTGAAGTATTACAAAACTGCAAAACAAAGGTAAATCATGGAAACAATCTGATGCAATTCAAAGGTTTAACAATAAATTCTTTGCATTCCACTTTTGCTTAATCGTTAGATCTATGGTTTACATCTCAACCACACTTCTTCTTGCATTGTTGGCATTGCCAATGTGAGCCAGAGATGCAGTAACTTCATATTTGGCTTTAGGAATTATTTTGGGAATGCAAAAATTGTTTATAATGTACAGCAAAACCTACTCAGACATAATAGCTTTAGGTATTCTGATGTAAGTTAAGATGAAGAGGGGGGCAAGGGCTGACAGAAAAATATTATAAACCTTATTTCTTTTGTTTTTTTATGATGAATTGCAAAGCGCAATGGCCCTGGCTTCCTGACTTCATGACACCCCCTCTTTACTGTATGACATCTAGTTAAAGTCTACATCTTGAATAAATAGCACTTTGAACTATTATATTTTCGTTTGCCTTAGGCTCAGCTGCACTCCACTCAGCAAAAATGCAACGAATTCGAATTCAAGACAAAAGATTTGCAAGAGGAGCTTGAAAAAGATCTGGAGACCAAACTGCAAGTAAGCTTTTAAATTGGCTTGAGTGTGTTATTGTGCGATGATATTAAGCATGATATTGCATTGACTACGATTTCATCACTGTTGATCCCTTCAACAGCGTACTGTTTTGGAGCTCTCTTTTCTGAATTTTATCAATTGAAGCAATTTTTGACCATGTAGAGATGGATTATGTTTCAAGAATACTCTAGTGAGTTTGCATCAAATGACAAACTCTGGTTCTTATTACGTCCAAATGAAGAGTCTTGTTTCCAAAACTAGGAAGAACTGTTCTTACTCTGTCTTTTGTTAAACTTTTCTTTGAATACGTACCCAGCATTTCGCTTTTGCTTTCTAGGGGGCTTTGTCAAAATACAAAGATTTGCCGGCTGAACTAGAGAGTTTGCAAGCTGTTGTTGAAATGAAAAATGAAGATATTAGAAAAGCAAGAACCCATAACATGGAGCTCCAGAAAAAGGTTAGTACGTCAAAAGAATGCAAAACGGTTTCTGCTGTGTAGCACATAATTTTTAGCCACCTCTTTGTACAAATCTTGATATAAATTGCAATGGGCCACGTCCATGTTGAAAGCACCTTTGAAATTTGAGTTACTGTCCATTGCTTGGAGGTTAATGGTCTGTGGAGTCTTTTTCTATAAGTCTTTCTTTTGAAAAAAAAATTTTTGAACAAAATTATTTCTCCGTTGTTCGGCAGTAAACAGATATTTTTCTGTCTAGCAAAGAAAACCTTAAACAAATGTCTTATGCGAATAATCTCTCAAAATCCCTATAGTTTGCAATCTTGAAAGATTGTAACGAGATAATTAAGTCACGCCTGATGCAGTAACTGTATTACCCTACTCGGAGCTCGGGTTTTTTTGCCAATGATTTGTAATTTCCAAATTACTTTCAGAATATGAATCCAAAATCAAAGGTAGCTGCAAATGCCATGTTTATCATTGTTAAAATATTTTGTCTTATGTGAAGATAGAACTGCTTGGCAAATGAAATTCTTTTGGATTTTTAGTTGGAGGATTTCTACGACTTAGAGAAAAAACACACAAAGTTACTTCAAGAGAAAGAGGCCCTAGATGCAACGTTGCAAAATAAAGTGAAATATGAAAGGTAAATATTATTTTTGGCACTTAAGTCATATAGGAATACTATGAAAAAGGCCTCTATTAATGTGACTCAATGCTTTCAGAGTAGCTGTTTATAGAAACGCTGTGGTAAAGTTACTTATTGAATTGGCTACGCTATAGCCATTTCTTTCGCCCTCTTCGTTTGCCCCCTCTCTTCACCTCCCCCCTTCGCACCCTCCCTTGCTTAAATTTTTCCTTTTCGCCTCCTTTTTTCCCTCTTTTTCTCTCTTCTTTCCTTCCTCAATTTCTTCCTCAATAGCTCCCTTTCCTAACTCTCTCTCTCCCTACCAGCCTCTTACCCATATCAAAAAATCAAAAATATGAAAGAAAAATAAAAAGCAGGAAAGGTTTGAATCATAAAAGATTTATAAATTGCTGACAGTAGTAAAACAGCACACTAAAGATGTTTTTCCAAAATAACAAGCAAATTATTACTGTGAGTTTAAAACTAGTATGAGCAACATAACCCTGGATGATTCGGCGTGTTGTGACAACAATGGCTTTTTTGCAATTCCATAGAATTTTGCGCTTTGAATATCCAGACGATACCACTGCCTATTGCTTTTGTTGCTAATTATTTTGCATTCTGGTTCATGAATCATGTGTACTTGGGTAGGCATTCATAAGAGACAAATTGCTAAAGCTTCAAGCTAGATAATAGGGGTAAAGAATCTCCCCTGTGAATCGATTGGCAGAGTGTTTCATTACCTCCTCGAAAAAACCATGAGCATGTTTTCCCTTGTGCATTGAAACCAACTTTGTTTGTCTATTTCTGCGCGATTTTGCTTAAGAATTGCTCCAAAAATTTCGTTCCACTTGGGTCGTGAAACCTAATGATTCCCTCCACCCTGTTTTTTAATTCTGACGAGATCAGCAAAGCAAGCACAATCAATGTGAGTATGTCTTATTCATTTATTAGTTTTAATAACTACAGTGTTACTTTTTGTCCATTCAGGCAGTTGTCAGTTGAAAGAGAGAATCTTCAGGCTAATCTCGAAAAGGAAGCACGCAAAGTCAAACGTTTGTCAATGGAGAAAGAAGAACTTATGTGGAAAGTGTCAAACTCGAGCAGCAATTTGAGCTTGTCGTCTCCTTCTTTAAATATTGATTCACCTTTACCTTCGAATGGACTGCAAAGTACTCCAAAGACTTCGCGTTCCTTTAATCGATCGCTCAAAACCCAAAGCCTGTATTTACCCACTTTGGACGACGAAGAATACACTGTATTATAGCATTAGTTATCGGATTTTCAGGCGTATTGACTTGCGTGGCGCTGGGCGTAGTTGGTCGAATTCGTTATAAATATAGGCAGCATTTTAAGCCGGTTATCTTATATGAAAGTTTTTTTCAATCTTATGTTTCAGTGCTGGTCATGTTATGGAGATTATTAAATTAAATCTGATTTAACCAATGTTATAGTCTCTATAAGTGAATCGTGAATCTTCCTTCTCTTAACATTGTGTATCTTGGACATCTCGTCATACCCAGAAGTCGCCGAGTTTGTTATCTCCACTTACAACGATGGCCATTTATTCAAACTTTGGTTGCCATATATAAGGCAGTCTTGATACGTCGTTTTCACTTAATGTTCGGCAACAGAAAATATCATATAATATCAGAGACATCACCATTAGGTTTCACTTGGTTAATCAAACATCATTTATTACAACCAGGTATGGGAAATTAATAAAGTTCTTTTTACGCGAACTTTTCAAGCAATGCTTAACAATTTGCCCTAAAACACTGGTATGGATTCCAGCTCCACATTCGACAAACCCCAATGCCTTAATAGTCTGAAATAAAGAACCCATGTGGCATCCTAACCATATCAAACTTTTTATTACCTTATTCCTACTTATGTATTGTCAATAAAATGTCCCTCACCAAAAGATTCTGGGATTCTTGCAGCTTTTAAAATCTAAGGGGTAGTTAATTTAGATTGAATTATTTGTCGGGTTATTATTTTTTATGTAATTCGTTGTATATCTGTGTTATAGGATAGTATGGTATTCTGCTTAGATGTACTTATTAAAGTATTTCATGTTTGTTTTGTTTAAGGCAGAACGTACGTGGTAATAATGTTACAGCTATTCCATTCCCTAATTCGAGTTGAGTGTTCTCCCTTTGAATATCATAGGGAACCCAACAACCAACTATTCTTCAGACACTTGACTAACTCTTACATACTTGTTCCAAAAAATAATACGTAATACTGCCTTGAGCCTTTTGCACATCTTACGAAGGAAAGAAAGGGATTTTCTGAATCCCAAGAGGAGTATCTTTGAATGTCTTACATAATTTTATGCTGCTCTGCATATACCCTACCCACAATGATTCTATTTCCTTCAATGTTCTGTTTTTAATTCTTCCTAGTTTTTGTTGTATTTGCAATGATTAAAAACTTAATTGGTTCTCTTAACTTACTGTTGATAGTTCCAAGTTGAATTTTATAAACTAATGCAGCCTAATTTTTATAAAATAGAAAATGATTATGCTGGTGTTATTATAATCTTTGACGCTTCTTTGTTAATTAGAAGCAAAATATTTGTTGAGTTAATTTTTCCTTTTTCAACCTTGCTTCTCTCTGTTTGGCAAGATTAGAAAATATTCTGGATTATGTAGGCAGTTTGAGAGGAAGTACTCTGATTTCTGTGGACAGTAAATCTAGTGATGCCTAAGTCACTTTCTCGATGCCGAGTTAAATTTAAAGTGGCTATTGCCTGTTTTGTTATTTCGTCATTCGCGTAGCAATTTTCTGTTTATAGAAATTGCTTTAAATCAGGAGAAATCAATTAAAGTAAAAGTTTCAGTCGTGACCAAAGTCTACGACAATTTTTTTAAGAAATGGTATGGATCTCTAATATTTCATTATGGGGTGTATACCTGGTTGCACTTTTGTTTTCTTTGTGATTGTGATCAAAGTGGCAGGCCTGTCGCAATAGGAGGGGGGCGTGTGGGTGTGACAACCCACTTGAAAAAATTCCATTCCAAAAACGATGATTTTTTTGCCAAATAAGGGGGTTGAACCGGCAATTTTCAAAACTTGTCGGCGAAAAGAAGATGGCTCACCCACTTTTTTGGCAATGGGACTTTATAACTCTTTTTGAACCCAAGAGCTACCGACGGGCCTGCAAAATAGTGTGTAAATACATTCTCTTATGATGCATATGATACCTAGATGAACTGTTCCTACTAATTTCGTTTGCTGCTTGAAAATCACAGGCACGCAAAAAAATTGAATAGGATAGGTGTGTACAGGTTCGAATGAGAGAGATTTTCAGGAAAGATTAAGGAGGAATAAGTTTTGGCATTTAACCCATAGGCTGTAACGTAAAATGGAAGGTTTACCTGCTCAAATTCTTAAAAGATTGTAACCGTTACCCTAACGATTTCATGAAACATGTCCGATTAGAAGTATTGCATTGTTACATGAAAGACAAGACTACTTTCTCGAAGGCCTTGATAAAGATAAAGAAGACGAGAAAAAGCCAGTTCGTTATAATGACTGATTGGTAGACAACGAAGATAGAGAAAGACATTAGGTGGACGAAGCCATGTTAACATTTTTGACAGTACAACATTGCCTCCACGGAATTCGCTACAATTGTCAATATTCATTTATCTTCAATTGCATGCGTTTGCTTTATATAATAGGAACTATAATAAAATTATTTTGATAAATTTTTGTCAACTTTTATAATACCCACTGCCACTCTCTAAAAATACTCTCAACTTTTAGGTGAACAGCTCCCTCCCAACAAGCATTGACGTTAGTTGTAAAGACGCTTCCTAATTTCTGAAGACGAATGCCCTACACGAATGAGGAGGATAGTACGAAGTGGAGAGGAGAAAATAAGAGAAGCAGAGTTGCGAGAAAGCGGAAAGGAAGAAAAGATATGTGAGTATTATAAACAGATTTTAATGTAGAGTTGACGGGACACATTTTAGCATCGTTTTCAGTAGATCTTTTAGCACGATTTTGTGAATTTATGCTGAGATATGACACCCCTATGAAAAACCTTTAAGTTATGACACCCCTATGTAAAAAGAACATAACAAAAAAAGGAGAAAATAAGAGAAGCAGAGTTGCGAGAAAGCGGAAAGGAAGAAAAGATATGTGAGTATTATAAACAGATTTTAATGTAGAGTTGACGGGACATATTTTAGCATCGTTTTCAGTAGATCTTTAGCACGATTTTGTGAATTTGTGCTGAGATATGGCCAGTGAAGGTTCGAAGTTTACAAAAAGAGTTACTGTTGCTTTGACCTGCCTCATTAACGTTAGAATCAAAACTTGACTGCAGCAATTTGATGGAAAAAGGCCAATGTTTTGTGGCCAGGTCAAGGACTATTCTGAAGTGTTTTTTAAACTGCATGGTCCATGCTGCCAAGTGGCTGGCTCGACTCTCGTTGTTAATAACAGAGCTTGTGAACTCCTAGACAAAAGAAAACCCATGCAAGCTCACGGTCTAAGTTGCAGAAAATAATCAACAGGCGAAAAAATTGACAAAGTCATATAATTCTTATATAAGGTTATTTCTTAAATATCATATACAAAGCAAATATCAAACTATATTTCATTAGATAGTATAAAAGCCATAAATAGAAAATAATTAATTATACTCGTCACCATTAACAAATAACATGTTTGCACCATCACCTTAAAAGGCCTCCGGTCATTTGATATTTAAAATATTCAGCCATAGTGCCGAATTTAAAAGCGCTGGCGGTTTTTTTATGAGACGTAAAGCCACCACGTCTGGTCGACTTGATAACTTGCTCAAAGCCAAATTGATAAATTTGTTAACTTCAAACACAACCATGTTAGCATAGATCAATTCAATTGGCCATTTTCATTTTAGATGTAGCTAATCAGACAGCTAGATACTTCACTACAAAAGTAAAAAATAACTCAAGATGCAGCTCACAAAAACCAATTTCGTAAGAATTTCAGAAAACTTTTTTTGCAGGGTAGACTCAAACGAAGGACATCGGGGGACAAAAATTCTTTGGTAATTCACCCAATAGAATTGCAAAGTAACGGCGGACTTTTTATGACAAGATACGAACGTATTTTAAAACCTTTAAGTAATGACACCCCTATGTAAAACGATGCTTAAATATATCAATTATTAGAGTTTATGGCTACGAGTGTTTTAATTACCTTAGAGTTCGTACAGACTATGATTAATTTCTTCAGATTCAGCTTCACAAGCGTTACTCAAACAGGCAAGAGCATTCACACAACAGACCTAGATGACCTTCTCTAGGTTGATTCATAATTGAACTTATTAATCAGAGGCGTGGATTGTACCTTGGCATGATCCATTTCTGTTCTTTTCATCGGAACTTTGGCTATAAGTACAAGAATCAGACCTAAAATGGACAGTGCTATGCACCCACAGTTAACAGGCTTCAGCATATCCATCTCAACCATCCAGCCAAAGATATATGTCAGCACTAAACCATACATATTCCCAGTCATCATTGCTAAAGTACAAGTGGTGAATTCTGACAGTGGATAAGTTATTTCTGCGATTTGTTCAAGGCCAAAGCTGGTATACGGCACTGCAACTAGGTTGAAAACACAAAAACTGACAAAGATGAAATTGTAACTTTTCGCCCACTGAATGGAAGCACTGAAGCAAACAAGGCAAATTGTGCCTACCACGTAGACGAACGTTGCTGTGAACTTGTATAACTGAAAGGCCTCAATCCAAAAGCCAAACAATAGGATACCAATGATGCCGATAATCGTGGCTACGAACCCCATCAACCCTATTTGAGAGTCCGGTAGGGTCTTCAGATTCGCCTTCACAAGCTGGTTCAGTAACGTACTGATGACTGTCAATAGCCCGAACATTATACCGTAAGCTTGGGCAGTCAAGTTAAAATCTAAATCTTTTGCTAAAAGTTTGATCGAGGTAAAAAACGATACATCGATGTTATCTAATTTATTGCCTCTAAGTTCTTGTGATAATGAAGGTGGAGTTGCAGGCTTGTCTTTGACAAGCAAAACAACCAAAACAAGTGATAAAGAACAAAATATTGCCTGACTCCTAACTAAATAGTCAATACCCTCCAGAACGCGGTTGAGGTCCTTTGAATCTGGTACAATGAACGTTGGCTGCAAGAACCCTACAGCCACCCCTACGTATGACATCAAGACGCCAATTGACGTGGCTATAGCACGCTCGTGCTCCCCAAACCACGTAGTCGCTAATTCTGGAGGCACAGCTGCGATAAAAGGCCCGGAAACCGCAATCATGAGCTGTCCTGCCACAATATACACAAAACCATCTCTTTGGATACCCATAGACCTTGTAAATGTCCCACAAGTATTCAAAATGGCAGCAACCAAAATTGTCGCTCTAAGGCCATATGTGGATAGGAATCCGGCAGCTGGAAGTGCAAACAGCATAAATGCAAGTAAAAAAGACATGGATAGCCAGTCGACAACTAGTGGTTCAATTGTATAGTACATGACAGCAATGTCGCTAATGGAAGAAAACGTAATCCATAGGGCATTATATGCCATATTGACAAGACAGACGGCAAGGAGCACAAACCAACGCGCTTGATATAAGGTGTATGTCTTGACATTTTCTTTCGATCCGTCAGCACAGGTGATATCTTTCAAAAATCCTGTTTGGGTACCATTCACTTCAAAAGCCACAGCTTCAATGTTGTTGTTGCTGTGGTTTGCAGTTGGGTGGTGCATTCTGAGCCACACCTAGGGATAAATCACATTTCAATGAAGAGACCTCAATTTGATTTCATTAGTGCTGGTGAGGAAATATGCTATTCTTGTTTTACCTTAACATGACAAAACCTTTATGACTCAACTATAACTCAATGGATAATTGTTTCACAAATAAAACGTTTATAATATATTAACCCAATAAAGTAAATGTTGCAAAAGCTCCGAGTAATTCTTTCAACACAAGGCAAATATTACAAAGATTAGCAAGCATCAAAAGTGAGAGCTTTATCGTAAAGTCTTGTTTTGATTGATTTGACTTAGATGCAATAATTCATATTAAAACTAACCGTAATGTTAAGAACACTTTCCTTTACAAAAAACTTGCAATTTTGAAGTTTTCTTAACTTCAAAAGTTTTTTTCTTTCAAAGTACTCAAAAATTCTTAAAACTTTTCATATTTTGGAATGTCAGGAAACCATTAGAACGAGAAATTTGCTGCAATATTATTTTTCTACGCATTGTAATTTAAAATAGATAAAATAGTAACCTATTCATACCTCTTGCACAGGGAAATAACATTAAAAACATATATTAAAGTCGCTTTCAGGTTCAAGAAGCATCACAAGCTGAGTTTGAAGAATTGATTGTATTTTTAGTAATATGTACAATGCTTTATTTCTTTCAAAAGGGAATTTGTTACTGGTTTAAACTTCAGGTTTCTTGCAATTTATCAGCCAAAACAGAAAGTTTTTGTAGCTACTCAGCAGTCCTTACATGAGTTTCTCATAAAAGAGCAAACAAATAGATGTTGCAAAAAAGATAAATAAATGGAGGAAACCAAGAGCAACAAGGAAATCTAAAAGAAAGTTGGGGAATTTACAGCATCAAAAAATTAATTGAAGTATTCTAAAAATTTTGCAAAAAGAGAGACATTTTCCAAATCCAAAATTAATAACCACCATAGAAGCTTATGTGTCACAATCCTTGTACATTTATGGAAAAAAGGAACAAACTAAAAAGATCATTTTATGCAAAAAGCTTGTTTAATTCCTTTGTGTTTTCTATTTTCAAACAACTCAAACCTCTAAGACAAAACAACTATCAGACAAAACCAGTTTTCATTCAATCCAAGTTTGAGACAAATTATTAATAACACATGTTTAAATTTGTGTTGTGAATGGTTGGGCAAAGGAAGTAGCTAAGCCTGAAAATTGAATTTTCTCCTAATTCTGCTGTGTCTATGATTAATGAATTTGAAAGGGTAAGCAATAGCATATCTTACTGGTCAACTGCTATATATTCTACAAAAGTGAATAGAGCGACAAGAAAAACTAATGGAACCTAATGCATAAATCAAATTTTGTTGCTAAGACAAATTATTATCGCTTTTTGTCCATAAATGGTGTTTTCAACAAATTTATTGAGTTGTAATGCATCATAAGAGCCACCATTATAACAAGTTTTCATATTATATCTTACAGAGGCAACACTTTCCAAGGGATGTCGAGGCTCAGATTAAAAGTCAAGAGAGTATGATTGATAAATTTAAGAAAAGACTAAACTGAAAGGGTAAGCATTGGCATATCTTACCGGTCAACTGCTATATATTCTACAAAAGTGAATACAAAACAATGCATCAACATATCAAAGAAAGAAGCCTTGTTAGTGCAAAATAATCATGATGGCAAATACAAATGAACCATTTTGGCCTTCCTTTGGTTATCCTCTGTACAGACTAAGTTTTATGACCAATGCTCTATCGTAATACAATAGAAAGTGAAAATCCTCTCCCTTCATCTAAATTTAGAGACATGACTTTCAATAGCAGGGAAAACATTTCGAGAACTTGATGGTGTTAAATCTCATACCCACTGTCTAGGGTCACAGATATTGCACAGATAAGTATCAAAAAAGAATCCTTGTTAATAAGAGCAAATATAATTTATTCATATCTATGGCCCAATTTTGAGGCATAAATTTGACCCACCTGATGGCAATTGTAGGAAGAAACTATAATGCAAAAAGTAACAAGGAAATTAAAATAGGTTGTGAAATCTGTTGCCTTGAGTGCACATGTCATGAAACCACATTCAACAACTTACTAGATCATTTATGAACTAGGAAAGCAGGTTTAGAAATTCACATATAAGGTAAGGTGCCTGTCATTGCCTGAGGCAAGCTAGATAGATTTAGAGCAATTTCATAGATGTCTTGTCACTACAAATGGACCAATAAATTTCCTAACAAAGCAGGAAACTGTTCCTGATGCTGGTGGATTTGTATCCATGCACAAATAAACTATTTTTCCAGTTGGAACATGTAAATTACATACTGAAATATTATATAGCTTGTCCTGGCAGTTGATGAAATATTATATAGCTTGTGATGATTTGATGGCAGTGAATTGTGTATTTGACGTTTTTATGTTTAAAAAACAAGTTGATGTGCATACAGTTAGATCTGCTGGTAAGTTATGTTAATTCTAAACTAAGCATTGGTAACGGTCTAATGTAAAGACCAGTGATGCCATCTAACAAAGTTTGGAGCTGGGCTGTGCTGCAGGCAACTTATGGAAGCCACATCTATGATCACACTCATGACCACAGACAGCACAATTGCATTTGTGTTCTCTTCTGTTGTGTATATTAAATCATTCAAATGATTCACTGACTCAAGAAGACTGATAGGAAATTGCTGATTTGCTGAAAATCTATAGCTTAATGAAGAATTCCCAATAAAGGATTTATTCAACCAAACATGTGCTCACTTAGCCAACCCTCCAAAAAAATACTCTTTCTGAATTTTGACAAGAGGGCAGGAACCCCCTCCCTCCCCCTCCCCCTCCATATTCACCTTGCAAAGTCCCTTATTAATAATAATTCACATTATTAACGCTAAAAATTTCTTAAGGTGCTTAATTTGTGGCGTGCAGTCAAAAATATCAAAAAAAACTTGTCCTCTTGCAAGAAACAAAGTTTTCAGTGGAAACAAATTTTTAAAATCTCAAGTTTTTCTTGAATCACCAAATTATTTTCAGTCAGACTCGGATTTTGAGCTCTAGGGGGATGGCAAGTCTTTGTAATCTAAATAAAATGAGATTATTCTGCCTCTAAATTATATATATGTTTTCTAAATGTGTTAGATCTATTGATCTACTAGTAAGCTCTAAAGAGCGCAATACTGTTTGCAAGTAAATAAATGTGTGGCAATTAGGCCAAATTTTACTTTAATGTGGTTGAAAACCTCTTGGGTATTCATTGATTATGGAAAATAAAGATCTTATCTTGTGTTGAGAAGAAATTAGGTAAAAATTGGACGAAGACAAATCAGCATTAGTAATGCGTTCCCAATTTATTATAATTGACAGATTAAATTGGGACAAGGCCAGCCAGGTGAACTTAAAATGTTTTTAATAAAAGCCCAGGACTTTGGAAAACTTAACCTTCAGGCCTGCAAACGACGACTGGGATATCAAGAAGCTGAGGAATGTCCTTTGTGGTTTAAGAGCAAGAGGGGAGGTTCACTATCACCGTTCTAACTCTTCTCCTTCGAATCAACGCAGATAATCGCTATATTCATTGTTAGTTATTCAAAATTGCTGCAGAAATCAAGTGGCTTGCATATCACTCGTTGATTTAAGTCACATTATTCAATAAAGCTTCGTTAAAGCTAATTTTGAGGAACCCAAAAGTAAAAACAGTCCTAAACCATCAAACCACAAGAATACCACCTCAAGTGTAGAAGAGTGAAGTATAGTCTATCTCTACACAAATTGAAATCATAGCGAAGAAAGAAAGTTCCAAAAGTAATATATAATGTGATGCAGAAAAAAAGTTCCAAAAGTAATATATAATTTGGCTTTTACCGCTCCTCTTCCGTTTCGTGTACCATTGAGAACTTTGCTAGCGCCGCCATACAGGCGGCAACAAGAAAGTGGCCTAAAAACACTACAGGCACGAGCTGCCTGGTCGGTGGCCGCACAAAGCACTTTATATTCTCTGATTCTGCAAATATTGAGAGAAGTTTTACAAATATGCTTGTAATAAATTGAGCTTATACAAAAAACCTACCCCCTTCTGTCTTTCCTCATTGAATTTGAATCTACGCTTTCTCCCATTGATTTTGCATGCTTTACTTCCCAATTCCTTCGCAGTTACCAAAACAAGCGAGAGCAAGCTCCGCAGAAAATTCATCGGTTTCTTGATCAAATTCGCACATTTCACATTCATTTTCTTGAAGGCTAGCGCGAAAGTCCTCAATAGCCTTCTCAGTTGAGAGTGAAGACCTCTTACCAGAACCAATCGGATAGTCTTCATTTCTTCTTATCAAAATGTTCCATTCCATCGAAAAAAAGTTAGCATGCTGCAGCATAGGGGATTAGAATTCCAAAACGAAAATTCGAGTTTGCTAGGTACCTCAGATATTAAAAGAAAAACGGGATAATTCAAGCTTTTACACGTTGCTCCATCTTTGCTGTTTAACCATGGAAACAAGCAATATAACCAAAGAGAATGCCAGCAAATTCGGAAATGAAAGTAAATATTCATACCCCTTTTGTTGAATATTTTCCAAAAGATTTAGCACTCGAAAACCACTTTACCCGTGTCAAGAGTGCAGGTAACAAATGCTATTCAAATATACGACGTAAATTCCAAAATGCTTCATAATTTATCACAAAATATCATAATTTATTACAAATAACTAATATATATTATCAGAGCAGGCGCCGCGGAGGGTTGAAAAAAGTGGGGGGGGGGGCTTAAACTGAATAAAAAAATTTGTTCTGACTACAAATATGATAAAGTCTTTTTGTCATAATTTCAACAAGTGCTACAATAAAATTTAATTATAAAACAACAGAACTGCTAGCTTAACAATGTTTACTAAAACACAAATTTTTTAAAATATCTTTTAATAAATCTACAGAATGTCCTCCGTGACAAATTTTCCAAAATTTCTGTGTCTGTTTTCATTGTTAACAAATTGGTTTCCAATGTCAAGCAAGCTCAATGTATCAGTCTTGCATTTATGAGAGTGAGAATAGCCCTACTGTTGAATCTCTCCTGTGTCATTTTCGATCTTAGCCAAGTCTTGAGATGCCTTACCATTAAAAAAGATCTCTTCTCCTGAAGCACTTACGTGCAGTAACTTTTAAATAGTGACTACGTGACAAATTAGCTGACGCCCTTCATTTTGTAGCCCTTTTAGTTCGTTCAAAAAACGTCGAAACAGGAAATGTTGCCTAAAGCCTCTTTAAACACGGCTGGCAACAAGCATAGCTGAGAGCGTAAAGCTGTAACATCGACATCACCACTGTAATTTAATTTCAAGAACTGAATCCCATTGTCAAGGTCTTTTGACTACAGGGGATTAAGAATTAAGCATTCCAGCTCTTCGTATGTCGAAGATTTATCGATTCTACCATAAAGACTTCAAAATATACCCTTCGGTCATGGTCTTTTGCAGTATCCTAAAAAGATGCCGGTCCTGTGCCTTCTTCAAATCGATTTGGGCAGCGTCTTTTTCTTGGTAACGAAGGCTCGCCAATGAAACTATGCTGTTTTGCCTTTACCAAAATTGATGAATAAAACAGTTCAAAGCATTGATCATTTCTCACGTTTTGAAGTGTTATCTTCATAAAATTCGTGTTACGTTTGTGGATATGAGCAGAGAGAGACGTAGAATGATCAAGAAACTTATACTTTGTAACTCTGATTCTGGTTACTGTAGCATGTAATGATGTTAATGATATGGGTTGCATTGACACATACAAATAGAGCAATGTTAATGGATCATTACATTCGTAACACGTTTGCTTGACACTGCTGACGTTTTTGTCCCTTGCAACGTTTTCGAAAGATTATCGGTGTGACAAAATATTCTTAGGTCAAGGTTTACTCCAAAAAAGATATTAAACTTTGTCATTTGATATTCACAGCTAATTATCTTTGCTTTAATATCAGGATCCGTCTTTCTTGACAAAGATTCTTTCCACCAGTCCATCAAACCATTGTAGTTGTCCAAAATTCTTTGAAACAGCTAGCCCGTTCTGTCCACCTTGTTGCGCTGAACTTTGTCAATCCTCCTGACGCTTTGTCAAAATCCTGCTCGATGTTATCTTTGATATCTCCAAGCAGGTTTTCCCGCTTTGGAGGGTACTTGACCAATGCAATGATTTCGTTCCCTATGTCCATTGCATCTGAAAGTACTTTGCATCTATGCGTTGTGTCTTTGCAGGGCCGCGGAAAGGATTTCTGGGACCCGGGTCAAAACAAAAGATAAAAGCAAGGCACACCGGAGGCGACCTTCTAAGGGGCCCAGGAAAATTTTTTGAGACGATGGTTATTAAAATTGCAGCTGTTTTGATTGCTGAAATTGCGATGGTGGCTATTAATTCTCTAGTCTTTTGAAAATAGTTTAAATATTACTGGTATACTATCGTCATAATGCATGCATATTTCTCAACTATAAAATATGCAGTTCTTTACATTTAAAAAAATCTTAGGAAGTGAAAAACGTTTGAATACTAAACTTGATCAAAACGGACATGCTGCAACAAAAAAATTATCACTATTCAAATAATTTGAAAACTTTATACCTAGCAATCAGAATGCAACCTTTCAATGCCAATAAAAAACTAGTTGATTCGATCTTGGAAGAAGCTCATTTAGACGAGGAGCTAGATGTTCCAAAAAACTGAAGACCAAGAGAAATCAGTCAAGTTTATCTCTCTGGTGAACTAGACCTTTCCAGTAAATTCTTAATAATGCTAAATAAGTAGAACACGCTAGACAAATTGGCTTATTGTATTTTGCGAAAATTTTTGCATAATGCGAAAATGCGAAATTTCGCAAAATACAAGTTTCGAGGTGGTATTTTGTAAAATGCGAAAACTGATTCTAAAAACTTTATTTGCCCATATCAACGACCGAAAACAAGCAATTCATATTCAGGGCGACTCTGTTCATGCAAATAGCCTAGTTCATGTCCCATTTAACGTTAGATAACTCATGGACACATTTTGGAAAATGGTTCAAAAACCAACCACACCAAGGCCATGAACGGCCTAATTGTGAATTGCCCATTCAAGCGAAAGACGATAACAGTAAGCATCCCGGTGCTTGCTAATTGGTAATTGGTAAATACCCAACATTCTGCGTGTTCTGTCTTGTTTTAGGAGTAATTTACGCCTTTATCCACAAGGCCTATTTTCCTGCTTCCTTCCCGGTGAAACCCACGTGGCTGGAAAAGGACGGGGGTGATGTCAAAAGATTTTCGCAAAATACAAAATGGCTGGGGGTTTTTGTATTTTGCGAAAACTCGCCAAACATTGTCGAAATGTTAGTTTTTATTTGAGAAAATGTACGGAAAGGCTTTGGATTGTATTTAAAATTTTGTTTTTTTGAGTAGGCATCAAAAGATTCGATCCAATTAAAGAATTTTCGCAAAATACAAAATGGCTAGGGGCTTTTGTATTTTGCGAAAACTCGCCCAACATTGTCGAAATGCTAGTTTTTATTTGAATAAATGTACGGTAATGCTTTAGAAAGAGGCTTTGGGTTTTTTTGATAGCGTAGCAGGAACCTATAACAAAAAGGTGCATGCATTTTCTTTGGCGCCAGACAATGACTCACTTCTTAAAAGAAATTAGCAGGACGCCCATTATTTGTGTCATCAACGTGTGAAGACTTCCCTCTTCTCATTCATAATGACATTTTTCTTTTGTTCTACTTCCTGGGTGCCTATTTGTGCCAATCTGGTGACATTCCATGTGATTGAATTTTATCGGTTGGGCGAGTTTTCGCAAAATACCAAAACCCCCAGCCATTTTGTATTTTGCGAAAATTCTTTAATTTGATCGAATCTTTTGATGCCTACTCAATTGACAAGATTTTAAATACAGTCCAAAGCCTTTCCGTACATTTTCTCAAATAAAAACTAACATTTCGACAATATTTGGCTAGTTTTCGCAAAATACAAAAACCCCCAGCCATTTTGTATTTTGCGAAAATTCTTTAATTTGATCGAATCTTTTGATGCCTACTCAATTGACAAGATTTTAAATACAGTCCAAAGCCTTTCCGTACATTTTCTCAAATAAAAACTAACATTTCGACAATGTCTGGCGAGTTTTCGCAAAATACAAAAAACCCCCAGCCATTTTGTATTTTGCGAAAATTCTTTAATTTGATCGAATCTTTTGATGCCTACTCAAAAAAACAAAATTTTAAATACAGTCCAAAGCCTTTCCGTACATTTTCTCAAATAAAAACTAACATTTCGACAATGTCTGGCGAGTTTTCGCAAAATACAAAAAACCCCCAGCCATTTTGTATTTTGCAAAAATTCTTTAATTTGATCGAATCTTTTGATGCCTACTCAAAAAAACAAAATTTTAAATACAGTCCAAAGCCTTTCCGTACATTTTCTCAAATAAAAACTAACATCTCGACAATGTCTGGCGAGTTTTCGCAAAATACAAAAACCCCCAGCCATTTTGTATTTTGCGAAAATCTTTTGACATCGCCCCCGTCCTTTTCCAGCCACGCGGGTTTCACCGGGAAGGAAACAGGAAATTAGGCCTTGTGGATAAAGGCGTAAATTACTCCTAAAACAACACAGAACACGCAGAATGTTGGGTATTTACCAATTACCAATTAGCAAGCACCGGGATGCTTACTGTTATCGTCTTTCGCTGGAATGGGCAATTCACAATTAGGCCGTTCATGGCCTTGGTGTGGTTGGTTTTTGAACCATTTTCCAAAATGTGTCCATGAGTTATCTAACGTTAAATGGGACATGAACTAGGCTATTTGCATGAACAGAGTCGCCCTGAATATGAATTGCTTGTTTTCGGTCGTTGATCTGGGCAAATAAAGATTTTAGAATCAGTTTTCGCATTTTACAAAATACCGCCTCGAAACTTTTATTTTGCGAAATTTCGCATTTTCGCATTATGCGAAAATTTTCGCAAAATACAATAAGCCGACTAGATGTCTAACTTGAGATAATTGCCCATTGAGCTGGTGAGGCAAAATCACTCAAGCGGAAATACTGACAAAAAGACAATCACACATAAGGACTCAGTACGGGAAATTGCAAGGCGGACGAAGGAAAACAAATATTTCGAAAATTGGCATAATTTTGAGAGGAAGGCTACACTGTATCAGCTTGCCATATTAATTTTGAGGTTTTTAAATTATAAATTGTTTTTGGGAAAGGGGGTCTTGAGATTTTTAAAATATTTTACTTGCTGCGACGTTCGTAAAGGCCCTGGACTAGGTAATGTTTACGTTGTCAAAAATACTGTTTTTTGGGTTTATTCGAAAAAATCATTCATACGAGTGGATATCGAGATTATTTTCGGTTTAGAATATATAGTTTGGCTTTATGTTGAAGTTAGGCATGCATCTCATTGTTTCGTGCGAACTTAGAATGTAATTTTTATTATTCTTCTGTCTTTTTATTTAAAATAAGACTGGTCCTGTCTGGCTGCGAATGTTAAAAACAATATTTCCTGACTGATAGCTAAATCCTACGACTCACTGGCGATGTCAATTCATGGGCGGCGCAAAA